GAGACGAGGAAGAGTGTAAGGGATCAGTCTTATAAGTACACACAATGTGAAGGAGTGTTGCAAAACACATCTGAAACAGTGTAAAAAGTATATAAGCGCGAGATACTCCCAATAGTAGAAGATTACATTCTACTAGGGATTCTAAGTAGTAGCACACTATACACAAGCTTAGAGTAGTCAAGTATTCATTAGGAATCACCGAAGTCCGATAGTAGCCCTTTAAAACAACTATTTAGAACTCCCTATAAACCTAACAATTGGTAGCGTTGCTATAGATCAAGAAATCAGAAAACAAATTCCAAAATGAGTGACGGAGCAATATCAGAACTTGTCTCGGCATTAAAACAACAGGTGGAGTCCCAAAGAGAACAAATGGAGTGCCAAAGCAGAAAACTTAAACTACTAGAAGAAGACAGGATAACAGCTGAACAGGAGCGAATTAAAGTCCTAGAAGAAAAAAAAAAACAACTGCTGAGCAGAACCGACTTATGGACTTTGTTTTCCTAATTAGTATTGAACCATATAATGGAGACTCAGACCCACAAACTATCGATAGATTCTCGACAAGAATACGGAACAAGACAGAGGACGATTACTTAATTTCACAGCTTGTGTCTATAGGAACAGCATTTGGCTCCTGATTGATGCCATGAAACCCTACTGGTTTACTTGTAAAACCAACGATAGTTCCAGCAGCTATAGTACCTTTATTGTTGTTGTCATATATTTGATATTTGACAAAATCTCTTTTATGATTGTTCTTGATATCTTTATTTGCTTGACATTTAGTTTGATCATATATCGTGCCCCAATCATTTGTTTGACTTAAAATGCCTCTATCACCATCCTCATCTGCTACATAATAGTGTGTAAACTCTAATCCTCCTTTACTAAAGTTTTCTTCATTGAAGTCCTCTCTCTTCCCGACAGTGCTGGAGCTACTTGCATTAAAGCCAAGTAGTGATGTATAGCTGTATGAGTTACGTACCTCAATAGTGTGGTGAAACACGTCTAAATTAGGAGTAGTGATTCTAACTGTTGGCATAAACAGACTAGAGGTCACTGTAAAGTTATCAATAGCCATTTCTCTCTCAACGAGCTTATGACCAACATACTCTGCATTTAAACCCGTAAGATTGAAAAATAAACTTTCTAAATCTGTAACTAAATAGTCTCTTCTGGCAATCAGGCTGGTATCACGATTAGAATTGAAACTTGCAAGCTGAGTTCCAATTTCTATGTATTTGTTCCAACCTGTCCAGCCAGCACCAGCTATGTTACAGCAGTACCTATAGCACCATAGATACAACTAAATTTATCTCCAGTGCTTTTCGAATAATCCTTGCAACTTGATGCTAGGCCATATAACAGTGCACCAAAATTCGCAACACCAAAGATCCATCCAATTACAAACCAAGGAAATCTCTTGTGAAGGTCTGGGTCATATATAGTCACATCAGTAGACTGAGACCTTAGAACTAGTTCGGTTGTGTCACTAGGTTTAATAGTAAGGCCATTGACTGATTTGCTAAGTGCAACTATTGCAATAATGAAGCAGATCGTACAATAGATTGTATTGCCTATGTTCCACTTGATAGAAGTCATGATGGCTTTGCTAGTAGTGTTTCTTTGTTTTATATTTCGTGACTCTTCGTCAGGGTCATTGTAATTTGTGGCGCTGTTCATATTGTTTGACTTTTAACTGAACTTTCTAATGATAATTGCGGTAAATTGACCCTTCGAAGTTCTTTATAATATGACGTTTGATATTCTAGCCAATCATGGTACGAGAAAACAATTTTACGCACCTACACATGAAAAAAAAAGCCAATCGACTTTGAGTACTAAATACAATTAGCTAATATAGATATTAGATAGACTATCCAGGAAATCAGAATTTGGAACTCCTTATTCATCTTGTTTCGTAGTTTCATAAGCTATACAACAAATAGAGTAAAGAAATAGGTGTATCAAGGGCCATTCGGACATAATTTTACGGTCATTGGAGGAACAATATTTACGAAGCATTAATTACAAAACTTAGGAAAATGATTCGTTTCGGCATTAACAAAACAGCACTTAGATCAGTCAATGTGCCATCCATCTTGGGTAAGAGATCTTATTCTATAATTTCTGTACACAGAGACACCAAGCTTGACAACCCAGATATTCTGTTTGAGTTCAATAAAGACAACTTGAGCAGGGCTAAGAGTATCGTTGCAAAGTATCCTCCCCAGTACAAGAAAGCAGCAGTTATGCCTTTGTTAGATTTGGGACAGCGTCAATTGGGGTTCACTTCAATTTCAGTAATGAACTATGTTGCAAAGTTTTTAGATATGCCACCAATGAGAGTATATGAGGTAGCTACTTTTTATACCATGTACTATAGAAAGCCTGTCGGAAAGTACAACATTCAGGTGTGTACAACAACACCATGCCAGTTATGTGGCTCAGATGGTGTCATGGATGCTATCAAAAATCACTTGAAGATTAAACCGGGTCAAACTACTGCTGATAATTTGTTTACCTTCCACGAGGTAGAATGTTTAGGCGCATGTGTCAATGGGCCAATGTTGGCTATAAATGATGACTATTATGAAGATTTGACTCCTGAGTCTACCGTTGAACTCTTGAAGGAAATACAATCAGGTAAAGAATTGAAAAAATGCGGTCCTGTGAGTGGTAGAGAATCTTGCGAGCCTTTGTCTGGTAGAAAAGTTTTGTTAGGTAAAGAACCTACGGATATTTCTAAGTTCGTTCAACCAGGTTTATAGAACATCTTTAAATTGAACTTGAAAACTTGTTGCATGCACCGGATCTCTCAATCTGGTTTACACATATATAGTCTTGTTATTTTGCCCTAATCAATAGTATTACTTAAACTTCTCATCTTTCGGTGCAACCAAAGCAGGCTCCTGCTGTATTGAAGGTGTTTAAGGGGGTCAATTTCAGATGGATCTCTCTTAGTTCTTTAGACTTTTAAATACAAGAAAAAAAGGCTCTATTAAAAAATGTTGAAAAGAAAGAACAAATATAGCCACAGTATGAAAGACATTCTGATAGACATTGAACAGTCTTCCTGTGATTGTGGCATGTAGCCTAAATTTTTTTTTTTCGGAATAATTTGTTTAAAAAGAAAGAAAATCAAAAATTGTGACTCTACAGTTTGGTACTGATTACATCATCTCGGGTGAAATTTTTAATATCAACAACTTTTGGCACTCTGCTGAACTTTTAACGGAGCATACATTTTTTAGAGAATTTGAATATTACATAGATTACTCAAAAGAAGATGGGTCAGAAGAAAGCATATAGTTTGGAGACAGAGCTAGTGCTCGCCAAGTCAAATGACCAATACAATGCGTCTGTTCCACCTCTCTATCAATCTGCAACTTTCAAGCAGCCGTCATTGTCAAATATGGGCGAATACGACTACACCAGATCTGGAAATCCTACGAGAACTTTATTGCAGAACCATGTGGCCAAGATTATGAAAGCAAAGTATACGTTTGCGGTGACAAGCGGAATGGGATGTCTTGATGTAATAACTAAATTATTGAGTCCAGGAGATGAAGTCATAGCCGGTGATGACTTGTACGGAGGAACAAACAGATTGTTAACATATTTGAATAAGAAAGGAGACTTGAAAGTCTCGCACTATGATACCACTAATACCGAATTAATCAAGTCAAAAATTACTACAAATACAAGGATGATTTTTTTGGAATCGCCAACGAACCCCTTAATCAAAGTTGTGGATGTCAGAGCAATCTCTGATCATGCGCACTTGGTTAATCCAGATATTATTGTTGTGTTTGATAACACAATGATGTCTCCGGTTCTCATGACTCCTTTGAACCTCGGGGTTGATATCCAATACGAATCTGCTACGAAATACCTCAATGGGCATCATGACATTATGGCCGGAATCATCGCCACTAGAAGTGAAAAATTAGCCGAGCAAGTATATTTTGTTATAAATTCCACCGGTTGTGGATTATCTCCTTTCGATTCATGGCTTTTAAGTAGAGGCTTAAGAACCCTAGCAATAAGGGTCGAAAGACAACAGCAGAATTGCGTGAAAATTGCAGAGTTCTTATCGAATATTGGTTTCAAAGTTAGATATGCTGGTTTAAAAAGTCATCCTCAATATCATCTTCATAAGTCCATGTGTGAAGGAGCTGGTGCTGTATTGAGTTTCGAGACAGGAAGTATCAAGACATCAGAGAAAATAGTCGAAAGTACAGAAATTTTTGGCATTGCAGTATCATTTGGTTGCGTTAACTCTTTGATATCCATGCCATGCAAGATGTCTCATGCATCGATTGACGCAACCACAAGAGAAGAGAGGGATTTTCCCGAGGATTTAATAAGATTATGCATCGGAATAGAAAACTGTGACGATCTTATAGATGACCTCAGCAAAGCATTGTTAAAGAGTGGGGCAGTTAAGATTAATGATAGAGATGAATTGTATAATGCAGTTGGCGTACATGCGAAATTATAGGTGATGAGGAAATGCCCAAAGGTCAATTAAATATGTCTTCAAATCTTATCGTACGTAGGTGATGGGGGTCCTTTTTAAGATATAATAACAGTCCGGTATATAATTGCTATCTGAAGTTTATAAATGCATTTTGATAGTAGTGAGTGCGCGCGCGCAATTACTCTTTTTTTCTTCTGTTATTCATTAAGGTGGCGCGTCCTATTAAGGTTTCTTGATTCTCTTATTTAAAAGCAAAGTAGAAAGAGAATGACGAGTGACATTGCCCTTTCAAAAGGCGCATTGAAGGGAATTCTTTCTAAGTCTGAAAAGCATAAATATGAGGGTAAACCGTTGATAGTTCAAGTGACAAATGTTAAAGTTATTGAAAACCCTGATAGCGCGACTGGCGGTGCTACTAGAAGATACAGAGTATTATTGAACGATGGACTATATACTTTACATGGATTGATTGCTCCTGAATGCGTTCCTTATTTAGAGAGTAAAAGCTTGAGAAAACTTTCTATTATTCAAATTAATGAGTATACCTTGGCGACCACGCAAAAGAGAATTATTCTTATTAGCGGCGTAGAGCTTTTATCAAACAACAGCGAAAAGCCAACTGTTCCATTGATTTCCTGCGATAACTATTTTGCCGAACATCCGGAGGATGATGATTTGCAATTGAACTCTACGAGCAGTAAGAGTCTGGTGTCGAGAACTGTCTCTCCCGCACCGAACTCAAATTCCAATATGAAAAGATCTCAAAACAACATAAACGAAAGACCAGTCAACCCAATCGAACTGCTTTCACCATATCAAAATAATTGGACTATAAAAGCCAGAGTTTCATATAAAGGAGACATAAAAACTTGGTCGAATGCTAGGGGCGAAGGAAAGCTATTCAATGTGAATTTTTTGGATGAATCAGACGAGATAAGAGCTACAGCATTCAACGAAGTGGCAGATACCTGCTATAAGCTTTTAGAGGAAGGAAAGGTATATTATGTTAGCAAAGCTAGAATTCAACAATCCAAGCCTCAGTTTTCACATTTGTCTCATCCATATGAATTGTCGTTAGATAAGGACACAGAGATAACTGAGTGTTTTAATACCTCTGATGTCCCAAAGCTTCATTTCAATTTCGTGAAGTTGAGCCAAATCCAAGACTTGGAGCCAAATGCTATTGTCGATGTTATTGGGGTTTTGAAGGAAGTAAATCCGGTTTTTCAAATAACAGCAAAATCAACTGGAAAGGCCTTTGATAGGCGTAACATTACTATTGTTGATGAATCTGGTTTTGCTATTGTGGTAGGTTTATGGAATACAACTGCGGTGGACTTCAATGTCGAGGAAGGGTCAGTGATTGCATTCAAGGGATGCAAAGTTCAGGACTTTGGAGGGAGATCTTTGACTCTTACACAAGCAGGATCCCTTCTTGCTAATCCTGATGTATCTGAGGCTTATAGCTTAAAAGGATGGTATGATAATCAAGGAGTTAAAGAGAACTTCAAGACTTTAAAAACGGAATCTTCGAGTTCTAATCAATTTAGCAACAGAAAACTTATAGGGCAGGCTCAAGATGAAAATCTTGGAGTATCTGAGAAACCTGAATATTTCAGTATCAAGGCAACCATTAATTTTCTCAAGACGGAAAATTTCTGCTACCCAGCTTGTAACAATACCATCCAAGGTAGTTCCTCGCAGCCGGCTCAACAAAATACAACTTGCAACAGAAAAATCATTGAATTAGGAGATGGCTCCTGGAGATGTGAAAAATGTGATTTGACATTTAGTGAACCTTTCTATAGATATATTCTCAATTGTTCAGTTATGGATGAGTCTGGCCAAATTTGGATTACATTATTTGATCAAGATGCAAGGAAATTATTCGGAATGTCAGCAGGGGAATTATTAGTTTTAAAAGAAAAGCAAAACAATCAGGAAAGCAATGAATTCCAAGAACTCACTAATGAAATAACAATGAAAGAGTTCAACTTTCGAATCAAGGCGAGACAGGACACTTATAATGGAGCAGTAAGGGTTAGATATCAATCCGTTGGCCTCAGTGATGTTGATTTTAATGCCGAAGCTGAGCACATTTGTTCGGAGTTAGATTCCTTACTATTTTAAATATCTTACACCAAGTAATATGTTAGCTATGTTTTTTTTTATCTAGTGCTATGTATCGATTTCACTTATTACGATTAATACTTTTTACTTCCGAATTCTATAAAACCATTGGATTTGAGCCAAAGGTCTTTCAAGATATTTGACACAACTCTTTGTCCTCTTGTTGCCATGATTTTATTGATGGTAAACTCAATATCCTTTTCATTTGTAAAATTATTTACATGACTTGAAATAAAGGCCCTCTTGAGCCAATCCTTAGAATTAAGCGTATACCTCGCAATCATATTCCGAAAAATAGGATAATAGTAGTCTAAATGTGATCGAGATGACTTCAAGAAAGACGATAACAATTTATCAGTCAAGAATAATCCTAAGGCTTTGTTGATCAACAATTCCTTTATAAAATTTTGATCTTCAAAGGTTCCACGTTTTAAATTTAATAGATTCACCCAAAACTTTGATGAGGACTTAATGACAAGAGATTCATTTGAGGATAAAGTGCTTAATGCAAAGTTTATTATAATATCGCTGAAAATTCCCAGATAGATAACTAAGGAAGGTCGTTTTTCCAAAAATGTAGCGAAAAGCTCTATTAGGCTTTGTACAATATCAGGGTCAGTCTTAAAGATCTCTAACTTTTGTACGACTATTTTATCTAGAAGATCACCGACAGAGTGTGCGTTTAGCTCTCGACCATTAGTTATAATGACCGTTTCGAGTAACGAATACAAGTAAGGAACAGAATTTAAATTGCACTTATCGGTTTTGAATGCTAGATAACTGAAGATTGTATCAAAGGAAAATTGAAAGGGTCCTTTGATTGGTTCATTGATACCGCATTTTAATATTAGACAACATTTCTCCGTTACAGAAGTACTCTCGATGAGTGGTTCGAATGTCAATGAGAATTCGCTTATTAAAGCGATTACAGATTCTTTAATATTTAAAGGATCTTGTTCCCAATACGAGGTAGCCATGTTTATCTGTTCTGAAGTGAAAAATTCGTCCACTTCATCAGGAAGGCGGCACGCCTTTCCTATCTCACACACACATGACAAAAGACTAATCAAGTAATCCTCAACTTCATCATTAAACACGAGTTTAAAAAATGTGCTAATAGTTGTTGTAATTTCATTAAGGAGACGAAGTATGATTTCTCCAATTTTCAAGGGATCTCTTAAACACTGCGCTATGGAAATATAAGCATTACACATTCTTTGTCTCACTAAGCTATCAATCTTGAAATCTTTCAACATCTCTATTACTAGAATTTCAAGGTTTGGGAGAAAGCTTACTAAACTTTCTCTTGACTCTTGACAAATCTTAAGGATTGTCTTCGATGCACCTAAAGATAAAGTAGGGATCAGTTCCTTCTTTAAAACAATAGAAAATAGAAAATCAAACGTGGGACCAACATGTTCATTATGCCTTTTGAAAAAATTCTGGATTGAAGATAAGAAATTTATTAGCGTTGAGTAAACGTATAAATATATCCCACCAATAGGGTGCATTTTCACGACTTCAATTAAATTACTGGAAAATAAACCCATAACTAGTGGGTCTAACTTAACAGATGCAGACTCATTGTAAAATGTCAAGTCGTCTGTAATTTTGTACAATAAATACAACGAGCTTTCTAACTCTAGAATTTCGAAGTCATCTAGTTGAATCTCTTTGATATTATTGATGATTTTGTCCGTTAAGCTGCCGTAAAGTGGCAAATTTAATAAAGAATATAGTACAAGAAAAAAGTCTGCCACCTGTGTTCTAAAGTGTTGAAATTCAACCTTGTTACACTCGAAAACATCAAGAGGTGGAAGCTGGATTTTTTTCCAATATATCACACCCACTCTTGCTAGAATTTCATTCCTAATTATGATGAACCTCTCTTTATCGTCGTGTAGAGTCGTTTCAAAGTATTGCCAATTATCACTATAATTACTTGCTAACTCCTCCCAGAAAGTTAAGAAGTGCTCGCTGATTGACTCGTCAACAACAGGAACTCCAGGGTAGTCCGATAGCCGAAGCAAAACATCTATCATTTCTTGAACATCGTGATCCATAATGTGACGCGAAAGCTTCAACATATTTAAAGTCAAGTAGCTTATAATTAAATTAGTAAAGCACTCAATATCTTCAGAATATTCTTCTCTCAATTCATCATTAAAAATTATAAAGTTAATGAAGTCAATGCCAAAGGATTTAAATAATAGATGCTGAAGTTCTTCCTTATATTTGCTGTTCAATTGACCTGGATTGACATCCAAAATCTCCGTCGTCACTGACATAGTTTTGGATAAAACTTTCATGGTAGCGTCGGAAATGCATGAAGGATCTAGTAATCCGTACTTCAGAAAAAGATAGTTTAACAAAGGGTTGATACTCTCTCCCTCATACCGCACTTCAGATGCCGACTCTGCTACCGAGACGTATACTACCCATGAGTTTAAATAGTCTAAACTAGCTAAGTGAAGTTCTAAAGGGATATCATATTCAATTTCATTCAAATGTTGGAATATTAAGTAAGCATCGCTTACAATACTGTTCTGAATTACCTTATGGATACCAGCAGAGACCTCTAACTTAGTGGCATCTTCGAGTACAATAGTATGAAAGTTTATCAATAGCATGAGCTGATGTTCGTCCAAACCATGAACAAATGAGACAAACTCAGAGCCACCAGCAAGATGTGAAAATAGGGTTCGAATAGGACTAAATCGGTCATAATTATAGATGAACAATTGCGATAAATTGCTTAGCATCTTTCTAATTAATATTGTATTGGTTTCAGATTGTTCACGTATTAATTTGATAGTTATGTCCAGAAAATCTCTGATAGTTGCCTGCAATCTTTGATCATCGAGAGCTTTCTCTTTCCTTATAACCACAGCAAAAGTCAATGCACCAAAAAACCGACAATCCCTGGAGTCTACTCCAAAAAGCAGCTTTGCCAAGTTATATCCATCTTGCGATTTTTGTACTTCTTGGAGCTTTTTTTGAAGAAACCTTATCTGTTCAGGATCAGTTGACTTATATAATGTATTAATGCACTAAAACAGAAAGGTTAGTCATTTCAACACCTCGAAAATTGACATAAAGAACCATCAACATAACTTACATCAACTACCTGGGCAAAATCTATTGCCTCAGACATTTGCGTAAAGATCAAGCCTCTACTAGAAGGTGTTTCACAAATGATTCAACAACATGAGGCTAGATGCATAAGTTTTGTTATTAATAAACCTCCGGTTCTTTTCTCGTGCCTTATATATTGGTCATGAGCTTACTTCCGACAATTCGGTCGTGAGAAATTCTCTACCAGTTATAATTACAATAACTCTGTTCTTTTTACATATTTTAAGAGTCTAGAGTCATATATCTACATTTTAGAGTAGTTCGGAAGTTCAATGTACGTTCTCCAGCTCTCTATGCTATCTAGAACCAAGGATTAGTTCCAGGGTAGTGGTTCGTTCTGCCGATTACCTCTTATTCATCTACACACTACCGGCTCGATTATATGTCCGAAAATGCCCTTTTTCCAGGTGCAAGTCAAAATTATAATCTGTTGACAGATTCTTACTCACATCAAAAAAATAGAAGTTAACTAGAGCCAATGACTTCAATGAGAAGGGTCTCTAGAGCTCAGTGTGCAAATTGCACTTGTTCACCAGGATTGTTGTCCAGAACTAATAAGAGAAAATCGTTATTTGCTAAGCAAATTGACATCAAAAGGAGCGGCTCGGTGTCTCCCCGAGCAATGTCAAGACAAGGATCAGTATTTACTATTGATGTTTCAAGCTTATGTGTACCTGAAGTCAAAGAAGTTAACACATCGAAGAGACTAGAAGCACTTCGAAGAGTGATGGCGCAGCATGATTTAGGGGTTTACATAGTGCCATCTGAAGACCAACACCAGTCGGAGTACGTATCCGCTTTTGACCAAAAGAGGAGCTTCATCAGTGGCTTTCAAGGTAGTGCTGGTGTAGCGATTATAACTAGAGATGTGACGTCTTTGAATGATGAACCGGAAGGTGCCGCAGCCTTATCAACTGATGGAAGATATTTCAATCAAGCTACCAATGAACTAGACTTTAATTGGATCTTATTAAAGCAGGGCGCCAAGGGCCAGCCAACATGGGAAGAATGGGCTATAGATCAGGCATGTCAATTATATTCTGATAGTGGTAAAGTAATCAAGATTGGTGTTGATCCTAAATTAATAAGCTATCAATTATATCAAAAAATGTCGGCTTTAATTAAAAGCAAGATAAATTCGAAAAAAGTTAATATTGAATTAGTCCCAGTCAAAGAGAATTTGATTGATAAAATATGGGGAAAGTTTGAAGAAATTCCGAGCGGGCCTTCTAGTATTATCAAGGTTTTGGATGACAAATACACAGGTCAATCGGTTGCTGAAAAGTTGTCAAATGTTACCTCCATTATTAAAAAGGAAGGGGCAAATGGATTGATTGTTTCTGCATTAGACGAAATAGCTTGGTTGTTGAACCTCAGAGGGAGCGACATTGACTACAATCCTGTATTTTATGCCTACTTGATAATCACTGATAAAAATATAAAATTGTTTGCTGATAACTTTCGGTTTGATACCAAGGTCCAAGACTCTTTGAGGGAAAACAAAATCAGTGTTGAGCCATATCTGTCGTTCTGGAAGAACTTACAGAAACTGTCAGAACAGTTTAAGGCTGAGAATAAAAAATTCCTACTCTCTAATTCTTCTTCTTGGGAAATTGCTAGAAACATAGTGAGCTCATACGAGCTAGTTAAAGTATCTCCGGTGGAGGAACTTAAAGCGGTGAAAAATGAAGTTGAATTACGGGGTGCAAAAGCCGCTCATCTAAAGGATGGTAGAGCATTGGTTCGGTTCTTTACTTGGTTAGAAAATCAACTAATAGACCATCAAGAATTAATAGATGAAGTCGAAGCGAGTGATAAATTGACTGACTTCAGAAGGGATGAGGAAAACTTCGTAGGATTGTCATTTGATACAATAAGTGCAACAGGTTCCAACGCATCAATAATTCACTATAAATCCGTTAAAGGTTCATGCTCTGTCATCAATCCGAATAAAATCTATTTGAATGATAGTGGATCACAATTTCTAGAGGGGACCACAGACACGACGAGAACTGTGCACTTTTCTGAACCTACGAGTGAACAAATCAGAAATTATACTCTAGTTTTGAAAGGTAATATTTCTTTAAGTAATTTGAAGTTTCCCGAAGGTACGACGGGCACAATGATTGATTCGGTGGCTAGACAATATCTTTGGAAGGAAGGGTTAGATTATGCACATGGTACTTCACATGGCGTAGGTTCGTATCTCAATGTCCACGAGGGGCCTATTGGTATTGGACCAAGGCCAGGATATGCTTCTACTCCGTTAAAGCCTGGTCACTTGCTCTCTAATGAACCAGGGTTTTATGAGGACGGCGAATACGGCATTCGAATCGAAAATGTCATGTATGTGAAAAACAGCGGATTGAAGTATAATGGAAAAGACTACTATCTGTTTGAAACCGTTACAAGAGTTCCATTTTGTCGCAAGTTGATTGATGTTCTGTTGTTAACATCTGAAGAGAGAGAGTGGGTTGATCTGTACCACAAAACTGTCTGGAAAGAATTGTGCGATTCGTTCCCGAAAAATTCTTCTGAATACCACTGGTTAAAGAAGGAAACAGCTCGCTTGTAGTCTAGTCGTAAAGGGGGTACTATTGATAGATCTTTTGCTTTAGATCCATGTCATGGATTCAATTAGTTAGCTGAATGTAATCACGCGCACCAGCACGTGTATAATGATTTTGCGATTTTCTGTAGTATTAATTTTCTTATGAGTGACCAAAACCGATTTCGGGACCGGTAGCCAATAATATTTTTCCAAATTTGGATGACAAAAACTGATCAAATAAATGGTAGTGTAAATGTCACAAAAGGATAGGATGCATGACGAACGGTATACTGAGAGGACTTAGTAAGAATCACATTAAATTTATAATATAAAATAAATTCAACTTCAATATTATACAGTTTATTTCAAGAAAACTAAAACGAGGAATTATTCGGCTAACTCAGATTAGAACAATTCCGAAATACTAGTACATTTAGCACGTTAGACGAAATAACAAATATTTCGATAGAGCAAGTCACATAGCAGAGCAAGTCTCATAGTTGTTAGGTGTCGAGAAAATGCTCGTAAGAAGATGGGCATTGAATAATGCCATTAAGACCAGTAGAATGAGTTGGAGATGTGCATCTAATGAAACAAAGGAGGGCAGCAGAAGGTTCATGCAGACTACTCCCAAAACTACACCAAAGCCTGAATTCTATGGTGGCTTCAAGTACATGAACAAAGGCAGCAATGCTATTGATGATGACAAGAAGTGGTCAAAGCATACACTTTCAGCACAGGACAATTCTGAATCGAAGAAAGATGAAGTGCATGTTCGCTCAAGGAGATCCAGGACAACACGATTTCAAAATAAGAACTTGAAGAGCGTAGGAAGCAGTCATATCCGTGAATCAGAAAACGATGCACCATCTCAAGAAGCTGTTGCAAATGAGCCAACAATAACGATTGCTCAGGAACCTAAGATTCCAGATTCCAATTCAAATAAGAGCAAGGTGCCTGAAAAAAGCTCTGGTGTAAATGCCGTTTCACAACCTAAGAAAAGAAGAACGTTGAAGCCAAGAAAAGCATTGATTACGTTATCTCCATCAGCAGTTAAGCATTTGAAGGGCTTATTGAACCAGCCAGATCCCAAAATGATTAGAATAGGTGTTAAAAATAGAGGTTGCTCTGGATTGACCTACAATTTAGAATACGTGTCAGAGCCAGGGAAATTTGATGAAACTATAGAACAAGACGGGGTCAAGGTTTTGATAGATTCAAAGGCATTATTTTCAATAGTTGGGTCTGAAATGGATTGGCTAGATGACAAGTTATCATCTAGGTTTATCTTCAAAAATCCGAATTCTAAAGGAACATGTGGTTGTGGGGAGTCATTCATGGTTTGATACATTATTATTTTATTGCATACAAAGGGGATAGGCCTATATAAATTATTATTTCATGATATATTTAATTAAATACACATTACGATTTTCATAGAGTTGTAGCCAATTATATTCGTGAAATAGAATTTGATATATTTTTGTTTTATATTCTTAAGAAATTTTTCTGCATTCGAAATATGTACTGTCAATATCATCGGGTAATGAACAGAAGTAATCCATCTTTTGCATGGTCTTAAAAAGTTCTATGGAACTCATTCCAAGCTTGAGGCAAGTCTTGCCCCCGGTTTCGTTGTTAGTACAAATTATGCTATCTTTCGTATCTTTTTCACCATCTATTATGAACATGTTCTTCGGCTTTGCTTGGACAAATTCTTGGAGCTTCTCTGTAAAATTGTCATTCACCATTTGAACTTTAGGTTCTCCATTATCGCCGATCTGATGTAACGTCTGAGAGATATCAGAATTGGTATTTAGTGGATTGTGAGATCTCTGTTCGATCTGTTGCGTACTCAAGTCTGGGGCCGCTGTAGTTTTACTACTTGAAAACCAACCCATTGTGATATAAGTTTGTTAAATAGTCGCTGTTTGATAAATCGACTTAAAATCTTGTTAGTATTTGTTGCTCTCTGCGAAAAATTAAGAGACTACAAAAACTATTGACTCAAAAGTGAAGTATATCTACACACATCTATATATTTACCTCGGAATGTAGACATCTACGTTAGACTAAGTTTGTCATTGCTGAAGTTAATACATTGCAGTCTGAAGAGATTAGTCACCGTATATATTATTAAAGGCACAATTTGTAGCATTCGTTTAAGCGCATTAGATCCGTTTCGTATTGCCTAAATCCAATCAAAGTCATATTCTGTCTCAAAAATCCTTTATCACTTTTATTCGCAGCACTAATGTCTATAAGGGAAACTCTTTTACCTAAGGAGGCTACCCACTCATAATGAAAATCGTACTTTATGGAATCTGGCTTCTGAGTGTCCATCGTCAAAATAGTCAGAATAATAGACTTTTCAGTTCTTTCTGGTAGAACCAAATCTTGAAAGAATAGAACCTCTTTTTTGGGGTGTTCTATCTCCACTGTAGAATTGAAAACGAACGCCAACGTATTAACCATTCTCTCAAATATAACTTCTTTACTCTCTGGTTGAGCATTTAAGAATACTCCGCGCCGACTGTTGAAATCATGATACTTAAATGACCTTCGTATTATACTTTGATAGGTAGAAGTGTTAAATTCCTTTACATCTATTATGTTCCTTAACTTGAAAAATAACTTATACATTTTCAAGTACCTTCTTTTGTCATTTGGTAGAGTCCTCAACTCTTTCAGAGTAGTTAAAGAAACTAGTGGCTTTTTAAATGTCACATGATTGCCATCCAACCTAAACTTGGTGGTGTTTTTCATTGCACTCGTTCAATATTCCCATTCCACTTTCATCTTAATATTTTTTGATACCGCGATGAATATCTTTCTCAATTTTACAGCCATCAAAAACAAACTACCATACAAATATAAAATGGGCCAAAATAGTATATCGTTGAAAAGAGGAGAGGATTTTTTTAATGCTGAATACCATTCACGCTTAAGTCAGAGCCTGAATACTGGTGAAGACGTTTTGGTCGCACCAGATTGCAATATTAAAGTATGAAATATTCCAATTTTAGAGACTTGATATGAAAACTAACAGAATCAGGTACATTTTAATTTATATATCAATGAAAAGAAAATTACGGTTAACAACTTTAGCAATTTAATTGAATCCATAGGGAGTGTTATTGCATCATCGAAATATTGGGAGGATTACGAATATTCGACAAATTTGTTCATCAACAATGAATCTAGTTTTATGGTTAACTTGAATTGTAATATCTTTAATCCAATAAAAAACCAACTTACGAAAAATGAAAATACGTCCATGTATGAATCCCTTATCGTAAATTTCAAGTATCTGACAACAGCTGCAAAATTGGACATTACTCAATTTCTTGAGACGTTAAACTATCTGTTGGTCTCAGTATTTATAAACTTAGAATATGAGTTTCCTTTTGTATTCTCTTATTACGGGAGGAAGCTTTTTAAGACTAACTATAATTGGATTGCAAGAAGTATCGATGAAGTAACTGATTTTAAGATATCACATTCTAGCAAAACATCGCTTTCGTCCTTCAAGAAGCATAAGGAAATATTAAGTAAAGATGAGCTTGCTCTAAAAATAATACTTGACCTTCAGCAGAAAGCACTCTGTGAGTTCAATACCATTAACATTTGGAAAGAGTGTGATCTCTCTAAAATGAAAATCGATACTTGTAAGCGCTTGAAAAAAAAAAGAGAGGAGTTAGGAAATTCATCAACAGAAAACTCTAGTATAAAGTCAATGGTTTTCAATTTTCGGTTTTTAGATGTACGCTCAGTTGAAGCAATGTTGCTATCTGAGGATTGACTCGAAAGCACTATCAGATACATACGATTTATGTTAGGTGCTTTTGTGTCATCTATAATCAAATTGGCAAAAAGTAAACAAATTTTGCTAAGCACCACAAGAGGGTGCATGCTCGAAAATGACATAAAATAAGTTGATTTAGATCAGAAATACTTCAACTTTAAAAGAATTAATAGAAGCTTTCCATCAAGATGTCATTTTTCCAGAACTTTAATACTCATTCTTTGAGATCGACTAGAGGGTTTAAATTGAAACAAACTTCTCCTATATCTTCACCCAAGCCAGTATCGAACACGGCATTTCCACATACAGCATATGATCAAGAATCGAGTCAGCTTCCGTATCAGACAATAAATTTGAATTCCAATGGTAATGAGGGTCAACCTGTTTCCACCCACAAAGACATTAGAAACTACGCGGAGCATACCTTGGGTTCTGACAATGCATTGATTCAAGCGGTTAAATTGCCTCAGGATGAGGATTTGAATGAATGGTTGGCAATCCATGTGGTTGACTTTTATAATCAAATAAATATGCTCTATGGCTCAATAACTGAATTCTGTTCGCCTCAAACATGTCCGAGAATGATCGCAACAGAGGAATACGAATACTTGTGGCAAGAAACCAACCCTACTTCTAATGGATCGACACTGCCAAAGAGACCGGTGTCATTACCAGCTTGTGAATACGTTGAAAATTTGATGAACTGGATTCAAAATTTTTTCGACAATGATAATATATTTCCATCAAAGATTGGTGCACCTTTTCCCCAACAGTTTCCATCACTAGTGAGAACTATTTTCAAAAGACTCTTTAGGATCTATGCTCATATATATTGTCACCATTTTCATGAAATAACGGAGTTGGGTTTACAGAGCCATCTTAATACTAGCTTGAAGCATTTTGTATTATTTTCAAATGAATTTGCTTTGGTCAGTCAAAAAGACTATGGTCCTTTAGAAGACTTGGTAGAGACAATGGCAAAGAAATAAAATCATTTGAGGTCCTAGATCTTGGACCCTACTATATAGAGTATATATAGGGGGACTCATTAGCATAAACCTATTTCTACCATAAGACAGAGGTGATCAGAAGGGAATTGTCCAATTCTGGGCTGTCCCGAAGGCTCGTCTCCCATGTCTTCAGGAGCTGGAAGCTTTAGCAAGCTAAAGAGCTTTACATTTTGCTTCTTTGAAATATCATCGAGAGAGTCGATTTTATGGGCTATATCGTCTGTGTCTCTGCTCCAAGGAGCTATGATAAAGATATAGTCTAGTAAGCCCCTCCATGCGTGAGCCCAATTTGAAAACATAGGCTCGTTTCGATCATTATCTCTTCCAGAATTTTCTGGATGTACATGTCTATATGCGATAGAATATAACGAAATAGCCCTCATATCCAAACTATTATGTAGCATCTTGATATTTTCTATTAACTTCAGAGGTTCCGTCTTTAAGGACGTGATCGATTTGTTATTGTGATCGCCGTCGTTTTTGCAAATTGATGCAACCTCTTCTTCAGTGGTTTCCGGAGAAAGAAGAGCTCTCGCTCTATCATCGTATACAACAGGTTTCGACACGATTGATAAATAGGGAGGATCAAAAGGCTGAGAATTGAAATCCCCTGCAAAGAATGAATAGAACCGATTTTCATTTCCTGAGAGGATCAGAAGGGTTTCTTGAAATTCCTTGAACTTCTTCAAAACTATATATGTTTGTCGCGTTCTCTCGAAAGTCCCCAAGGGATGCCAGAATAAATGTGAGGTTCCTATTATTATTCCGTTTCTCTTGATATTCGGAAACTTTTCTATTATACCTGAATTCAACTTTAAATGGACTAATAAACCAATGTTTTGAGTATCAGCTGTTGGAGTTATATCCCCCGTTTTTTCTTTATCATAGTTAATAAAGCTTTGATTTAAACAAGTAAAGAATTCCGTCTTGAAAACAATTGCCACACCATGAGTTTTTGAAGATGCGTTGAAAAACTTCGTCTCGTACCCTAGATCTTCAAATTCCTTCTTCCAGAATGATTTATAGTGAACGACGTCCAATTCTTGTAGACAGATTATAGTAGGATCGTAGTACCTGATTTCCGATAGCAATACCTTAGACCTTGTTACCCATTTGAGTGCATCCCCATTTGTTGGAAAAAGAGATCTTCTAATTAAAGTCTGTGCTAGTACATTGTACGTCATGATCTTTATTTTAAAGAAATCATTAGAATTTTTGATATCTTCAACAGGAACAAAATCTCGCTTGATAAAACTCAAGTCCGTAGCATCATTCGTCTGGCTAGGATCTAACCCCTTTGCAATTCTATCCTTTCTTTTTTCTTCCTTTTTAATGTTTCTCAAGCGACGCTGTTCTTCTATGTATTCTGGGGTAAGAGTTGATGGATCTTTAGCCTTTTTGCTTGACTTCTTTTTCTTTTTGCTACTCAATTTATTTTCATCCTTAACAATGCAATCCCCATCATTTATTGTTGTATCTGATTTATCTGATGTCATAATGCTAGCTATTATTCCAGAGCTTTAACTTTAGTGAAAATTTACAGTTCTGCGCGCGCATACCATAGAGATGATGGAATCCAGAATAACAAGTAATTTAGGTAAACTAGGTTCATAAAATTTCTGCAGTTAAGAATGGCCCAAATATGTACAGAATCCCTTGACGAGATACAATTTGAAATCTTTAATAAGATTGAAGGATTTATTGCTCTGAATGAGCTTGATAACCGTGAAAAAACTGACGCAGAGAGATTTAAGATTATAGCTGAGGCTACGAAGTTGATCTTAAAGTATTACAACTACTTACAAGTTTTTCGAGCTAATATCACAACTGATAAGGAAAAGGAATTATGTTCTCTATACGAATCGAAACTTAAATATTTGAAAGTGAGACTTAGAGAAGTCCAATTGTTTGAGAATAATCTTGAGAATGAATTAATACATAGACGGAGAATCGAGAAGTATAGACCCCGAAGTACCACAGAACAGAGTTTAAAGAAGGAACTTTTTCAGGGTCGGTCGCTGAATGGGCCAGAAAAGGCAAGTACTGAGACTGTTGAGGATCAGATTCTTTTTCAGAATAAGAAAATCACATCTTCCTTGCAATCCACTAGGCATTTGTTATCAAGCTCAATCTTGCAAACAGAGCTAAATATTGACAGCTTGGACCAACAATCTAAGGATTTAGGAGACCTAAATAATCAGCTTTTCAAGCTCTCTGATATCCTTACAAAATCGTCTCAAGTTGTAAAATTCATTGAAAAACAAGATCGTAACGATAAACGACGCATATACATGAGCATTTATTTTTTCATCGCATGTTGCTCTTGGGTAATTTGGAAAAGAATTTTGAGGATCCCTACCAAGTTTTTTCTCTGGTCTCTTTTAAGAGTGTTCAGGATTTTTAACTGGTTAATCCCCAATAAAGACATCGAAACTATATTCAATAAAGATGGATTGGACGCTTTAGCTAGCTCTTCTATTACGTCCTTGTTGATATCAACTATTGTTTCTACTCTTGCCACTTCAAGCATAGATGATGTCGAAGAATCACCAGTTTCATTCAATGATCAACAATCGCAATTTTCAACCGATTCTTCTAAGTTATATTTTTCAGACAGTTTTGAACTATCTTCAAAACTGCCTAGTGTTCAAACAGATCAAGAATATATCATTGATATACTAAGCGAACATGAATCGCCAGAATTTAAAAATACTTTTGCTCCAGATTGGGCTACAACTCAAATAAAATATGGACAAGAAACCGATACACTTACACCTCTGACAGAATCTTCGATCAGCGAAGCAAGATTAGAAAAGGCAGACTCAACTGAAACAACTAGAAATGGAGACGGATCCTTACATGAAACTCATACATTTCTTAGGGATGAATTGTAATACACATACATATACTAGCGAGAGGTTCAATTAGGAGATGCGACTTCGACTGAGGCTCCGTCCTTTTTGGAACTCTCCAAAGCTGCTGCTACAATTGCCAAATGGTGGAAAGCTTTTGCAGGACTAACCAGCACAAGATTTTTATCATTAGCACGAACTGCTTCAGCAAAGTTCTTCATTTCTTCTTGAATGTTATTAACTTCATCGATTTTAATAGTGGTTTTTTCTGAAGCTGTTTGAGAGGAGGTCCCAGTCTCATAGGTTATTGTTGGCTTATCCAAAGATGGCGAGAAGTCGTAAATCAAAGAGCCATTTCTTCCATATATAATGAAACTTGTCGATTTATCGGTTGCACCAAATGAAGAACCATAGGTAAAGGTACCAATCACATCACTTTTTAACTTCATAGTCGAAAACAAAACGTCATCAGTTCCACTTTCTTCCCTTAATTGTTTTGTCAAGCCGCTTACGGACTTCACTTCTCCGAGAACCTCTGTCAATAGGGCCAATTGATGTACCCCACCATCACTTAAGAAACCACCAATGTGCTCTGGATGTTGCCTCCATGAAGTTGACAAATATTTGTTATGATCATTCCAGGCACCCGTCGATCTGTAAGTAAAACCTACAACTTCTCCTATTTTAGGTAAAACCTCCTTCTTCAAGATCTCAATAGCTTTGATAAATACCCAATTCTCTAATATCATAATCGGCAACTTAGTCTGCTCAGATATCTTTACTATCTCTTTTGCTTGCGTCAAATTGGCAGCAATTGGCTTCTCAAAGGCAATTGGCTTGTTATATTTGACTGCTAATTTCACAGCATCCAAATTATATTGAACAGGTAACAACGCATCAATGAAATTAACATCTTCATCCTGAAAAATTTCTTCCATTGAAGAATAGACTTTGCTGTCCTTAATATCTGCTTTTTTGGCAAAGACATCTGCCTTACTCTTGGTCCTATTGTAACAAGCAAAGGGATTCAAGACACCTGTTGCCTCCATGTTAGGCAAATGCTTATCAGTTGCAAATATTCCCGTTCCAACAATACCAACGTTTAAGATTTGAGAGCTCATTTTCTATTCTTTAGTCCTTTTCTTCAGCTTTTAACTTACTGAAATTTGTCCAGTGGAATAAAGCCTTATTTTTACAGAGCCTGAATTGTAATTGTAATCAATGCGATATTTGGCTTTGAAGTATTCGTGGCTGGGCCAGTACGAGTCTCCAGTGGCAGGAATCCATTCGAAAAAAAAAAAAAAATTTTAAAACACAAAGAACGTTCTTTAATAAACTATCGGGACCAAATAGTATGCTGACAAACCTCCAAGGAGAGCTTTTAGGTCGAGATGACCGAAGTAGCGAGGAAGAGCTCATTAAAAGTTCTGAAGAGGTTCAAGACGCGAGCAATGACGCATCTGTTGAAGACTCAGAAAGAAAAGATACAAAGGAGAACAGCAATTACAATGTAGAGATAGAACTAAAAGAAGATACATTGACTTCTGATATCCATGAACAAGGTGGAGTAGATATCCCTGAAAAGGATCTGAATGAAAGCTCAGATCACACTCCGCTGAGTGAACTAAGAGATGAACCCGAGCTCTCCCAAAAGAGCCCTTCACCGGTTGACCCAATTAGCGAATTAAAAAATCAAGGCACCGAGAAAACCCTAGGCTATGATAATGGATCTGATGACAATAGCGATGATGAATATGATCCCGAAAAAATGTATGCGAACTCTCTGGCAGAAGTAGTCGATGATCCTGACACTGATAACGTGAGTCAGAATGGAAAGTCCGACGAATATGACCCCGAGGCGGTATTGAATGAAATCACCGCCATTTCTGGAATTGATGAGCCCAAGGATAAGACTCAGCCTGGTGTGAAGTCTGAGGTCAAAGAGCCCACCAACTCTATCCCCTATGGAAACCTTCCAGCTGGTTTACCTCCCAAACCTCCTGTAAATGCTAATACCCAATCCCTCAAGCTTAATTCAGAAACGGTTGGAACACAATCCTCTCAGCAACAGTTGAAAGAAGCATATGATGCGGTGATGCAGAGTGAAGTTGTTAAAGACCCTAATTTTGTAAATCTTCCCCAGGAAGAGCAAATGAGCTTAATAATGGAGCAGTTAAGAAAGAAGAATGTAAATCTCTCAGCTGCTCACATGAATACTGATATGAACTACGACCAGGTATATTCCTATAATAAGCCGTTCAAAAATATCAGAAACCCGATTCCTCTCATTCCAATTAATCCATCTTGCAAGCGACCCAATATTACCGCCCCAATTACAGCAGAAGAGGAAGATGCATATAGAGAATTCATTGAAACAGAAGCGCACTACATGAAGTTGCAAGCTTGGGATGACTTTCCTGATAAACTGAGGTTGTTCCTTGGAAATTTACCCGCGAATACTATATCCAAGCAAGATCTTTTCAGAATATTTAACCAGTATGGAGAAGTCGTTCAGATCGCTATAAAGGCTGGATATGGATTTGTTCAGTTCCGGACGGCTCAGGCATGTTTAGATTGTATCAAGGGTGAATCTAATGTTCCATTGCATAATAAGATCATGAGATTAGATGCTTCCAGACCTCAAAAATCAAAGAAACAGGGAAAAGAAACTATCGATCCAAGAATATCTTCCAGAGGAAGAGAACGGCCATCCGTAGAAAGTATTAGAGCAGGGGATGAATCCGAACAGAAGCGAAAAAGATCGACACCTGATTGTAAAATTTTCACAACTGGGAAATCTTCAGTTTTTTTTATAAGACGAGTGAAAAAATCGTTCTCTTCTCATCAGCTATCAGTTCAGACTGAGGATATAACACATAGGAACATTAATGAGGTGATAAGTGAGGCAGCTTATTCCGGAGTAGTGGGGGTTTGCATCATTAATGAAGTTAAGGTAGATGTTCAAACTTTTGAAAGTACTGCCGATGGTGGTGTTAAATTCGATGAGTATGCAGATATTGAACCAGAAGTTGCAGCAGATATCCTTTCGAAGGCAAAGTTGAAGAAATACGGCAATTCATCTACTTATCAACACCCGACAATTTCTTATCAAGAGAGTCCCTTACCGTACGGTACAGTCAATGAAACTGATTCCTACGGAAGGAGAAGGAATGAACAAAGAAGAGGAAATCGTTCTAATGATAGAAGAAGTGGTAGTGGTAGTAGTAACTCTAGGTTAAAGCAACAATATCAACAATGGAATCGACCTCAATCACAGCCCATTAACGCCCAATTACCTGTTGCAGGCAATGTCCGAGCTCCTTATGGAATATACAACCAATATGAACAACAACCCACTCCTTCTCAATATGGGACTCCCCCAGTTTATGATCTTGGTAACTCAGTACCTAGCCAATCACCCCAACATAACTTATTGCAAACACTTCAAAATTTAGATCCATCATCGATGCAGAATATGATATCAATTTTACAACAGCAACAGCAACAGCAGCAACAGCAGCAACAGCAGCAACAGCAACAACAACAACAACAACAACAGCAATTTCGGAGCCCTTATCTTTCACCTCCAACGAACTTTGGACCGTATCATAATGCATATGACCAGGCTTCCTCGCAACCAATTTCTCCTAATAATTTGCCAGCAAATCAGGTTAATAATTTGTTATCGCAGCTTCAAGGCTCTCAGCCTTCGATGCATCAAACAGCCCCACCAGCTCCTCAACCCCAATTTCAAGCTGATGATGATTCTACTAAGGCTCTAATGGACACTTTGGCTAGATTGAGTAGAAAATGAGCCGCTAATGTCACTGAGCAGTGACGCTTTTAAGAAGAAAACTACGAGACCTGTATTCCTTCATAAGGAAATATTGAGACTAAAACAAGCTAATGCAAATAAAAAACTATACGCTAATCAACGATATCCGAAGTACTTATCTCTTTCGACTTATCGTCACTGCTATCATCTTCTGCAAGCGTTTCCAAGCCTTCATGTTCTTCATTGTAGTGCTCCTTCAATTCTTTAAAATCATTCTCGTCTTCAAGATAACCGCTTATACCTACAACCCCACATTCATTAAATATGTCGAGTACTTTTTCAGCATCTTCGACCTTCATTTCAGCAAAAACTTTATTCACTTCATCTAGAGACTCTGTTCTCACAGCATCTTGCATGCTTTGAGACAATTTTGTAGTGAAAATCTTGTATTCTTCAGTGCCCTCTGGTGGTATGTTGACCAGCAATTCTTTTGTCTCGTCTAAAGACTTGAGCTGTATTAGACCCTCTTCTTCACCTGCAGCATTAGCTCTCTGCTCCTCTCTGATCACCTCACATCTACCCTTTATATGATTAAATGTGTTTTCAACGTCTTGAAGGAACCCTACATTTGCAGGCGAGGACTTTTCTGAGACCTTCGAAAAAAAGAGATTCACTGCTTTTCTAATATCGTCGGCACTAGCCCTCGGTCCAGCTAGTTGAGAGACATATTGAAGAAGAAGGGATTGATGAACTATTTGTTTCGCCCTGACGGAATCATACTCTAGTTGATGGTCAAATGCAGTCATAATTAGTGAATCCTTTTGCTGTTCAGTGCAAATGTGTGGATGTTTCATAAGATACTTGGCACTCTCTGTATAATTTTCACTACTAAAGTGTGAGAATTCTTCTGTTTCTTGTAGAAGATTCAACTCCTCTAAAGCATCAGTCTGCTTTTCATTATTCGATGCTCTGTTCTTAGATGGTATTAAAGGATTGTTAATTGTTTCTGTACTCGTCACGGTTTCTGGCACTTTTGTAGAAGGCTTACTACTTTCGTCTTTGTTCAAAAATGATCTATCAAAACCAGTGTGGATGTCGTCACTACTAATCAAAGTTGACTTTTGATACAATAGGTCATCTAATTTAATTGTTTGCTTTGATAATATATCATCTATTTTGGCTCTATGATCCTTCAAATATTGCGCCAATTTCTGAGAGTCTTTTGCTGCTTCGGGATGATCCTCTTTGACCTGATCGAATAGATCTTCGATCATTTCATTGTAAGGTGGATTTCCTTCGTATTCTTCTTTATCAAAGCTCAAATCTTTTAATCCCTTCCGCAAAGTATCACCTTTCTCCTTCACAAGGTTCTCGTAGTCAAACTTCTCAGATTTATCGAACTTCTGATCTAATGTAGAAATGACTAACTTGGTGTCGAGAAGCTGATCGCCTTCCAACTTATCCAAGAGGTAATCAACTCTCTCATTAAGCTTTACATACATAGTCAACTGAACTAGGATTGATTTGATCTCGATATTTCTCTGCTGACGTTTCTCATGAATGTCTCTTTGTTTCCAATTAATAAACGATCTTTTATCAACATTTGGATGCACCTCAATATCAGAGTCATCCGATAACTCAATCTTATCCCACTTGGAATAGTCAATAGGCATTTCAAATAATAGTAGCTGTTTCTTATTTCATACAATTTCGAATGTATCACTGTTTAAGAACCATAACTTAATACCATATTCCAGAACGTTCCTAAATTTTACAATGTACAGGATTGACTGCAAACATAAAAGCCAGTACTAAAATCAGTAGAACTATTACAATGGCCATTGAAGAACGAGGCGATGAGCTTGGAATCAAGTTTATTGGGGTTGATATATATAATTACTTAATAAATTGACTTAAATTTGTGACAAAGTAACTTATGCTTCGCCATTTGGTCTCAATCCCGTGAAGAAAGCTAAACCATAACCTGTAGTCTCAAAAGTGATTGTTGTACCCTTTTTAAAGTAGAACACGTCCCCTGGAGAAACAGAGACTTTGTATCCGGTTTCATCTGCAATAGTGTACTCACCCTCAACTTCCAAAATGATCTTCATTTCATCATAAGTATAGGTGTAAACCAAGGGTTCCCCCTTCTCTTGCTTATAGAAGCCACAGGAGATCTGTTCTTCTTTAGGAGCATCAGATGTGAAAATATCACCCAAGAAGGAGTTGTTTCCTGGCGATGGGATCTGAGGAGGCTTCACTGCCTTTCCCTCAACTGCTGGCTTGTATTTCATAGGCATGGTTGTAGTAAGTAATTGAATTCAAATTTATAGTGAATGAATGCAGTTCAATAAATTATAAAGAACAACTATGAAAAAAAAGTATAGCGCAGGACATTCCTTTAATTTATACTCCAATTTATTTAAATTGGTGTTGTAATCTAATCCACTTTGTTCACTGATAGGACACTGTGAGAGTCTATACATATAATATCGCACTTATATTCCCTATATGGTAAAGATATCCCACAAATTCAGAAAAGTCGCATTATCGGATTCATTCATTTTTTAAACAAATTAGTGAAAAATACGTAAAGCTAGAAAATATGTTCCAATAAGAAATATTTAAACTGTAGAGCTTGATCAATCACAAAGAAATCTCCAAAAATGCTGACGAGGCAAGCAATTGGCTGCATTTGCTTTTAAAAATATGGGCAGAAGAAGAATCCCGCCCTCAAATATTTAGTGAGATAGCCGATATAAACTCTTTGATCTCATATGCCAAGAAAATGAGTATATGTAATCGCTTTCCTAGCTTTATAATTAGTACTATTACAACGCATGAATGATTACATATAATGGAAGGGTAAGATGATACCTTGTTTTTTCCGGGTGTTTTATTTTAAAACAAAAGTATTTGAGAATTTCATACATTTTTGGTGACTCCTGACGAAGAGATAAAGGTGTTACACATTTGCACGCAGCTGAGGCTCTTCAGAGGACCTATTCAGGTTGTCAATGGCAAAAGCTATTTAGGAACAATTCTTTAGAGCGTATGTTTTCTTTTGTTGATCTATTGATTAAACTAGGTTAGTGAAGGACTTCTGGATATCGTAATTAGCGAAGTTGATAGGGTGCTCTGATGATTCTTATAGAATAAACGGGCGACGAGAGTCCAGATGTGGCTTACAACCATCTAAAATGCCCAATTTATTATCATTATCTGTGCGAGGCGGTATCTCAGTCCCAAGATAATGAAGATACTTCTTTTGCAGCCTCCATAACACTATGTACTCTTCTATGACTGATAAGTTATATTTTTTGTGAGACAACAGTCAGGTGACTGTTGCAAAAAGCTATTACACATTAGATGACTATATAAAATGTAGAAGAACCAGAAGGTTCAATAGCTAGGGAAAGTAGTTAAGTATAACGTGCTTAGTAGTACCACCAGGTATTCACGTAGTGATTCTATATAAGTACACTTAGCTCATAGTTTTCCAAGATAGGCCTGGCTAGCTCAATGGCTAGAGCGTGTGACTTTTAATCACAAGGTTGCGGGTTCGACCCCCGCGTCGGGCTTACTTCTATCTTCTTTTTTTTCTAAAATGCTGATATCTTCTTTGAATAGCATTTCATTCTATGCCATGGTATCTTATGCTGCAGGCAATTCTAATTATTATAGAACCGTATGTTCAATTTTTCTAATTTTGGTTTCGATGTGCTCACCGAATTCGAAAGTTAAGTAGCAAAGAATGTAGAAAAATATCAAAAGTGTAGGATTAATGATAAAGAAGAAAAACAACTAACAGTAAATGCATAGCGTAGGGATCAGAGCTTAAGATCATTTTGATATGTGATCTACATATTCGATGAATGCTGGATAGGGTTTCTATTTTTAATATCTCAGCCGGATCAAGTCAGGGTTCTTCCTACAAGTTTGCAAGCAACGATCAATATCACGTGATAACAAGAAAAACATATATTCTAGCTTATATTATACAATAAGGTTTATAGGTGCTTTAGCGAGTGCTTTATATATGAAATTGGATGTGTGTTTTATGAACCTTAAACATGTCGTTTAATAATCATTTGGCATTTAACGTGATGAAGTCTAATCCGACGACTTCCACGACTAATACCAATACAACCTCGATATCACAACCTACATCAAATATTAGTGACTCAGGGCCTGCTTCAAAATCACCATTGATCCAAAATATATTGTCGAGATCAGCAATGCTGGAGAATTCTCCTCCTAAAAGTTCATCGGGCCCAAGTACACTGGGAAGCTCTTCTCCCAAATTCGGTACCCCTAGTTCGGCAAGTGGTAGTGAAGCGACGGCAACAATCGTTACAGTAAGCGAAAATTTGAGGAGCATGAACGCAGCAGACAACAAGAACGATAACAGGGCAGATTTAAGAGGCTTATTCGACAAGTTTGATATTAGTAGCCCCAAGGAAAGTGATAATGAAGAGAGTGACAGTATACAAGGGGAAAAACTGTATAGTCAGGGAGAGTTATCCTCTCCCAATGAGGATCATAAGTCTAAGGAGAAAGATAAGATTACGGATGATAAAGTCGAAAAAAATTTTGTGAGCTCATTTGGAGATACCGAAAAGGAAAGTCAGTATAGGGAAGATGAGAAGGAAATATCGCATGATAGCTATAACTATGAGCACAAAGAAAATGCTTTTGGTTCGAACCACGGTGAGCAATTAGAGAACAATCCGAGCTTATCTGAGGCACTTGACTCCCACAACGGTAATTGTATACGAGCATCGGAGCTGAGACCTATCAATTCCTCGCACTCAGGCTCTCCAAAATCCATCAACGAGGAATCAGCTCCTCAAAAAACGCCGGAGAAAAGAGAAAAGTATCTTTCAGATATAACAGGAAGCATTGATGAGCAATCATCGGCCGTTGAGGAATTCAGGTTGAGCAAGGATGATTTTGCACAGCGAGGAGGTGCACATGAAGGAGAGACACTGTCAGCTGGTAATGCAAGTATAAATAAAAAGGCCCATAAGGCGAGGGCCAACATTAATCCTAATGATCAATATCAAGAATCACATAAACCGTTTGATTTTCAACATTTTTTAAGTCACTTAAGGGAGAAAAGCGCTGATCCAATTGTAAGATACATCAGGTCTTTCCTAGTGTCGTTTACAAGACTAGGGTATACATTTACTCCTGAACAGAAGATTAAAATTATTGCTGACTTTAAACTATTTATGAATGATAAGTTTACAATGTATGAGCCATTTGCTTCTATGGATGATATTGACCTTGAAAATTCTCGGGAAGGGTTGGAAAAGTTGATAATGAATAGATTATATGTTCACTGCTTTCCTCCCGAGCTTCTGAAAGAATTCCCTTCATACATCCTGGATTCCTTCGCGAAGGACTTGGAAGATGATGCAACTTTCGATTTACAACTTGAAAAATTCAAATGGTTGAATGGAGCTCATCTTGATGTTAACCTTAAAAATATGGCAGGTCAGGGCAATGGTAACTTAAATTTTATCGAATATGCCGTAAATGAATTGAACAAAATTAATGTATTTAGAGCTCCAAGGGATAAAATCATTTGTATCTTGAATGCTTGCAAAGTGATTTTTAGTTTTTTGAAGGTAAATGACCAAGAAACAAATGCAGATTCTTTTATTCCGATATTGATCTTGGTGATTTTGAAAGCAAGGACAAAAAACTTGGTAAGCAACATGCATTATATAGAGAACTATAGAAGCGATGAATGGTTGTCGCATGGTGAAACTAGTTATTATTTGTCTTCATTGCAGGGAGCTATTGACTTTATTCTGAATTTAACTATTGATGATCTAACTATTGATGAAGATGAGTTTAAAGCACATATGGAGGCGTGGGACGAAGAAAGAAAACAAATGCAGGCTCCTCCAATGCCGACCGAAATACGACAGCCGCAGCCACAACATGCTGGCCAGAATTCCTCTCGCGCAATGCAGACACTTTCCCCAAGTAGCGTTCTACTAACTAGTGCGGGCTTAGTATCAAAATCAATTTCAAATTTTTTATCTCCCTCTCCTCAGGGTCAGCCTACTCGAGAGTCACCAAATAGCCCTGCCCATGAAAATCCGCAACCAGATAATAACGAAGTTAAATTGAAGTCATGTTATAAGAATTTACGTGAGGTTTTCCCTAACTTAGATAAGGAAATATTGAAGGATATCGCCTTCCTTAATAAAGGGGAAATAGAGAGCTCTATTGATGCATGCCTACAAATAGTCGCAGAAACGTAATACAATGTTACATAATTCATTACAAATTAAGCTGGGAAATGAATTTTAATTCGTGTTTATAATTATGAGTCTCATTTATTTAAGAGTATTTTATAATTATTATGTTGATGCTTAATGCTTAATATTCAATTTTAATTTTAGACCAGTTTTTTTAGGCGCTTTTTCATTCACTTTTGCCGATTCTGAAACCTTTTGACTAAGTTGCGATTGCTTTGATGTGCTTTGATCTTCTATTAAAATTTCCGGTTCTTGTAACAGCAGATTATCTTCAATCGGCGTAGTTGGGGAGGGTTTAGTAGTGGGTGATATCTGTACGCCTTCAGTGGCAATTTTGTGCTTTGATTCCTGATCTTCCTTCTTTGTGCTAGAGTCAGCGTTCATTCGGTCCTGTGGCGTATCATCTTCGATCTTTTCGTCTTGAAAGGCAACGGTCTCCTCAGGCTTTTTTGGTTCTTTTTTATCACTTGATTCATTAGGGGGACTACCATGAGATGAACTCGGTATAACATCCGTGGTTTTTATAGAATCAAAAGGGGTAGCTGAAAGAATGACCTTTTTCCGTCTTGTTAAAATCTTAACGTATCGTACTGCTTCGCTCTTCGGAGCAAGATTCTTTAAGTACTCAATATATTTTGCAGTAAATTTTACTGATATTGAAGAGCCACGAACTGTCACTAACAGCAAAGGAGGGTCACTGTGTCTTAACGGCCCAAAATCTAAATCACCCAATCTAAGTTTTATTGTTACCAAGTTACTATTAGTGGGGTCGATAGTTACAAGATTTGAATCGGCCGGTTGACTCTTGACCTTCTTGGCCTTTTTATTGGAAAAATCCAACTTCAATTTTAGTTTCGCTGAGTCGGAGGTCAAAGGTGCCGAAACGGACTTATTCGAACGTTCAACTGAGCGGTTCTCATTTGTAGTCATTGTAAGCTTTCGAGAAACATGAAGCTTGAATCGTCCTTCACGCCTGAACATTAGCTTGCCATCACCAAGATTCTTTAAAACAATTTTTCGCTTCAACTCACTCAAAGGAACACTTGGAATAGGAACTCTCACAAGAAACGAGTCAACTTCTTCATATAAAACTTCACAAATACAGAAGATTTCTCTCCTTTCATTTACACTCAAAAGAGATGTATGCAATAACTCCCAAAAGACAGCTTTTAGGCCCTTTCCAATAGCATAGTCTCTCCTTAACAATTTAATAGCCCCACTAATAGTAGCTCGAGTAAAATTATCCCTTTTGGATGTTAATTCAGTATTTGGGGCATCCTCGATAATAACCATGTTAGTTTGGTTGTGTGCTAGTCTGGAGCTATCAACCAATAACTTGTCGAACGTCTTGAACTCAGGATCGTCCAAAGTTGAAGGTGTTCCCTCAATAGCCGCAACACAAAGAGAATAAGAAAGTGACCTTATGAGATTTCGTCTAAAATAAGAGACATCAGAATCAAGGAGTAAGATTTTCAAAAAGTATTGAAGTATGGCAGCATTTTTCAAGCCACCTAATAAGAACAATCCTTTGAAAGCCATAATTCTAATTTTAACAGAATATCTGTCCAACGTATAGTAAAGCAAATCTTCAAAAGAAACTTGGTGTAAGCCTCGTGCTGCTAATTTAATTTTCTGCTCAAGGCATGTTATTCCCACTATATTTTGGTAAGATGGAACCCATTCATCCAACTTTTGAAGACGATCAATTTCAGATAAAGCTAGTCCTATGAATTTTTTAGATTCATTCATGCTGCCGTTGTTCTCTTCGTGAGAGCTATAGCTCAACAGATCGTTGGACTGAATAACGCAATTTGTTAGAGCCTTCAACAAGTCACTAATATAAAAGCAATCTTGAAAATTGTTGCTATGATTTTCATTGAACTTGATCAAATTTAAAAGCAATTCTCGAATAGCAGTGGGATACTTTCCATTTTCCTCTCTAACTTCGCTTAGAAATGCAGGGATATTCTTTTGTAAAAAAAACCTTGGAAAATCAGTGAAGTCATTGCCGTAGGGTATTGAACTTCCTGGAAAGCAAAACATTTCTTTATAAGCCTTTATAAGATATCTAATGCCAATAAAATTATTCTCAGGCTTTGAAAATTGAGTTAGAGCATGAGCAGCTGCAAGGCGAATTCCATTATAATACCTACTATCCATCAATGTTCGAGTTAGCGTTGTGCAATAGGTTGTATTTGGTCTTTCGATATTCGCGAAATATTTGACTGCGTCATATTGAGCTTCAACATCCCTATCATATTGAAGTTGCGAGCAGTACATGTAATCTGGTTGCTTCACATGAATTTGAGCTATCCACTCAAAATCTGCATCTACTCTGATCCACTCAAATCCATCATTCAAGCTGTCTTCTTCTTCTTTCGACCATTCAGTAAATCCCCACTCTTGGACATCACGCTGGTCTTCGAGAACATCTCCTAATTTACTAAAATTAGTCAGTATATCATTGGTATCATCCTTGTGCTTTCTCATTCTTCTAAGTCTCGAGTTGTACTGTATGTCAATTTTTACTTGACCTTCTTTAATATCCACGATATGCTCATATGGCGTACCATCTGCTTCATGAATTCTAATAGTCATTGGGCCACGAAACACGGGTAGTATAGGGAAAGATGGTTCTTCATCCAAGAAACCTATAGAATCATTGATAAATGTATTGGGATCTGGGTGAAGCCTTTTAGTTTCACTATGCTGAGTCTGCCGGATGCTCATCTCTATCAAAGTCCGTTTTCTATTGAACTTCTGAGACACTTTAAAAATCGGGTACCCGGAACTATATACCCACTGTTTAAAAAACGAATCTAATTTGATTCTAGCAACCTTCTCACAGACATGCTCAAAGTGTGGCGTAGACAATGTGCTGTTTTGCAAGTCTCCCGACATTGCTTGCAAAAAAAGCTTGGAAATGACTCTAGAAAGGCCAAAAGCTTTATCAGTTTTTGTCATTCTTCTATCGAGAATAAATAGCACTATCGGAGCTTTAAGCTTGATAAACTTTAGATCATCTTCTGAGATAGGAAATCGAAAGAACTGGTAAGCTAGAGGTTTTTTTCCTATATCAACATTCATAATTTTATTCATATCTTCTTTCACCTTGAACCTACAATGATTAGATCCCATCAAAGTTTTCAAAAACTGCAATAACATGAAATGGGCTATACCAATCGTACACCAAGTGTCGCCTATTGTCTGGGGTGTAATATTAATGCCTGACCATTGACTTGCAATAGCTTCTACTACAATTTCAGTATTAGTGAACATTGGCTCAATCAAATCCGGTGGATATAAGATATCGTCGCTCAATACACTCAATCCGGCAAAATTATTTGCATATGATGAACATCCATCAACAAATACAATCGCAAACAGACTGAAAGGAAAAGAGCCGAAATGCTTCAGGAAAAAATCTATAGCTTTATTTGATAAGATACCAGTATTTTTTGCCAAATCCTCCTTTCCTGGCAAGAAATATAGAGCAACGACCAGAGCGTTTTCGCCATTCATTTCGAGATCATCCATCAAATCTTCCTTTTTCAATAACTCTTCTTCTGCAGCTTGTTCCGAAGTTGATAATAATAGATATTGAAAGCAACCCACAGCCCAACCAACATGATGAGCACATATTGGGTTAAATATTGACCAAGATACAACCTTCTTTGATACGTCAACAGGATGAGGAGTTTCCTTTATGTTATTAAAGTCGCCGGAACAAACTGTCAAATCATAGTTCTCATTGTCATCATCTTCTTCATCATCATCTTCGGTATTTCGCTTTTCATCATCTTGAATATCATTGACGTTTTTATCAATGCCGTCAATCTCATCCTGGCCATCGATAGCATCGAAACTATTCCATGCCCTAGGCCCATTTGGTATCGTGTTATTATTTGACTTTTCTATATCTTTAATTGTTCTTGGAATATTCACCTCCATGGACCAAGTATTTCTGTCCCATAAGTTATCGATGCAGGGGACCCAGGAAGATGTCGAGATGTTATAATCGGAATTTGTTGTATACGCGTGCCACGTTCGTCTTTCGGAAGACTTATTGGACATAAAGTTTATACCATTTTTTGGGTTACGTAGCTCATAATCAATTTTGACATTTATAGGGGAATAAGCTTCGTTTGTAGTGTTTCTAGACCTCAAATGTAAAGGTGTTGCAGTACCCACATAGCTTCCTGGCGTATGAATCGAAGAGATATCTGTTAATTCAATTTTTAAGTTATCAGGTAAGAAAATGATTAATTCCTCAGTATTTCCATTGTTAAATTCCTTCGGTGGATCAGAAGGGTCATAGTTATTCTCCCCAAATATGTAATTTAATTTTTGTCTCAATAAATGATGCTGATGAATAGTGAAATCATTAGAGTATAGATCTAGTAAGTTTATCGTGCTTTGTTTTATACAGCCTTCGAATATTTTATCATCATTTATGTACAAAGTGTCTTTGTAAATGTAGTTTGTTATTCTACTATCATTAATATAGACATCTTTAATCATCAATTCTCGACAGTCTAGTTTTATACATTTGAGTGACTTGGAAGTTGGTAGCACAATCAATTCCGTAAAGCCTTCGATCTTGTGGTCCAATAAGTTAACGTCGATGTTTACCCTTTGATGGCCGATTCTCAAAGCTTGGGTCAGAAAGTTTATATGTTTTGTTCTAGATGCCTTCGTTTTCGGTGTGCTGACCAGACCCACTTGTGAAGTATCTGGTGCTTTATCCATATTGACGAAGGATGGCATCTTTGCGACACTTAACAAACTATTCTGCTACCTATAATAAGCTTCGAACGTAGAATCGTATGTTAAAAGTTTAGGTGAAATATATATTCCTGTATATTGACATGGCTATAAACGATGTTGCTTCAAGCACCATTCAACCTCTATATTTTTTTCAATAAACAAGTCATACGTTGGTACAGATACTAATGAATTCTCCTTAAAAACCAATGGAACTCCTTCCAAATATTCACCTTCAATATGGCGCTCTTTTATGTCACAAACCTCATTTAAAAGGCTCGTATGTATATTTTTCGTAAAAGGAACTATGCGTAAGCAGAATTGAAAAGGCAGCCGAAATCGAAGCCAGAATCTTCTATCAAACAAAATCCAATGACCCCATGTCAGTGACGACGTGATACTTAAGGAATTCCTAAAATTATCTTCCTTTAGAAGAGGTTGTCTAAAACAGGTTAACATTATATTTCCCGTTTTATGGTTGACTGCTGCCACAATAGTCAAATTTAAACAAACAAGTTTTATTCTATTCTCGTTTCCTTCTTTTAACCTTATTAATTTCGGCACCATTTGTCGCTCAATCTTTGCATATGCCCAATGGTAATGCTTGATAGATGATATCGGATAAAGCAACCAATAAAGAAGTCTGCTTAGGATCAAATCCATTTCATGGGTCATAAAACGAATTGGAATATTTAGCACTAGGCTCCCATTCCCCTTATTAAAAGTTAAAGAGTTTTCAATCGTCTTATACAACTCTTTTGCATGCTGATCGACTTTATCAGTATAACGTACGACTTCATTGTGAGTTTTTATAAGATTCAGTTTCAAAAGTATCAGGGAATTTGAAGATAACATTCCAGTAGACACTTCCTTTACCAAGAATCTCAATCTATTTCGCTTTGTCAAAAAAATATCATTGTTCGTCTTATCTTCAAACCACTCAATACCTCGCTCGCAACAATTAGACCTAATCTCTTCCTTACTAAACCCAAGCAATGGCCTCACAAGAAAGATGTTTACGTCCGCAGGATCTTCAGCGGGCATTGGTAGGGGCGTAAACAGTTGCAAACCACGAAGTCCAAATAAGGTGGACCCTTGCTGCAATCTTTGAAGATACGTTTCTATCTGATCATCCTGGTTATGACCAACGAATATGAATTTCGATTTTATCTCCTTGCTAACTGATCTAAATTCTTCGAATCTCTTCTGGCGTGCCACCTCTTCAAAATTAGAAATACTGTGGACCGGTTTGTCATATTCCAACTTCCTAATGATATGATTAAGTCCCCACTTCTTTACCTGCTCTCCCACCGATATGGCTTCTCGATTAGATTCATGGCGATACGAGTGGTCAATTGTGACTGCGGTTATCTCCAACTCAGGTTGATATCGCTTTCTATATTCACTTAGTAAAAAAGCTAGACATATTGAGTCAACTCCCCCTGACACACCAACTAGGATTCTGCGGGGAAGACACAGCAGACCAATTATTTTAAGCAAGTTGCGTGAAAAATATTCATTGCTAATCATATATCTGGGTAGGTACCATCTATTAAAGGTATAGTGAGGTTAAATGTGTATCAATATATCACGATGAGTAAATGATTACATAAGCCATTTTTTTTTTCCCTTCTGCTTGGATTTTGAGTTTTTTGTCAACGATCCATAGGGTATTAGTCATTCTCAAGTAATTAATCTTTAAAAGTAATCGACGTTCTTAAGTGTACATTGCCTATTGAGCAAAACTATGGCTTTTCAGGAAGATAAGAACTGTCAGTTTTTTAACTTCCCAAAGGAAGAAGAAAAGGTTAGCGAACTTTGGGATGATATAGACGCATTTCAAAGAACCTTGGAACTTACCAAAGATTTACCATCATTTTCCTTTTACGATGGTCCTCCTTTTGCCACAGGTCTTCCACATTATGGTCATCTTCTCACGTCTACCGTGAAAGATATTGTTCCCCGTTATGCGACAATGAACGGCCACTACGTTGAAAGACGATTTGGATGGGATACTCATGGTTTACCAGTTGAACATGAAATTGATAAAAAATTGGGTATTACTGGTAAAGAGGATGTCATGAAAATGGGAATTGATAAGTATAATGCTGAGTGTAGGTCTATTGTTATGAGATACGCCGACGAATGGCGTAAATCAGTCAAGAGAATCGGTAGATGGGTAGACATGGACCACGACTATAAAACTTTGTATCCAGAATTCATGGAAACCGAATGGTGGGTCTTTAAACAGCTTTTTGATAAGGGCGCTGTGTATAGAGGCTATAGAGTGATGCCTTATTCGACAGGCTGTACTACTCCATTGTCTAATTTTGAAGCGCAGCAAAACTATAAAGACGTCAATGACCCCGCTATCACCGTAGGCTTCCCATTAGTTGAAGACGAAAATACTTGGTTAATTGCTTGGACGACTACTCCTTGGACACTCCCTGCGAATTTGGCTTTAGCTGTTAATCCCACATTTGAATATGTGAAAATATTCGACGAACAGAAGCAAAAGAATTTCATTTTGCTCGAATCTTTATTAACAACGTTGTATAAGAAGCCATCAGCAGCTAAGTTCAAGATTGTTGAAAGAATAAAAGGGAAAGATTTGGTGTCCAAGAAATATGTTCCAATATTTCCTTATTTCTATGAAAGTTTTAAGCATCGTGCTTTTAAAGTTATAGGAGCAGACTATGTTACAAATGACTCAGGTACAGGTATTGTTCACCAGGCTCCGGCTTTTGGTGAAGAGGATTTCAATGCTGCAACCAAGGCTGGTATCATAGACGAAAAGGAGCATGCTCCCAACACAGTAGATGACAGGGGATGTATAACGAATGACGTTCCTGACTTTGCTGGACTTTATGTCAAAGATGCAGATAAAGTTATTATTAAAAAGTTAACTGAGAACGGAAGACTACTTGTAAACAGTCAGATTAGACACTCGTATCCCTTTTGTTGGAGATCAGATACCCCGTTGATATACCGAACGGTTCCATCATGGCATGTCCGTGTTACTGATATAGTTCCTGATATGTTAAAAAATGTCGAGAAAACGAATTGGGTTCCACTGAATGTTAAGGAGAAGCGATTCTCGAACTGGATTGCTAATGCAAGAGATTGGAACGTATCTAGAAACCGTTATTGGGGTACTCCTATTCCCTTATGGGCTTCTGAGGATTATGAAGAGATTATCTGTATTGGTTCCCTTCAGGAATTGAAAGATTTAACCGGGGATCAATCAATCACTGACATGCACCGTGATAGTATCGACCATCTCACGATTCCGTCCAGAAAAGGTAATGGTATGTTGAAACGTGTTGAAGAAGTGTTTGATTGTTGGTTCGAGTCTGGATCAATGCCTTATGCGTCAAAGCATTATCCATTTGAGAAAAAAGATCAATTCATGGATTCTTTTCCTGCTAATTTTATTTCCGAAGGTTTGGACCAAACCAGAGGCTGGTTTTATACTTTAACTGTATTGGGAACTCATCTTTTCAATACTGCCCCATACCAAAATGTGATAGTATGTGGTATAGTTTTAGCAGCAGATGGTAAGAAAATGTCAAAGAGATTGAAAAATTATCCAGACCCACTGATTATTTTAAGCAAGTACGGGGCTGATGCATTAAGACTTTACTTGATCACATCTCCAGTGTTGAGAGCTGAAACTTTGAAGTTCAAGGAAGAAGGTGTTAAAGACATAGTATCTAGTGTTCTTTTACCGTGGTACAACTCTTACAAGTTTTTGAAAGATTCTGCTGATTTATACAAAAAAGAGAATGGTGAAGAATTCAAATATGATCCGAGCGTGATCTCTTCCAACGTTATGGATAGATGGTTATTAGCTTCTATTCAATCTTTGATTAAATTCATTCACACAGAGATGAATGCTTATCGGTTGTATACGGTTGTACCAAAATTATTGTCCCTAATTGATCAGTTAACAAATTGGTACATCAGGTTCAATCGTCGTCGTATTAAAGGGTATTCGAGCGATGATACGAAGGATACCAAATGTGGGCTTAATACTTTGACCGAAGCATTGTTTACTTTGTCGAGAGCTATGGCTCCATTCACTCCTTTCTTGGCCGATAACATTCATCAAAGAATGCTAGTCTATTTCGAGGAGAAAGATTTAACTATTCACAGCATTAATAGCAATAAGCAGGATGTGAGATCCGTACATTTTATGTCGTATCCTGTCGCTAAGGAAGAGCTTTTTGATAGAGCTATTGAGATAGCTGTGTCAAGGATGCAGAAGGTAATTGAGTTGGGTCGTAATATTAGAGAGAAAAAGAACATCTCGTTGAAGACTCCTTTAAAAGAGCTAGTTGTTTTACATTCCGATCCTGGATATTTGAGAGACATCGCATCTCTTAAAGACTATATTGCTGACGAGCTTAATGTCAGGACTGTGACAATATCTTCAGATGAAGCTAAATACGGAGTTGAGTATGTCGCGGTTGCTGATTGGCCAACTTTAGGTAAGAAGTTGAAGCAGGATTCAAAGAGGGTCAAGGCCGCATTACCCAATGTACCATCGGCGGAAGTTCAAAAGTATGCTGACAGTGGAAAAATAACCGTCGATGGAATTGATTTAGTAGCTGGTGATCTCCAGGTTCAACGTGGCTTGCCTTCGAAAGAAGTTGCCGAGGGTCACGAAGCTAGATCTCTGCAAGATGTTTTAATCATCTTAGATGTGAAATTGCATCCCGAATTGCAAGGGGAAGGTTTAACCAGAGAGCTTATAAACAGAATACAAAGATTACGTAAGAAGGCAGGGTTAAACAATACTGATGATGTTCAAGTTGAGTACAATTTGATTCGTGATACAATAGATTTTGAAAATGTTATCAAGTGTAATGAAGATTTGTTGTTGAAATCTACGAAAAGACCCTTGTCTCCATTTTCTTCTACAGAAAACAAGAATGTTATTGCAGAAGAAGAACAAGCTATTAATGATACCATTTTTGATTTGAGATTATTGAAGCTTTAGAATGCTAGTCTATTAAAGTCTTATATATATATTTAGGTATTCAGCTAATTTAGATAAACCTATTGAATTTTCCATGAGCTCAATCCTGCGCCACCAACTATTGCTACACAACTATCTCCGAAATTGGTTGTATCTGAGCACCCAGTATCAGCGATCGTGGTATAAGTAGCATCATTGCATTGTAACAAATCGTTAGAGTATGACCATACCCTAAGAATTTGATCGACTGAGGTGACAAGTACTCTTGAATCTGTGGCCTGAGCTATGGATGTAATTGTTGAAGAAGCTGCCTTCTCTATAAAACTCAAGGGCCTTAATTTGATGTGGTTATCATCAAAACTTATTAAAGACAAAATCAAAGCATTGTCGTCTCCTCCCGTAACAAGTCTGAGCGATTCAGAGTCACTCTGTTTAACAATCAAGAGAGATTTGATACTGTTTTGATGCAAATTTTGCTTGACCTGAACATGACCAAGCTTAGAGACATCATTGTCCATTATCGATTTAGATATATTCCATATTGCAATATTTCCATCTGTAGCCCCAATCATCAAAAAGGTACTCGTTTGGAACTTTAAAAACCTGACATTTAGTATACAACATGATGTGTAGTAGTCATCTACCAAACATTCGAAGACTCTCGTCTTCAAATTAAAATTCCAGATTTTGATGTTTGAGTTAGAATATACAGCAGCAATCATGAAGCCTTGCTGGATTTCGAAGTAGTCAAAATCCATGATTCTAAGATCGGGAATAGAACTTCCAGCTTTCAAAACGGCAAATTTTGTTATATGTACAGTTTGGAACTTGTCAAGGTTTAGTTTCCAAATGTAGAACTCTTCGTTAGCGGCAGAACTCCCCACATACATTGAATTCAAGAACTTTATTTTTTGCAATCCTGATACATGATCGTTTAAGCTCCATATATTCTCAATTCTACCATCTGAAAACAATTTGTTTAACTTGACAGTGGTATCTTCGGATGCGCTCATCATTAGCCTAGAGCCATCTTCCAAAACTGACGGCGAAATTGTCACATCTCTAATCTCTCTCCCATGTGTTCCATCTTCAAGTAATCCATCGTAACGGAACCGCGTCTTTAAGCGATTTATGTACAAAGAGGACTTATTTATAAATATGAACTTGTAAGATCCATCATGCTTGCAGTTTTCAAAAAATTGCCATTGTCTATGCGATCCACCACAATATTCACTAAATATTTCAAGCTGCTTGCTTTCATTCCATACATAGAAGTATGTTGATCTGAATCCATATAGATATAAGTCATTTGATTCCATAAAACTTCCTTCGACGAACCCTCGTGGAAACTTATTCTGATGAGTAATGTCAAGAAAGAAATCATTTTCAATCTTGCCGACATCAGCATACAAATAGTATCCATCTTTAACAGTAACAAGTATGCGATCACAGTTTTGTTTAGGGCTTACGAATGAAATGCTAGTAATAGAATCTCCAGGAGTTAACTTCTTGAATAAAGCTGATAACGAGTAAGTGGAACTTGATCTTGCCAAGTCATAAATAGCCAATGACACATACCTTGAGCCTATCAAGGCCCATTTATGTTCCTCGTCTACCACGAAGCAAGTTGTGGTAAAATTTGCTTGTGATGGCTGTAACAATTGATTGTTAGAATCAAGAGTGAAGATGCCGTTTACATACTTAAATCTTTTTAACTGTAACGGAACCTTTGGATTCGGGCAATCAGTCAATGTATAATAATAAATGGAATTATCATTATGGTAGGAAGAGAAATTACTGACTTTGTTTGTTCCTAATAATTCATCCGAAACCCATTCTTTCAGTGGTTGCTCGGAAGCTGAGTTAAATTGCAAAACTAAAATGTGTCCTTGTCTAGAACAAATCAACACCAAATTCATATCATCAAAGCCTCTCATTATACCAAAGTTATCAAATATTTCAACTTCACCTTCATTTAATACAATACTTTTAAATTCTTTGTATCTATGATCAAAAGTGAACATATTTCCCGCAGAAGTCAAAAGAACTAAAAGATTTAGTTTCCTTAGCTCATAAAAGTTTTTTATTATTTCATTCTTTTTCAAATTCACTCCTGTCTGTCTGGACAAAGTTTCCAAAGAAAAACATTCACTTTGTGCAGTTTGAGCAAGGTCATGAAGTCTTACTTTACCGTCAGACCCTCCACTCACGATTGCATTGACACTGATATCGTCTACATCTCCCGACCATATATGTTTACCCATATGTGCATGCTCCATGAGTTTTTCCTGAATTAAAAGTTCAGAGCCTTTCTTATATTTCCAAGTTCTGACACTGCAATCTTCTCCCGTGCTGAGGATCTTTAGTTCACTGGTATTGTTGAAAAACTGGAGACTCCATATTCTGGAATTATGCCCCCATCCTGTTGCCAAAAGAGTTCCAGTTTTGAAATCATACAACTTGATGGATCTGTCGTCAGAGCACGATATAATATATTCACCAGTTGGGTTGATTTTTACTCCAAAAACGGAGCCTTCATGTTCAGTCAAGTTATGTATGATTTTTCTAGTCTGGAGTGACCATATAATAACCCCATTCATAACTGTACCGGCAGCTACCAACACTTCACCACTGGGACGGATCGTAAAAGAACCACTATACAAGATAGATTTTTCTTTACAGTCAGTTTTTTCAATTAAAACATATTTTCTGTCCAATGAACTAATATCAATTTGGTAGACTGTATTATGAGAGTTTAATATCAAAAGACGGTCTCTCCCTGAAAACTTTATACTTGTTATCCATTCATTGATTGCTTTTTCTTCGAGCTTGATATTTTCATCTATGAATTTATTCAAATTAAAAACAATGAACGAGCGTCCACCGCTAAGAGCAACGTTCTCAGATTCTTTATCAGTTGTAATGCAATGGATTTTGTTTTTTCTGAAAACTTTTCTGGTAGCTATCAAAGAGCTGGAATTTCCTTCTACTTTGAAAATTTTCAATATCGGTCCATAACCCACTAGAATAAAATTTAAATAAAATTTTATACAAGTAACAGGTCCATAATGAAATAGTGGAGTCAAATCCCCCCTGTTGTTGACCACATAATCTTCAGTCATGAGGTAAATTCTTCCTGATACTAGTGTTATCACAGTCAGAGCACAAAATTTTCAGCCAAAAAATTTACGAGAAGCCATCGAGAAACTTAAATACACTACAGAATATTCAAAAATAATAATATCTTACATTTGGTTTCCTTAAAATAATGCAATATTCGTATAAATACAAAAGTTAAATTAATTTCAGTTGCTTGAAGTCTCTTGTGTATGCTTATGAGTTCTTTGGCTTGTGTTCCAAACCAAATTTTTTGCAAAACCGTGAAGAAGATTGCAAGGAACATTTAACGACACGATCATCTAAGCCTGACTTGCCGACAGAGACCGCCTCTTCTATTAATGGTCGTATTCCTTGCAATAAGTTCTTAAAATGTACCACAAAGTCAGTATCATCGGCAACGGATAATAAAAGGGTAAGGTAGTCGCTGTCCTTTGAAATGCCCACAGCTGCTATACTGTTTGGGATCAAAACACTAGGGCTCCTATGTTTACAATACTGCTCGGGTATTGTCCATCCATGAACTGGGATATTGAGAGACATGAAAGAACTCATATGGGTGACCATATAATTTGATCCATCCTTAACTATAATTGCGAAGTTTGGTCGATACATACTGCTGCCGCACCCGCAGTTCTTAAGGTGAGCACGTGCAAACCCAATCCAAACCTCTTTATCAGTTTTGTAATAATCATTAAGGCTAATCATTTCTGTTCCACCTCTCATTTCACCCACAGGGGCATCGATTGACAATTTAGGATCCCGTTTATATTGGGAGGAGCATGATGCAATCCCATCTGCATCGTCGGAGAGAGGACACTTCAATATCTCCAACTTCAGCCACCTGTAAACGAAATAGACATTCAAATCCTGATCAGACCTTTCCTTCAAGCTTATGAACGGAGTCCAGTTTTTCTGAACACGTAATCTTTTGCTGTTCTCTCTTCTAAGCTCGACGACTTTGTTGTATGTATTTTTTTCATACTTGGGATTTTGAAATCCATCAAGACTTCCCTTACCAGATTGAAACCTGAAAGGCCATGACATGAACATCAGTCTATGATATGAGAAAGTAACATTCATATTATCCTCATCAATAGGAATTTGTTTGTCTACTTTTCTGTGATACGCATTGAAAATGATCAAAGGTTCCTCAATACCCATTTCATTCTTGAACAATAAAATCCTAGGATCCTCGGGTCCATAAAACCTCTTAGATTGATAATGGACATCATGATAAAATGGGATTGGAAAATATGTCGGGAAGTGAATATTTTTATAAATAGACTCCTGCGTCTTAGGATCAGTAGTCGGTATGACAAGCTCAACATCTTCCATTTCTTCCCAATTTTCATTGAATACTTGTGCATAAACAAAACTCAAAATTGGAGCTCTCTTACGTCCCTTGGAAGAATATACGATTCTCGATATCATCAAATGGACTCCGTATTGTTCCAACCAAACGGAGCTTCCTGCAAACTTAAACCAATGATTCTGGGTTGTTTTCGACTTGAGCTGTTTCCAAAGATCATTCTTAAAAAATGGTTTCATTTCTGCAAACGCATCATCCGTGTTAAGTTTATTTAACATAGTTTTGGCAACTCTTTCAAGTCGAGGTTCGAGACTTTTATAGTTTGATAAGTTGAAATCCATGGCTTTCAGTAAATCATCGCATTCATCAGACTTCGATGAAGCACCATAAATCTTGACAGAATGTTTCTTATACTGCTGCTTTTGAATGACTTCCGAAAGCGGTTTCTGGCTACCCAGGTATTTGATAACATTAGTACTCTCATCTGTTTCGCCAAAATAGTGCTCGTAAAATGTTTGTACTTCATCTTGTGGGTGCTCAAAGTTCCGTGGGAATATAACAGCTGTTTGTTCTTCTGGGTACGATGAGATGCTGAACCCATTTACATGGTAGTCGTAGTTCTCCTGGACATGTAATAAAGGATGCTCCAAATAGGTAGAGGTAAAGGTTATGCACGCAACAGCAAATAACACAGCGAAGAGTACTTTACGTACTTTACGTACTTTTCCCACTACCGCCTTCATTTCTGAGGTCAAAATATAATCAGATATGAGTTCAAGCCCCCATAATGGGCTAGCGTAAAACTATATATACTTGCCGGACACTTTTGAGGAAATTAGGGCATCGTGGGCTAGATTGTTGCGGCTGATAATAGAATTGCGCCTAATAGCAACATCGGCCTGCATTTAAATCACACCCGAGCAGTTTACGTTATTACTTGACTCAATCGGAGAATGATATGCAGCCCCTGGCTTCGAAGTCTAATGTCTCACATATTGCTACTAAGCCTCAGTATAATTTTGCATACTTTCACTGAGTTCCAGAATTAGCTCCCGGCTTTGAGACTAGGAACCTAACTTAGGGAGGGGAGTACGTGTAACAGTAGCGAGGAACTTAAGTTCAACGTCTCTTCTTCGGAGTAATTGACATAAAGGCAGGGCCCATAAGCAAGGCAGTGCTAGCATAAAAATATACACATCAATAAGAATATGCCAAATACTAGCAGCACTTACCGGAATGGGTTAAGTACATTGTTGCTGGAGAATGTGTCACATAGCAGATGATAACGTTTGCTTCACTCTTTGCTGCTAAAGCTATAGGACGAGAGAGATGACGCACTGAAAAAAAATTATTGACCACAAAGAGGAATATGTAGTGGAACTCCAGCAGCATCATAAATGCGGCAGCAAAGTGACGATCATTACAGCAAACATATGGAATATATATCGAAGATTATGGAAACCAGCAAAGATATGAAGTCTTAGTTGCCGATATATACGGAAGATGTATCGATAACATTTTTGACTCGATAGGGGTCTTTGTTTATGTTTGAGACCAATTGTGTCGAAAAACCAACAAGTATCATACGCTCGGATATGTCGTCACATGTCGTCACACGTCGTTGCATAACGATTAACTATAGCAAAAGCGCCTGCTATAAACTGAATGACGAGTACATTCAAGCACACTCAAGTACACTGGAGTACACTCAAGAGTGAACTACTTTGTACTCTCGTGCACTCGTGAAATAATTTAATACACCAAGAAAACTTGCAAAGTAGGGAAATGGGTCGAATCGTTTCCGCTCTTAGTACACGTTTTAAGTATGTCCACATTGAAAGCATGCTTGGATCTGATAGCTTCTTAATTCTTGATTTATTGATCAAATTAACCTCTCTCTTTGGCTTGTTTTCTCTCCTCACGACTTTATTCACATTGATATGAGGTCTTTATTGTATTTTGAATTAATTCCTCATGACGTAAGTCCCTTTTAATCAACTTACATGGATAAGATACTCTTTAAAGAAACCGAAGAGAACTCTTCCTTTTCTTTTTAGATCATACTTGATAAAGGCAGAATGTCCAGACATACATGCCTGATACCAGTCCAATGTAGGAATCAAATATATGTCACAAAGAATAGGAGGTGAAGAAATAGCGGGAATAAAAGCTACAGTTTCTGAATCTTCTAACTAAGAATAACACTAAGTGAGAATACAAGTCTGCATTTTGTAAGTCTGTTCTTTGACTCTGCACTAGTATTCTCAATTTACTATGGTCACTTTACTTACACGCTGTATGAGACCACAATCAATCTAAAATTTACAAGTTATTTGGTAAAAATACATTAGTTTCAAAGTATTCGTTGCATTGAAGTATCTTAAAGAGTATAAATTGTCCACATTTGTCAAGCTAATCATATTTCGCTTATTCACAGCAATAGTATTCAGAGGTTCATGAAAAAAATGCATCCTGCATATACATCAAACTCAGAATCTCACACAGTACTTTCAGACTTAGAATGTGTGCTATATCAGACTTGGGTCTATAGTTCACTCCAGGGACTTATTGCCTTCAATCACAAAGGCATCTATGGCAGCCATTGCTGCGTATAATCTATTTTCCGCTTCCTCGAATACCAAAGAATTTTCACTGTAAAATACATCGTCTGACACTTCTTCAGGATGCCTTGGCAAGCAGTGCATAAACTTCCAATTACTACTTGCCTTTCCCTTTGAAATCATTGAGCTAGTAATCTGGTAATTTTCGAATTGCTTCAACTTCTCAGCTTTTTCAGCTTCTTCGCCCATAGAAATCCAAGTATCTGTAACAATAACATTCGCATTATGCAACGCACTCAAAGGATCATTCAATATCTCAAAGGATAGCTTTTGATCTTTAGCTATTTCTTCAGCTTTCTTCTTGACTTCTTCGTCGAACACTATCCCTTTTGGAATAGAAATAGATACTGAAATGCCAGATCTAAGAGCAGCAATACACAAATCATTTATAACATTATTTGCATCACCTATCCAAGTAAGTTTTAACCCCTTGGTATCTCCAAATTCTTCTTTGATGGTGAGAAGGTCTGCTATAGCTTGTAATGGATGGAACCTATCACACAAAGAATTTATTATCGGGACAGAAGAATTCTCGCAAAGGTCAAGAATGTCTTGGTGTGAGCTCACCCTGGCAAATATACATGAAGTCATTGAGCTTATAACTTTGGTCGTATCATAGACACTCTCATTGACACCTAGTTGTATATCATCTTTTCCTAAAAACATAGGTTGCGCACCAAAGAATGAGGCTGCACCTTCAGTACTAATTCTTGTTCTGGTTGATCTCTTGTTGAAAAGTAAAGCGACTAATTTTCCTAGAAGCTTATTATGATTTTCAACAGAAGGTTCTCCTTTTTTTATTATCTTTTTGTAAGTTTCAGCTTTCTGGATTAAAGAGTTCAACTCGCCATTAGTCAATTGCATCATGTTCACCAAATGACGTGGTTTTGCTTTCACACGGACTGAGCTAGAAATCATTCTTTTTCCCGTTACGTTAGCGACGCTTTGAAGACTCATCATAGTATGGATGCTATATTAGCTCTATATATTTTCAACGTTTATATAATGTTTCGTCTTTAATGACTCACTAATTGAGTAATTACGTTGTAAGCGCGGTGAAAAATCTTCATTCTACAAATTACGGAAACGGAAACATTGTTCATATGCCTTACTATCCTAATAATACAAAATGTGAATAAATTTGATTCATGCTGTTTCTTGAAGACAAAGCTCTTCAAATAATTTGGTTTTTCTCTCGTGAACTTCATAGAGACGGTTTTGAAATATACTTCGCTTTCTGGAGTTTTCTTCGAGGTTCTCACGAAGATTTTCGATAGAGAGCCTTAGGTTAGATACGTGATCTTCAAGAGTACCAATAGGACGTATTGCAACAAGTTCATCTTTTAACACCATATGGTCCTCCCAATCTTCTATATTCATTACATCGATAGCATCATTAAAATCGTTTTCATTATCGTCCGTTCCCAATTCCATGTCATAAATATCTTCATCTATTTGCGCCAGTTTCGATTCTTTTTCTAAAATCAACGGTTCATTATTTGTCATCTTATCAGCCTCATCAGCGACAGAAAAGTTTTCTTGATCTTCAAGCAAATCTTCACTGGTATTGTCATTTTCTATATCATTTCCATACTCGTTTCTTAGTTGCTTCTTTGTAATCTTCGGTTCCTTACTTTCAGTTGGCACATATCTTTTTTCGAAGCCTTCATAACGTGAATATGTCAGATCATTCAAATGTGCTAGCTTTTCAGGTTCTTCTGCAGAAATTACATCTAAATTCTCTATCACCGGATTATTCTCTGGGTCATCATTATAAATCTCAAGCATTGGATCTCCATCTTTATGCGGTTCCCGGGTTGAAGAAAACTGAATTTTCAGAGCAATCATGTTAGAATGCTTCAGTTTCTGCCGAATGAAGGCACGTTGAGTTTTGGAGCTTTTCTTTTTGAGAACGGCCTCTTCATTTTGATCATCATAGAAGTCTAATTTCACCCTATGATTTGACTTTCCATTCTTAACTTGCTTCTTTTTAAAAGTAATGGTCTTCTTGGGACGTGTCTCAGTAGACTTTTGGGGAACATCTGACAGTTCCATATCCATATTCAACAATTACACCTTAACTAAGGGGCCCCCAGATCAACACTATTTTTTTCATCTGCCCCAAAAAAAAAAAAATGGAAAACAAAAAAAATTTGCGATTATGCTAAACCATAAAACTTTTGCAAACCCCATCGTAACTTACCATTATCGGGGATAACTACATCCACTTTGAAGTAGCTCTAATATGTCGAGTCCATCTGAAAAAGCTTTGCTCTTGCATGGCAAGATGATGGAGGAGTCTCCAATAGCAATGTTTAGCCAAGATGAGCTTCAAGATTTGATTGGTACTAACAAACCGTCAGAACTATTAACCTTAGCACAGGAACTTATTGACAACAAGCTCGTAAAACTTATCAAGCATGGGGAGGAACTCAAATTTCAAGCAATATCTCTGGCCGAAGCTGACAAAATAACACAAATGACTGATGATGAAGCCATGATATACTCATACATTGAGGCTTCTGGAAGGGAAGGTATATGGACAAAGACTATAAAGGCAAAGACGAACTTACATCAACATATAGTAGTTCGATGCTTGAAATCTCTAGAGAATCAAAGATACATAAAGTCAATCAAATCAGTAAAGCATCCAACAAGAAAGATATATATGCTTTACAATCTTCAACCATCTATAAAAGTTACTGGTGGACCGTGGTTTACCGACTCTGAGCTAGATACGGAGTTTATTGACTCTTTATTAACCGTGATTTGGAGATTTGTGGCTTCCAAGACCTTTCCGTCATCGTTTCAACCACCAAGTTCGAATATCAACATTGTTCAAGCATCGTTTCCCTCAACCTACACCGGTTTCGTTAATTTGGACTCAATAATGGATTTCATCACGACGAACAAAATCACAAATATAGATTTGGCTGTAAATAATATCAGATCTTTATGTGATGTTTTGATCTATGACGATAAGTTGGAATTGGTTAATCAAACATTAGATATCTACAGGGCTACATGGCAGAGTGTCTTGGAGGCTGGATATGGTAGATCTTATGAAGAAGAAGCTAATAACGACCTCATTAGTACGGAAATGAATGCATTTATTAAGAATCGACCATTTTCCATCCTTGATGACTTTTCTGTCCCTGACGAGGAGTCAAGTGACACCGCATATTTGGATGCCTGGATATTCAGCTAGACATGTTACTGTCATTTGATATACTTTAATACTTTCATTATTTAGCATCTTTTTAGCACCCACAATGTGCAAAACTCAATATTTTAACGTATCTACAACTTTTTCGCGAAGGTGACAACATAACTGAGACTTACTTTGACAAGGTAGACTAAGTAGATGCCTGATTCGCCACAAACCTTATCATATGAGAAGCCATCACTTAAGAAGAATCGAGATAATTCTCTGATTCCTTCTTCAGAATCAGTTGGGGATGTCACATCCAGGAGAGTACTGTCAAGACGAAAGGCTCTTCAGGAATTCTACAATCTTCGACAAGATAAATTGAAGTCTACAGTGCCTGAGGATAAGTCACATATTGACGCAGAGGAAGATGAAATTGAATTGAAACTTAAAGATGACGATTCCCTATCTCAATATCTTAAGAACACTCTGATTGAGGATATTTTGAAGTTAAGAAATTCCATTACCAGCAAACTTAATTCGCATGATATGGCCAAAAAATCCATTATTTATGATAACTACTATGAACTTATAAAGCTAGGACAGGTTTTAGGAAAATTAGATACCACCAATCCCCCCGAAAGTGACAATTCTCTCAAAACACTTTCTCTGAAGCTTGATGAATCAAGAAATGAAACAAAGAACGATGACTATATTGATAATGTACTTCACGAGCTAGCTACGTTCATCAATAATAAAGCTATTCATTTTAACACTGACTTCGAGACAATTGTGAACGAGAATCAGTTTTTTGACTCAGGCAAAAGTGTACAAGATGACAAAAGCGCTTCCGATTATGAATTACCAAACGACATTGATAGATTTAAACTTGTTCAAGAGATTAACTTCTTATTAGAGAGAAACGGATCCATACTTCCTGAAGTATCCAAAACGAACATAGTTGCTGATATTCAGAAGATTTTGAAGAGACTTGACAATCACAATGAAGAGCTCTTGATTATTCAACTTAATGAATTGAAAAAAGCTTTTGCATAAAATATATATCCTAATTACTGTCTATATAATGTCCTCTACCTTATGATTTTTAAATTTCCTACCAGATCTATCGATTGATCTTAATTCGAATCTGGAACCTATAATTGTGAAACCGATGCACTCTTCGTCTGTTGACGCAGATGAATCTTCTCCGCTGCTTGGTAAAATGACCTCGAATGAAAAAAAACACTTACTCTTTGGGATAATTTTTAATCCACCTACTTGTTCTGACGGCGAGTAAGACGATGATTTTTCTTTCCATTCTTTAGAGTCCTCCATCCTAGGGACACATAGAATAAACGAATGTTGAGCATCCCATATTACTATGCCTCTGGTTCCTACCAAATTATTGTTTGCAGATCGAATCACAGTTAACATACAGCCGACAAAATCAGCACTGGCAAGCTTCGGAAGCAATGTCGTTAAATTGGGTATCTTGTCATTAGAAAACAACAAATCTTGCATATATTTCTGCCATAAGGTGTTTAAACCTATAAAGTCCTCAAACTTGGGAATAGAATAATGTTTAATTAACAGCTCTATAGGAAATGGCTTTGATTTATCTGTCTTCGTTCTACTATACAGTTGTAGTTTTTTTATTAACCTTTTTTGGCGCTTCGTGGTCTCTTTCACGTATAATTTCAACTGTTGCCTAGTAGAAATTATTCTTTCCTTGTTAACATTATCACCGAATCCGTTTTTCCTTTCGCTGTGGAATAATGACTTTTCTTTTGCATTCTCTCTTCCCGTTGGCATCAACACCAACACAGGTTTCTGATCTCCCAGATTTGAATATCGGGTTGAAAGAAGCTCTTCAATCTTTGCATCTGAAGAAAAGCATCGGGTGAGAAGGTGTCTCTCTAATGAATTATTCTTGTTCATCAAAGTTCTGACTATGATTTTGTATATCAAGAAAACGAGTGAAAAATCGCTTTTATATGTGCGAATTTTTAATTTAGCTAGATGATAACGTCTTCTCGAGTAATGCTGCCCATCCTCTTTCGTTTGCGGTTTAGAAACATAAAAGGTATACTACAGAGTAGATGTTACTCAAATATCCCATTTGAAAGCGATTTGACCGGGGTTGACCTTGAAGATTTTGGATTGCAGGACTTTCAGTCCTATACGACACCTGTTGAAGAGAAACGTGATAAGATCCATAAATTAACTTTGCTGGACCCTGAATCGGTATCTGCTAAAACTCAAACTAGAAAACTCGAGGAAGTAGTGCATCAGAAGAAGCCTTTGGTCTTAATATCAAAACTCAAAAACCCATACATCAATCTTGCTATTGAAGATTATGTATATAGTCGGATGCCTTTACCTGAGAATCGTGATGAAAATTTTAATCGTTTACTTTTTTATATAAATTCCCCCTGTGTTGTGATAGGAAGAAACCAGAACCCTTGGAAGGAAGTGAATTTGCCTTTGCTCCATTCGTTGCACATACCGTTGGTCAGACGAAGATCTGGTGGAGGGACAGTGGTCCATGACCTTGGAAATATTAATTTCAGCTTTATGACATCGAGGGAGAAATTTGATAGACAGAATTTTGCGGGACTAGTGGCTCGTGCTGTGAACAAAGTCCCTGAGGCTGATTACAAACTCCAAGTTAATGCAAAAGGAGATATAGAGACTGAAAGACAATCTAATGCTCTCAATTATAAGGTAAGTGGATCTGCTTACAAAATTGCCAAAGGCAAATCTTATCATCATGGAACTATGCTTTTGAATCTGAAACTAGATATATTGGGGAAGTTACTTTCGAGAGACGAGAAAAAGGTAGGATTTGTTGATTCGATGTCATCGGTCGCTTCAATCCCATCACCAGTGAAGAATGTAGGAATTTCTAGCGACAGATTCATTCAAGTGGTAACTGAAGAGTTTAAGAAAGTATACGGTGAGACTATGGATGTACCTGAGCCTCCAATTTCACAAGAGAAAGAATTTCTTGATCAAGAGGCGCTTTTTGGATTTAGCGAATTCATAAACGCAAATTCGATTGAGGAAAGTCTGACAACTTTTATAATCGATGAACTGGTACAATTACCTTCAGAGGTGCAGAACATCTCAAGTGAATTGAGGGACTGGGACTATAGATACGCATATACGCCAAAATTCACTCATGAATTCATTAATCACGAGTTAGGATTCAAAATAAAATTCTTTGTGGGCAAGAAGGCAGTGGTCGAGAAGTTTGAGATAGAATTTTTTGATGATGTTGAGAGAAGCATACCCATGCAAAAAATTAAGGATAGCTTTGAATTTTTAGAATCTACGGTTCAAAGTGGTAACCTTAAGTATCAGGGAAGTGACGTGGCAGGATTTATAACCAACGATATAATAAGTGATTGGCTAGGTAATTCTATTGATGGAACTTCTTAATATTCTATATATATAATCATTTAGATAATTTAAGGCCATGGTTTCCCTTATATGATGAAAATTCAGGAGCATTCCAATCTTTCAAGACAACGTCGGGGTCGGTTAATTCATAAACATCAATTACCAACGGCCTGCAACAATCTATCATTTTCAGTTCTTGCATCTCACTACTTTCCTCACCCCACTCCCATTGAGACAAATCGCCTCCTGGACATGCACTTATGGCAACTAACAAGTCCTGCTCAGCGAAACACTCAAAGTAGTCATCCTTAGTAGCAGGGCATGTTTCCATGAAGTATTGGTCATATTCATTTAAACCAGTAACTTGAAAAACATTCAAGACATCATGCACATCAAATTCAGTTAATCCGTATGGCGCAACAGCTCTAGTAAGGTTTGAATGACAGTGAAAATTGTTATCTTGTCCACTAATCAAGTTGTCAATATATGGATCACATCTTGTGCCTAAAGTATCATGTACTCGTCCGCCCCACTCATCATGCCTTGCCAGCATTGAATCACCTGTAATGGTGACCAAAGGACGTAAATATGGTAAGATTGACCATAACCTATCGTACGTTGAAACATGAGCCGAATGTATTTGTCTTGTTCTTGCAGCCCAGAACCTTTCCCTCGGATTGTTCATGTTCCATATGTTCAAGTCGCAAACTTGAGGTCCCTCTGGGGTCCTAATTCTAAAGACTCTTTTGGCAGAGACCTGGACAGCGATACCGGTTCTTGGGTTACACCTGTGACTCTCAATTAAGCGTTTAGGTGCATTGGCTATTCCATCGTACAACTTTTTGTCCGCATAAATTTTAGAGCCTGGATGAGGATAGTAAGCAGCCTTCGGTTTGGGAAGGTTGTAATTGGTTTTATTAGGCAACTGGGATGATGCTGCTAAGCTACTTTGGTCCGTCGACATTACTTCCTCCTATGTAATTTCTTTCACATACTAACCCTTGTTTCCAATATAAACTGTCGATATGAAAGTTCGGGTTCCAACTCCCGATGACGACATTCTGCAACCCTTCTAAAGGCTCGACAATGTCGTAGAAACTGAAATATGGGGTAATATTATCTTGTGATAGCCGGACCCACAGCTAAGTTATCGGCACTGCTCTTAGGGTATATAAGAATCGAATTCCTTCCTTGCGGAATAATTCTTTGAATTTATCGAACTCGATTTTTTACGATATAAATCATACTAATAGATAGTGCTGGGTTGAACTATAAAAGTATTCCACTTATAGCACTCTTAATACTATAAGTTGGAATAAGTAAGTTAAAACACACGAAATTTAATAAAAAGTATTGATTAAAATGGTAAGAACCTTAAAAGCTATTCATGGCGGCATTCGCAAATTCTCTACTACACCAAGCTATTTATCCAATTATGGATTCATTGGATTGGGACAGATGGGACGCCATATGGCAAGACACATTTACAATAAACTTGAACCGCATGACCAACTATATGTTTATGACACTATTCCTAGTGCCACAGAACAATTTGTAAAAGAGATTACGAGTGCCATGCCTAGCAACAAAGGAAAACTTGTGCCATTGAAAGCGATCGATGACTTTGTGAATAAAGTCGATTCACAACTAGATTTTATAGTTACAATGGTTCCTGAAGGTACACACGTTAAGTGTGTAATTAATGAGTTGGTGAGCAGTTATCAGAAACAGGACGTAGACAATTCAAGTACCAAAACTACATTTATTGACTCTTCAACAATTGATATTCCTACTTCCATTAGTATACACGACTTTGTCAAAAGCGAGATCCCTCAGTTTGATTTCATCGATGCACCTGTAAGTGGTGGTGTGGCAGGAGCTAGAAAGGGGACCTTATCGTTTATGTTATCAAGAAAAGATCATGATGCAATTTCTCCGGGCTTGACACATTTGTTGAGCAAGATGGGGACTAACATTTTCCCCTGCGGGGCTAAACACGGTTCTGGTTTGGCTGCGAAGTTGTCCAATAACTACTTATTGGCGATCACCAATCTCGCTGTGGCTGATTCTTTCCAACTCGCAAAAGCTTTTGGTTTAAATTTAGTTAACTATGCCAAGTTAGTCTCGGTATCAACAGGTAAGTCCTGGGCGTCTGTCGACAACTGCCCAATTCAAGGTGCATATCCAAAAGAAAATTGTTTGCCGGCTGATGCTCACTATGAGGGCGGCTTTGTGACCAAATTAACAAGGAAAGACCTAGTGTTGGCAACTGAAAGTGCACGTCTGCGTAACAGATTCTTGTTCATGGGAGATATTGGTAAATACTGGTATGATAAGGCCTGTGAAAGAGAAGATTTAGCTAATAGAGATCTTGGTGTTCTTTATGAATGGCTAGGTAATATTGAAGTTGATGAAGATGGTAATCTAAAGGAAATAAAGAAATGAGAATCAACTAAATCCTATTATAATATACAAACATTAATTTACAGAATTCTATTTTATTTCGTAGCCAAGATTAAAGCCTGGAATCGGCGACTCAGATTTAACACCACTCAGATCTGCCACGATTCGAGTAGTATGCCCAAGCTGGTCCTCGTTACCAATAGTCATATCACTCTCGGTGGAAGATTGACTCTTGCTTGATTCACATTCAGTCAGATCATTAACGACACCAAAGCTCTTCTGTCTTAGTTTGGTAGTTACCGCAGGTTCGTTAACAGTAGCTGGGTCACCAATTTCTTCTTTCTGATAATGCCTCTTTATTCTGGGATTTCTCAACAGTGAAAGGTTACCATTGATTTTATACAAATCATCCCCTAATTCGTAATTGTCCACTATATCTGTGATCCTTGTAGACCAGTTTCGAGCTTGGCTTGGTCTTCTTGTCACATCTGGCAAGAGTGAGCCTGAAGAAGAGTTCCTGCTTCTAGAAATACCAGGTTCAGGATTATAAGGAGTTAATGATGCGCTAGAGACGTTCAATAAAGGCAATGTTTGCTCAACTGGTAAATTAGTTGTGTTTGATTCAATGGAAATAACAGAGGATCGACGAGATTCACTTCTTTGAGGACTCATTGACCTCGGTGAAAGTATAGGAGAATTTCCCAAATCATCGTCTTCTTCTGCTGATAAAGGATTGAGGTTTTTAGTGTACTCTTCGTTTAAAGAGCTGTGGTTATCACTTGACGCAGATTTACGTGAAGGGCTTGAACTCAGCTTTCTTAACTGTTCATGTAATAAGTCTTTAATTGGAGTTGTCAGAACGGGAACGTTCCCCGGCAAAGCTAAATTTACCCCTTTGTTTGAGTTTCTCTCGGAGGACTCGTCTATTCTGAGCGGAGAAAGAGAAAACTCTCTTTCTTCGTACGCTGGTGGGAGTACTTTTGAAGGCCCTGATCCTTGCGTTTCCTCAAAAGATGGGGGATTAAATGAAGGTTTCCTTAGCAAATGAATCGGGCGCTCCATAGGGGAACTCAAACCTTGATTAAATGTACCTGGATGCGGAACAGCTTGAGGTGAATTAAGTGCCTTATTGTTCACACTTTCATCAGGTTGATATAAGTTAGCTTCGAGATGCATATTGGGGTCCCTCTCTATAGGTTCGTCATTGTTGTTGATGGCATTAATATGACGAAAAGCCAATTCCTGAACAGGAATGACTCCTGGTGATAGAGGAGGAGACGTTGGTGAATAAATAGGCAAAGTCGGAGGCTCGGCCAATATATTATCATAAGCTGGAAGAAGAGTATTCCCATGGGCTGCTAATGGAGATAGAATATGGATTGGAGAATCAATCAGTATTTCATAATGTTTCCTCTTTTCAGAGTTTTCTGGATCAACCCTAGAAATCCTAAGACATATCTTAATCCAGTGGTGAGATTGAATTGTTTCATAAGATGTGTCTGGATGTATTTTGAACCTTTGTTTGTTTGTAACATATTCTGGGACATACAATTGAAACTCAAGTTCCTTAGGTAGTACCTCCTCTTCGTCTTCATTATCATTCTCTGATACATTTTTTGATAACAAAGACTTGCCTTTTGCAGCTCTATGCTCTAATAGTAAAAATTTTTTCTGGGGCTCCAGTCTATGAACTTTGTTATTTTGACAATAGTATTCCAAGCTTTCAGTGACATATACTCGAATTCTGTGTAATTGAACCTTTCCCCACAACGGTACAAAACGGAATGCCATTGGCAAGTATGAGTTTAATACTATAGATTTTCCACTGATAACAATTTCGTATCTTAATTGATCTTCCCAATCTCTCGCAATGACAATAGGATCGTTTTCTTCCATATTCATTTCAGAAGGTAATCTTACTATTTCAATAGGAAATTGCCCTGAAATATTGAATTTAAAGGTCCCCATTCTAACTATATCCACTTCCAAATAATAACATACAGATCCAAATGTTACCGATGTTGATTCTGGGATCGACGGATGCAATGGATGCTCAAAGTTATAGACGTAGTCTCCAACAGCAAAGTTCCCAGACTTTGTTTGGTCCCCTTCTGAATTTGTTAACACTGTGTTCAAATCATTAAAGCCTGTATCTTGCGAATGTGACTTTCTCATTAAGCTCGTTACTGGACTTAAATTCCTTCCAAAAAAGTTGCCGTTTCCTCCCGTCTCTGATCTACTTGGTGATAATGACCTCGTAATTGTATCTGTTAAGCTAAGGTTTGTTACGTCAGAATCATGTGTAGTGGTCTTTGGTAATTCTCGAAATACTTCGTCAGCTCCACCGTTTACCGCTGTGCTGCCAGCTTGGAAGAATGGCCACGTATGAGACACGACATCATTTACTTCCATGTGAATGTTCTTCTTAGGAGGAATACCCTCGGGCCAGTCCGTCCTCTGTTTTCCTTTAAACAGTAAAGTGATCGACTTAATCTTCGATGGCTTTAGTACCCGAACCACGAGACAACCCCTTAATAAAGTAGGAGGCCTTTCAGCATACTCATTAGGCTCGAACCCGTAAGTAAACAAAGTCTTCTCAGCAGGTACTATGTAGACCTGAATTGAAGATGTTTGCGTTAGCGGTTTATCGGGTAATTGTGGAATCAAAGAAGGAGTTTCACTTCCTTGAAGGTTATCGGTCGATAATCCTGGGGAAAAGGTCAAACGCAGCGCTGGAAAAAGGGGTGAGTTTGCTGTTTCCATCACAAAGAGTATCGACTTCTTTCTCCCTCTTATTGTATTTTGATATATATAATCGAAGTAATTAATGAATAGAAAGATACGATAAAGGAGAAGTTTGTATGAGTAAGGGCCGTATCGAGATTTTTCACACCAAAAAGAAATTTTCATTATCAATCGAGAAATTTTGAGAGCCATTTGATATGCTTCAAAGCTTGCAAACGATTCTTCGAAGGAACATATCAAGTAAATCTTCAAGTCTCGTGAAGATAAAACCTAATAACTTTAATGCTATTGCCACTAATTATGGTTGGTTTGTAGTTCCGAAGACACATTATGGTTTCCGATGGACTATACCAAGAATTCATAGTGCAATACAAGAAAAATATGAGGACCCCGCAAGTGTGCCCAAGGATATTGCGACGCTTCAGGCTGTAGTTGATGAATGGGTTGAGAAGGTAGATTTGAACCAAAAGCCGGAGGCGTTGAAAATGAATCGAAAAGAAATCAGGCGACTTAAAGACGAAGCAATATACCGATCCCAGCTTAAAGACAACGATGTTACCACTGAGCCGCAAAACAAGTTGCAGGATGCTGTTTCCGTTAGAAAGACAAGAAGAAAGTCAAATATGGATCGTGTGACGTTCATACATGCTTGGAACTATTTTTTCTCTCTTCAGCACAATAGATATAGTCACTTACCCACAAAAGAATCAAGGAAGGAAATATCTAACGAGTGGAATTCACTATCTGTCGAAGAGAAAGAAGCATATCGTGAAAGTTATTCAGATTTGCTCAAGGAAGGCAAGGACGTTTATAGAGGTAAAATTGTGACTAGAGAGGAAAAGTTAAAAAGGTCTACACAAAAGAAGAAATAAGAATAATGAAATTTCTATGTATTAATTTCATGATGTAGGAAAGTGTAATGTTTACTTCATGTTTACGAAGTCTCAATTTAAGTGAGTATCACAGGAGCATTCTCATCATCTGGATCATAATCGTTTATTGAGAATACTTCCGTCATATTTTCATCAACTATAGGTGCTTTTGTTTGGAAATTTAAACCGAAACGTTCAGCATTGAGAGCAAGAATATTTTCCCATATTTGTAATATATGCTGGGTTTGTTGATCACCTTTGTGCCATAAATCGGTCCTAAATGTGTCGTTTGCAAACTTTTCCATTACTTCGATGTAATGTTTAACATCGACTAGAGGATTTATAGTTAAGTAGTCTTCTGGTATTATAGCCAACTGGGCCCTTAATGTTAATAAAAAGTCACCAGTGAATTTTTTATTGCATAATAGAGTGGTCTGGCTCATCAGACATAATTTTAAAAGATTCAACCACTGAACATTAGAACAAGTATTACATATAATTATAAAATTAAGGAAACTCAACTGCAACTCCCCAAGGTAATTTTGCAATGATTCATTGAATAGTTCTTCGAGATACCACGACTTATCCAAATAATTTCTTGTAGTCTGTTCGACAGTTTGGTTCTTACTTCTATTCAATTTGAACTGTACTATAGAGTACAGTAAAAGATTATCTCCATTTTCTTCTATTGAATTGCCCTTCTGGCTAAGCTGATGAGCTAGCGCTAAAAATTCTTCTTTCGATGACATCATTGTGTCAATTTGACCATACCCATTGCACTGAGGCAAAATGGCGGCACTGATCTGCTCATCAATATATCGCGTTAGTGTTTTCCATGACTGTTCGTCTTGGGGGTATTTTAACATGTACAGATATGTGTCGCCCAAGTTTGAAAGTACCTTCGTATAATTTAATCTTTCCAATTCATTATGTTCGTCTATTATCACACACGACTCAGAGTCTTCTTGCCAATATAGTACCAATACATCATTTTCCCTAGCTTCAAACCAAAATCCATAACGAAAACTGGGACCTGTAGCATCAAGCATGCCACTATCTCCTCTTGGCTTGTGGTCATCCATGAAATTGGTTGAATAATGAAACAAATGTATACCTCGTGGTATTAATTTAATGCCTTTCAATAGAGAATTCACATTGAAAAATTGAGTATCTATTCCGATGAGCCAATGATCTATTTCTTTCGGAAGATTATCGAGTATAAGCGTACATTCAGGGGGTTTGCTAACGAAACTATTCATTGGTAAATCAAATTCGATTATTCATAATCAAAATAGGAAAATACTAAGGAAATAAATTATCATTAATTTTACATTTTATTGCAACAATCTCAATTTCGAAGTCAAATTTTGAACGTGATCTACGATAAACCGTATTATTATGGAGTCAAATTATGTCTATGATTAAAGTAAATACGGCCTATATAAAAAAAATATAAAAGAATGCAAAAAGATAAACTTAAGTGATAAGTTCTACACTAGATCTCACCTGTCTATTATCGAAAAGAGTGTCGCTCTCTGAACTCTGTTCATTAAGCTCGCCCATTGTGTGTGAATCGCCCGTATTTTCGAGTATAGCAAATTCAGAATCAATCAACCTGGAAAGGATAAATCTATCCACAAATCCAACCATCATTTGATTCTTCTTAGTAGCACTTGCTCTTATAGTAATATAATTCAAATTAAGTTTCTCGAAGATTTCCAAAACTTCTACAATTGGAGTCAATTCGTTGAGTATTATTGCTGAATCTTCTGTCATCAAGTCCAATTGCAAAAGCAGCGAAGAAGCATAAGATTGCTCATAATGAAGTTGCTGTGATAATATAGTAGTTGGCAAGTTTTCTATTTGAAAGCTTATTATCGCATTGGAGTCCTCAACAATAGAGAGTTTATTCAATAACTCCATCTTGGAGGTGTAGCCTAAATAGACAGGATCCAGATCACTCAGTATTATTGGATATCCCTCATGATTATCTTCGTTTGCTAAAAGAATTAAGGACGAAGCGGTGTATGGTTCAGCAGGCATCAATGAAAGACATTTAGTTCGTGAAACTGGTACCATGATCGATTTCGCAATCATATCTGGAAGTTTTTGCTTCACAGAAGTCACTAATTCGGTAAATTCTACGAGTCCATTACCCTTTCCTTCATTGAAATCGCCTCTGCCGTCACGATACAAATTAAAAGTAGTTTTCAACCATGTATCATAAATGTTATCACTGCAAAGCCAGTCACTCAAAATCTTCAGAGTCATTACCGAAATCATAATAGGAAGAACATAAGTGACTGCTCCAGTTAATTCAAACATAATTACTACGACACACATAGTAAGCTTTGTGATTCCGGTCATGAATGCAGCAGCAGACACAACAGCATACGAAGAAGGTGAAACCAAACACGTTTTGGAAGTGCAAGTGGCAAGCGAGTCCCAGTTGAATTTTTTTTGGAATGCTTGAGATGTAATACCGACCAATCGGCCAAAAGTTGCACCTAACACTAAGGTTGGCATCAATATACCCCCTGGTAGATCGGTTCCAAAAGTATAGGAAGCAAGGAAGAACCCTTGGACCAAAATATAAGAAAGCTTCCAGAACTTAACTATGTCAGAACTATGGCACATAAAATTTATGGAATTAGAGTCCGTGTTATCGTTTGAACAGTCGGTGAACAATATTTTCAAATAAGCAGCTAGGGGTAATTTTGATATTTCAATCGGGAAATTAAGTATTGTGGTCACGATTACCATCAAAATGATTTCCAAAAAGGCACCCGAATTAGCTGAAACCTTAAAAAAGTTACAGAGTGATCTTTGAATTTTAAACCTTATATTTTTTGTTGATATCATTGAATTGAGGGAGATAAACAAAAACCCATAGAGCCCCCCAACAGCACCCATTACAATAAATGGTATCACTTCCATGAATAACCAACTAAAGTTTCCGAACAGAACCAGAAAGAGATCCTGTTCTGAAAAATCTTGTCCTTCAGTGAAAATCTTGAACCCATTGACAACTACGACAGCTATTGTCGCACTAAAAAAAGCATTCCACATTGTTCTGGTGGGAACATAAAAACTTGGAATGCTCTCTAGAACAAATAAGACTCCTCCTATTGGAGAGTTGAATGCTACCGATATTCCAGTTGCTACCGCAGCACTAAGTAACTCTCTTCGCACAGCTTCATTATCATATGTCTTACCCAAAATTACGAAGTAAACGATGTTTTGAATACAACAAGAAACGTGTACAAAAGGTCCTTCCTTTCCTAACCAAACTCCAGAACTCACAACTACTATCAACCCTATAATTTTATACAACAATGTTCTTACGCCCAAATATTCGGAAATATTATAATTCAAACCAGAAACAATTAGCTTGATTTCAGGTATCCCTGACTGCTTGACAAGCGGTTCTTTTTTGATTGTTATGAATGCAGCGACTAGAATGCAAAGAAGGGCAAACAAAAGATAAACGGGAAAGTTAATGAAAATATTAGAAAAGATTCCCTTCTTACCTATTAGAATTTCGGACCAATTGTACCATCCTTCGACAGGGCATGTCAGATAAGGGTCTAAAAGTGACCACTTGTTTAATTTACTAAAACATAAACCCTTTTTAACATCATTTAACCAAACAGAAACAAGATCGATGAAGGAAGTGACATAACCGACTACGATAGACAGCAAAACAATTGCTGTCCACTTATGTGTAATAAATTTAGATCCTTTTGGCACATTGAAAGTTTCCAGTATCCAATCGATGTACGTATTATTTTCATATCTCTTCTTCACTATAGTATTACCTATTACCTGATCTTTATGACTAGTTCGCTTCGTATAATGTAAAGTTGGGATGTCCTCATTTGAGAAATGCAATTCTGTATTTTTATTGGAGAAAAATGAATCCATTGGTTTTGCGTTCCTAGCCAAATCTCATATATTTCTCTTTATCTATGAATATTTAATTGAAGTTGATATTAGCATTTTGTGTCACTGTTTCGTCAAATATTGAGAATTGGTTCAAAGTAGCGATATATGAATATGCACTGAAAACAACTTAAGAAACATTGAGGGAGAACGCCATCAGAGATGTCATTTTTAGGAAGCAGTGCATCCACGGGGACCACAAGTGCTTCGAATGGACAAGAATTGCTCAATGATATAACTGTCAATTATCCTCCAGAAGACTCAATATCAGACTTGTCATTTTCGCCTCAGCAGGATTTACTTGCTGCCGCAAGCTGGGATAAAAAAGTTCGAATCTATGAAATTGATCCGAATTCAGGTAATAACCAAGGAAGGGCTTTATATGACCATGAAGGTCCTGTATTGTCTGCAAGATGGTCATCTGATGGAACTAAAGTTGTGAGTGGTTCAGCAGATAAACAAGTGAAAATATTTGATCTTCAATCACAACAGGCACAACAAATTGGCGTACATGATGCTCCTGTGAAGGCAGTTAGATATGTAGAATGTGGTCCAACCAACACTCCAGTAGTGGTTTCTGGATCTTGGGATAAAACGTTAAAGTATTGGGATATGAGAGCTCCTCAACCTATCTCTGTTTTGAATTTGCCTGAAAGAGTTTATTGCATGGATTCTAGTCAAAAGCTTCTCGTTGTGGGATGTGCCGAAAGACATATAAGCATTATAGACTTGAACAACCCTCAACAAATTTTCAAGAACACGATGTCACCTTTGAAATGGCAAACCAGATCTATATCTTGCTATCCACAAGGAAATGGATTCGCCATTGGTTCTATTGAGGGTCGTTGTGCGATACAGTACATTGACGAGGCTGAACAGAATAAATTTGGATTTTCTTTTAGGTGCCACCGTAAAACACCTACGGGAACAACTGCTACATCAGGACTTAGAACATCCTCTAGCACAGAATCACAGATATATGCAGTGAACGCCATTTCATTCCACCCAATATATGGAACATTCAGTACAGCGGGTTCCGATGGTACTTTCTGTTTCTGGGACAAAGATGCAAGACAAAGACTCAAAACTTTCCCATCTGTTAATGCTACTATTCCCACCACATGCTTCAATAAAACAGGTACTATTTTTGCTTATGCTATGAGCTATGACTGGTCTCAAGGCTACCAGGTAAATCGACCGGATTATCCTAATCAAATCAAATTACACGCAACTAAAGATGAGGAGATAAAACAAAAAAAGAAACGATAATGACTTTCTTATAAAAGTTGAATCTGTATAAATAAGGCTATATAATTAAATAACTTATCTCACATAGTCAATTCTTTCTGTAAGTAAAAGTTTTAATCATAGTGAATTCTTCATACTGAGGTAAAAGGGTTCGTAGTGGAATGTGGAAAAAATAAACCACTGCTGCGAACTTTCGAGGAAGAGATGATAGCATTTATAAGAAGAGTTTTTTTAACCTTTATCCAGACTAGAAGGAAAAGCTGAAAAGGGTGGTGAGATTTGTAGATCACGGCATATCACCATAATGGAATATCCCAAAAGAGAGCTAATGGAGGTGCTGTTTGCAGATCAGCTTGAATTTGTTGGAAAAGCTTTGATAGACATGAGACAGAATCCGATAAGCAACCAAATTCTGAGCCAACAAAACAAATCTCATTCATATGGAGCCGGTAATTTATATCCTGAAGAAATACAAAGCTGGGGAAGTAAAACTGTCTACAATAACATCAATAGTCATCAGTTTGAGAATGTGAAAGCGGCTGGCTACAATAATTTGTCAACTACACCCCAAGTATTGTCAAGCTCTGTCCCGCCGAAGAAATCATCGTCACCGTCAGTTATTCTGTCGAGGCCGGAAGCATCTGATTTTTTTGACCCATTCAACCATACGCAGCAGAATAATTTCAGTACATCTACGAGTTCTGTTTTGTCTCGCCTTAATAGCTACCATCCTCCCACAATTTGGGACGATAGTAAAAAATCTCACAACAGGCTCGCAGGTGGCGCTACAGTCTGGGGTTGAGCCAGTATTTCTTTTATCGGTTTCAAAAGTAGTATTTTTATTTTCAGTTTACTTTAGTTGGCTCTCTGTGGTTTTGTGATGTCTACCATGGTACTTTTTCAAATGTCCAGATTTTGTTGTTTTCATTTTGTTTTCTGATTTTCATTTACTTGTGATATTCTTATGGATTAGTTTACTTCACCGACAGGTTCTGAGTCATCCTTTGTGTGGTATATCAAAAGTTAATGTACCTGTCACGAATATGTTTTATATATTTAGATTAATAAAAATTAATATCGGTTTCCGTCACATACTTCCATATTAGGAAGTCGACACACCCCCTCTCACATCGCCATTTACATTCAATCCGCTCTTCTCAGAGGGATAATCTTTAAGGATAGTTAAATAAATTTGAATTGTATCAATTTGTCAAGTAGCTAGTATCAGAAACTGTATTTTGGTTTCGTTGGTCAGTATTGACAATTTGATTTCTTTGATAAAGATAGTGGCATTTCTATCGCACAGGCGGTATTTTTGTCTAGTCGAAAAACCATATTACACTTCAAGTGGAAAATAATTCGAAGAATTCTAAAGAAGTAGCTGTGATTTGAATTTTTCTACAGACTCATCTGATATATTGAATTGGTAAGATATAGCTCTCAGATTGCTCTATGAAGAAGTATGAGCCATCATAATACACCACATTTATACAGTAAGAGAACGCCAGTTTCTTCGCAAGGTGATGGCTTCAATGGGATGAATGCAGGAAATGGACTGATGCCGAAGCCATTAATGGATTCATCTACTAGTATATTGGATTCACTGGCAACGAACGCTAAGCAGTTGCTTAACGCATATGTTTATGACTTTTTAGTGAAAAACCGATTGTCGCAATCTGCTAGAATGTTTGCCAATGAGGCAGATGTACCATATTTACAAAACTCATCCTCTAAATCCAAAAATTCACCTCAAATGAACAATCCAAGGGCTACCCATAATCCGAGTAATCTACAATTTCAAAAAGATAATAATCTTCCTATGGCCTCTGTCGCTATGGATGCACCACAGGGTTTTTTGTACGAGTGGTGGCAGGTTTTTTGGGATGTTTTTCAGGCCAAAAATAGTCAAGAGTCATCTAATCAAGCCTTCCAATATTATCAGCTACAGATACTCAAGCAAAGACAGTTGCAAGAGATGAGAGGAATCAATACTTCAGGTATAAGCGTTCCGAATGGTCAGTTTATGGTTCAACCTCATCAGCAACAACAGCAACAACGTATAATCAATCAAGGACAACCTCAAGCAATTGATCCACAGCAGCAGCAGCAGCAGCAGAATCAAGCCCAAAGTCAAGTCCAAGGACAACCTCAATCTATTGATCCACAACAACAACAACAACAACAAGCACAGCATCAAGCCCAAAGTCAACCTCAACCTCAAGCTCATCAACAACTGCAACCACAGCAACAACAGCAGCAGCAGCAGCAGCAACCACAACCGCAGCAACAGATGATGCCCAATATGGGACCAGGCAACGGGTTCAATTTACAGCAGCAAATGTTTCTTTCGCAGCAAGTTCCCCAACAGCCGCAAAATAGGATACAGCAGCATGCGCAAACCCAAATGAACAACTTGAGACAACAGGCACAGCAAGTTCATCAGGATAATAATGGAAATACTACGTCAGCAAATCAACGGCTAAACCAAGTTCCTGTTCTGCAACAGCAACAAGCGATTGGTGGAATGAGCCCATTTCAACCTCAATTCGGTAATCCTTCAGCGAACAACTTTGCACAATCACAACAACCTCAAGGCGTGAAGATGAACCATAACAACAAAACGGCTCCGAGCGATCAAATTATTATCAACTCGAATAGCAATTTCAATAGCAATAGTAATTCCGGAAATTCTAACAACAGCTCCAATATTAATAATGCTAATAACAATATGAATAATAATGGAAAGATGGTTCCCAATAACAGTGGAACGGCTCGAAATATGAACGCTCTTCAAGATTATCAGATGCAGTTGATGCTTTTGGAAAAGCAGAATAAAAAAAGGCTAGACATTGCTAGGAAAACAAGTGGAGATCAGCCAGGCTCACTAGACTCAGGTATGTTTCCTCCACACACACAACAAATCCAGCTGAAGCAATCGCCAGCAGCTATTAGTAATTCACCAATTATTAATTCAAAGCCTTCTCCCTCAATACTGAATAATAAAAAGAAGAAGGAGCCTCCCGCAAAACGAGGGAGAAAAGTAAGTGGTGCTGGAAACACATTGAATGGATTGAATAATGTTCAGGCGAATAATCAGGGCCTTCAAATGGAATACTCTACACCTTTGACTCCCGCGTCGGAAACTACTAGCGATCCCCTTTCGAAAAGAAAGAGAAAGAATGCTAGCCTGACAGAGTCTCCTAAAAAGCAAGCAAATAAGGGTTCAAACACACACAGTGCAGGTAAAAAAGAGCAAGCGATCAAGGAAGAGCCAGCCAAGTTGGGCGGAGGTGATTCTTTAGGCACTTCATCGACAATGACAACGCTCCCAGATTCTAACGGGGATAACATTTTTCAGGTTGAGATATTGGGAGGTTCTAATAGCGAGTCAAGTACTTTCTTCGGACCAAACGGCCAACCAAATACAGGTTTAGATGAGATCGATTTTGATTTTAATCAATTTTTAGAAGGAAATGGCGAACCTGCTCTTAGTGAGGGTATGAGTGGGTTTAACTGGGGTGGAGTTGATGCCATTGAAAATGTTGAATCGATGAAGAAACTTTAATTAAATCATTAGACAGAGGAACATTGTACAGTTTTCAGTTCAACTTTTACTAGCTGATCAAGCTGGTAGCTATCCATTTTTTTCAAGTGTCATTATTTAATCTTGTTCTTTTATGTCCTCGCTACCCCTGACGCTATGCTTTTGTTATAATTAAACTATCTCAAAGTAATTCCAGCTAATTTTTCGGAGAATTACTAACCAAAAGTATATATTATATTCTATCTAAACTATTGGTATTATGATAACTAACGTAGTGCTATTCTTGCTTTTTAGCTTGCAATTCATCATCAGATTCTGGGTCTAACCATGCGGACTTATTAGTCCAAACACCTAATAAAACTACAGAATTCAAAGTAACCAAAAGGCCAGAGCTAATGGTATTAGGAGGATAAACATTCCAGCAATATTCGTGAATTATCCAAATACCTAGGCCAATTACTATGTTCCAATTCGTCATATAGATTAAAAAAGGTAGCTGCCAGCAGTACCAAGACAAAAACTGGTAATGCAAGGATCTTGAAAACAATACCCCAATTAGATTACAAGTACTCATGATTAACAATATCAATTTGGGCCCTGTTTTATAATTTATAAACGAGTTTCGAGGCGAAATTGTCAGGTATGGTTTAAAAAAGTCTTTAATTAGCTGGATTAACAGTTTCTTAGTGATCTTGGAGTTAGTATACCTGGTGCAGAAAAACACAATTAAAACAACAAAATGCAATGCGAGTAGCGCTTTTGCAAATAAGTCACTAGAAAAGATATCCTCTCCTAAGAAGTTCCAATTTACAGACCACTTAAATAGAAATTTTCTTTTGAAATTGAATGCTTGGGAGAAATAGTTATTTCTGATTGCAATTGCTTCCTCATCATTATACAATGGTAAAATGAACTTCCAGCCAACAAGCAATTGAACTATTGGAATGACAAGTAAAGCCAGGCAAAACTTTAGGACATTCTCACCCATTAAAAAGTAAAGAACGACTAAGAAAGCTGGAAAATACAAAAGAGCATTCATCTTGATGGATATCGCAATACTATAGAGATCTGCCGCAAGGATAGCTAACCAAAACGAGATCGTTGAGCTAGACGAATACCAATATGAAGCTTGCTGCAACAAGAGGGTTACTCCAATCATACACCAGGTAGTAAAACAATCATTGAAAAGACGCAAAACGTATATCGATATTAACCTCTTACTTGAAATAAGTAAGTACAAAGTCCACGGTGGGATTCCAGGAGCCATCGAGTAAATTACCAACACCATAAGTAAGCTTATAGTAAATAGATATCCAAAGAGTTTTTGGGCAGTATTGATGTATTCTCCCCCATTAGTGAAGTAGTATAGTATTTGGTAAATCTGTACGTGGCCAGCAGGATAAACAATTGGCCCACTATCGCCATAGATTAGGTCATAGTCCAACTCGCCATTATTAATCACTTCAATTTGCTGCATATAAGTGATGTAGTCTATTTCGGTGTAAGGTACCAAGGATGGCACTATCTTACTGATGATTGATCCAACTGTAATTATTATTGGAATCACAATTTTATTGCACAATGGGTCAAATATCAAAGAGTGAATGCCATTATAAATGTCTTTTAAAACATTCAGGACAGTGAACTCAGGAAGGTCCTCAGTATTATCCGTTTCTACCATGTTCTAAGGATTTGTTGTACAAAATAAATCTGGAAAAAAAATCTGATTAAATAATTCATTCTATACCGTCAAGACTGCACGAATCTAATAAATCTAATTTATACAAGTTAAATAATTTACAGTAATAAAATGTGCTTCAGCTTTTTCCTATTGAGTCTTGATAAGTCTCTTTTACGTCTTTTACATTCTCTGGTAATTTCTCCTCTCATGCTCCAAAACCATTTCTCGTAGGGGGCTTCGTCTTCATTGATACCAATTTTAGCCTTATCGTTTTCATTCTCACCAGGAAGAAGTATTTTATCAGTGGCGTTTCCAAAAAGCTGTAGCCTTGACTGGGAAGAAAGGAAAGGTGACTTGAAATGCGGCCAGAACAATTCATGATTCTTAGATGTCTGGTCGAGAACCTCTTCTTTAGCTTTTTTGGATTGAATCTCTTCAATAACCAATTTCTGTTCTTCTAAATCGGGAGATTGCTCATTATCAATATCGTCATCGTTATCAGAGAGGGAAAGCTTGAAGCCTCCAGCGCTTTGAGCAGTATCAGCGGCATTAAACAAAGATCTCAAAGCTTCTGTATTCGACGGGGCTGCATCACTTTTTGAAGCGTTTTCATTTGAGGAGCCCAACTCTGAGTTCATTTCTGGCAGGCTGGCAATTTTATTTCCAGCACTAGGAGGAGGGCTCATTTCTAAATCATTACCTTCATCATTTTCATCATAGTATATGTCTTGAACAGGAGGTGGCGCATTTTTTAGATAATCATCAAGAAGATTTTCGCCTTTAACATCCTCACCATCTTCATCACCTTTGGTCGAATCATCGTTCGAATCTGAATCATGAAAATGAAATTCATCTTCAAAGTCATATCTCATCGCTTGCGTCTTTCCTTTGACATTCAATTCAACCTCATTACTAGTATCATCGATCTCTGCTGGTAAGTCGAATTTATTGTCTCTAAACATGGAAGCCAAAATTGATTTATTTTTCTTCATTTCCTCATCGGGATCACCTTCGTCTTCAGAAAGAGAATCGTTTTCATGATAGCTCAATTGGCTAGAAGGGTTCTGTGTTTTGGCTCTCTCAATAATATGGTTATTACCACTTTTCCACTCACCCTTCTCAAACTGCCAAGTGAGGTCATTCACCGATTTGTTCTTTTCTACGCCCCACAACTTGGTCTTATAACACCTCACTTCTTTTAGTTCGCCGTTTATTAAAATCCTTAAAGTCTGGTGTTTCCTCAAATGTAGATCACTGCGGCAAGTTCTTCGATGTCTCCCTGCTATTAGTTCTGCTCTTCCTGAGAGATTAGAATACTGCTGAGCAAAAGAACTACGCTTAGGCTTCGTCCAAGTCCCATAGGAATTCATGCCTTTTAGAGAATGCGAGGGGGGGTTGCTGCTTTTAGTAGATGCAGATTGACTGTTGTATGTATGAGCAGATTTCGAGTAACCCAAAGAAGTTTCATTGGGAGCTAGATAACTCGAAGTTATTAAGCTTCCCGTGATACTGTTTTGATGATAGTTTGAATCACTTTCCTTTATCCTTTTATTTCTAGTTTCATTAATTTTAGACTTTTCAATTTCTAACGTGCGCTGCTTGCATCTCTGGTAGTCATTCAACACACTATGCTGCAACAGAGGCCTCGAAATATCCAAGGTAAGCCTCAGCCCCATATACTGTATTCCGTTGAAAGCTGATCGTATTTTCTCTAGTTCTTTTGTATTTATTTTCAAAGTAATAAATCCAAAAAAGTGATCTTCAATTGGTTTGGTATGTAGCTCCAAACCTTTCGATATTTCACCAAACTTACCAAGTCTCGTCTCCAATTTCAGAACTTGGGCAGCCAACAGTTTAGAGATATGCCCTATGTGCAACCTTACTTCCTTTCTTTCATCCTCCTTTTCCATGTTTAGTATCTCCTGATTCTTGATAAAAGGACTCTGTTTGGTGAAAAATTAAAAGAAAATTAAATAGTGATGAGATAAAGCTCACGCGAAATGCTTAAGCTTTATAAGCAGTTTTATTTACAGCGCACTTAGTTCATTCTAAAGTAGCTATAGTCTGTATGATGATTTGAAAAGAAAGTAGAAACACAAATCATAGTCGTTTGAGAGATTCTACAATGTCCAGTGTAGGAAAATTGAATGAAGAAATTTATGCTAAATGGAAGTCCATCCATGCTCCTTCGGAATCATCAGATATTTCTGAAGGAACATCATTTAATATATCTGATGATATTCCAAAGATTCAAAATTTGATAGATGATAGCCCAAATAAAGAAGAGCTAGAATTAGAAATAAAAAGAGCAATAATGAAGTATTATTGGAAAGGCTTTTACAAGGCAGTCTTGTCTGACCGATAGTACATAAAAAAAACGAACATAAAGAGAATTTAATTATTGTATGTGATCACTGTATAAAACTTACGTAGATTTCCATAAATCTCTCAATCCCATTATGGACGTGATTGTACCAGCCAAGCCAATATCACCCTCAGTGAAATGCAAAATATCTAAAGAGTTCAAGGCAATAAACATATCTAAGAAGTCCCAGATTAATTTTCTCTTTGCGGCATAAATCTTCTTGCCAACGGCTGTCAAGTCAGTCTTTTCGTTAGCATCTTCCAATTGTTTGTAGCTGATCTTTAAGGTTCTCAATGAATTGATAACACCCGCAATTAAACCAATAAGCCAAAACCTTGAAGAGAGTTTAGGTACGGAGGTGAATTTCTTAGAGTCAATAAGACCTAACATCTTAAACCACGTAATAGAGTCCAATGAAAGATATCCAGCATAAGCTAAATTCCTTATGACAGTAGTACTCAGTAAAACAGGATCCATTAGTTTGTTGTCAAAGGTCTTAGCGGCGGTCTCCAAGTGATTTAATGGCTTCAAAAACCTCATTCCTTTTCTAATGAACGTCACATCTACTTTCAAGTTTTTGAATAACTGTACAATGTCTGTAGAGAATCCTTGTCTTTGCAAATAGTAAGATAAGAATCGAGATAAGTAAGCTACCAATCTAAAGCATTTCTCCCTTTTGGGAGTACTATCCAAAAATTTTATTAACTTAGTTAATGTAGGATGATAAACAACTGCGTCAGCAACCATAGTGTAAGACTTTATCTAGATATTTGCTTTGATCTTATATCGCTACGCCGTGAAGGGGAATATTTTCGTGTTAAAGACGAACTTCTGTCAGAACTAACGATATAAGTAAGCTTTGTAACGCTAATGCGAATTCTGGGGGAAAATTTCTGAAGACCGAGGGCTGTAATATTTGAAGTCACAATAGATCCGTCCACCCATGCATCAGATGAAAATCGATTACGTCTTTCATGGACGTTTTAAGAATCAATACGATTATTACATATAAGTCATCGCTAAATCGTCTCAAACCTCCACTCAAAGCGTTTAAATGACAAAGGTAATACTAAAGATGAATAGAGGGTTAGAAGGATAAATTGATTGTTACATTAGTAAAAGACTTTTACAAACACTTTCTGTTAACCATATGAAGAGATGGAATCCCTAAGAGCAATTTCTCTTTACATAGATATATGGGTACCAGAATCCCAGTCTCTTAATTATGGTGTGGGGGTTTGCAGTGTGCGGAGACACGCTAAAGAGGTCGACCGATAAATTTTCACAATGTCGCGTTACGTAGTACGATATAAGAGAGGTGCGTGCTTGCGACTTAGCGGTTGGTATAACCTTTTCCTGATTAGTAGCTTAATTCCTACTTCTATGTCCGAGACCAGAAAATCTGGACCTAGCTCTTAATCGAGGACCATTCAAATAAAATAATACGGGTATCGAGCACATGAGAGTAGAAATAAAACCTAAAATCGAAGAACCCCATGCAACAGGAAATCTCTCGGTTGAAAGATTCAAGTATAAAGACCTCGCAAACAAAGGAAACACTCCTGCAATAACTGACCTGAATAAATTATTACTTGCAAAAACAGAAGCAACATACCTCGGAAATGACATTCCTAGATAATTTAGAAGAGTTTGAAAATTAAGAATTCCACTAGCTCCAAAAATGGCAGCGCCAATTAGTGGTCCTATCCAATGGATGTCTTTTGCAGTTGTCCATCCAAAAATAAATAGGCTTATTGGCATTAGAATACTTGCAAAAATTGCTGGTGGTAAAAAAACCTCCGGATCGACTTTTTCTCCTGCCAACAACTTCTTCGTGAAACACTTATAACAGTAAATAAGATAAAAGGTAATTCCAACTAAGACACCAATAATTATGCTTAGATAAGCTGTACCCATTTCCACAAGTGTAAAATGATGAACTTGAAGAAACACAATCGGAAAAGCTTCAAACCAGAGATAGACCACCGAATAAACTAGTGCAATATATATATTGATTAATAAAACAACTGGCTCTTCAATTGAAATAACTATTGGTCTCCACAAAGTCTCTTTGATTAGTGAGATAATATTAGGAAAATTTTTAGCTTCTTGAAAGTTAGATCCATCTTCTTGCATGGTACTTTTTAAACTTCGACTTTTACGATACAAAATGCTGTCTCTGTATGTTTCGGGAAGCAAAAACGTTAACATTAGGAAACAACCCCCAGATGAAATAAACATAAACCAAAAACACCATCTCCACCCACCCTTGACCACTAGAATAGATCCAAGGAAGGGTCCTATTGAAGGTCCACACCATGCTGCTATTCCCCAAATTCCAAGGCCAATGGGCATATACGGCGGTGCAAAAATATCAGTGAAAGAAGCACCTACATTTGCTAATGCTGGAGACGCAAAGATTCCAGTCAAAAACCTAAGGACGCTTAAAGATGCTATATTTTTTGCTAATGCAACTGGCAATTGCATAATAAAAAAAAGGAATAGAGTCACGAAATAAACGTAATTTCTTCCAATAACCTTGTTTTCTGACAATGGAGAAAATAACAATGTTCCAATTCCATATCCAACAACAAAAACGGTAAGTGGAATCAACGATACTCTCAGACTTATTCCAAAATCATTCATTAGAAGATCGGCACCTGGAGTATATATTGCTGATCCCATATATACTAACATAGTTAGAAAACAAAGTTCCAAGGACACTAATGACTTTTTAAGTAAGCTCCAATTATGAGGGTTGTCTTCATCTAGATCATACCATTCTACTTCTAATTTCTGCTCTTTTGAGGTCGAAAAATCGCCTTTTTCATTGTCCACACAAATAAATTTCGACGATGTTGATATTTTCGCAGCCAAATCTTGATTTTCCCCAAAATATTTTCCTCCAGATGTTAGATTGAGGAGACTTCCAAAAGTACTAAATTTAATGAAGCTAAGCATACTCCAAACAAATTTAATTGATATGACCTTTCTAGTATGATTGGAAGCTTTATATGTTGATAACATGAACATATGCGATGACAAATTCAATTAGTGTACGAGTAACGCTTTAAGGACAACTATACTATTTGGGAAGCAAGACCGAAACCGCAAAAACATCTCTAAAGGGCAAAAGCACCGCTTTGACATTTACATTCAAATTATTCCGATAAGAAAACCACAAATGCAATCGTGGAAAGTAATTATTAACTGCAAGACTCATAAGCAGGAGATGATCAGTGGAAGAAGATTTGGCAAAATCTTGTATGGCCAGAAAGTTCTAATCATAATTTACTAAGCGCTTGCACCAAAATTATTACCGAAACTGATATGGCATTTATGTAATATAGGATAAAAAAAAAAGAAGTTTAACTACGTATTGAACAATTGTACATAAGAATTCTTAGGCATGCATAATATTATGGATAATCAAATCCAAAATAGTCAAAAAAACTAACATCTGAAATTTCAGAAGCATTCAAAGTTTCATTATAGGAATCTTTTGTGTAGTCCAGGTTTTGCCCAAACATATCAGTTATCCAAATGTTATCATCAAAATTGTGGATTCTATTTGCATATGCCCATTCAATGCCGTAATTCGTGGCACCATCGCTTGTTTTAACAAACGTATTATCAGTCGAGGTTCCTTCTTTTACATTCAGATCGACTTTACTTTTGCCATTATTATGTTCTTTTAGTTCATCGTCCGAGGCATGACCCTTACGAGTTTTGACTGATTTATGTACCTCGGATTTTACAAATATCTCAATAAGATTTCTTATCAAGACTTCGTCTATTTTTGTATCAAACGAAGGATACGGTTCACATATGCTGCTGAGTAATTTCGATTCTTCTGCTTCCAAAATTTTTATCATAAATTTTGAAATCTGCATAATTTGCCAGGCATAGCAATATTTTTCTGAGAGAATAGAACAGTAATGCATAAGTGTATCATTAGATTCTTTCAAAATGATACATAGCTGTGGTACTTCTGGCTTTGTTCCATTCCCAAGATCATCAGCGAGTAGGGTGAGTTTTAGCTTCATCAACAAAGAAAGAAAAATAACACTTGCCACTTGTAAGGCTCTTTCTATTACTGGATAAGCAAAAAAAGACAACGAATCATTGTTGTAAAAAAAAATTGATATCAAGGGCAAAATATCGTTAGCCAAAATTGTACAAATTTTTTTAGTGCAATATTCTTTGACATCTTTTTCATTTCGTTTCTCCGAATACGATAATAATAAAAAAAAGTTTTTAAGAAGGTAGCACTTTATTTCTAAATGAAAACACCTTTTTAAATTTTCAACCTCTGAAACCTTAGATGTTTTATGAGTGCAGTACTGCACAAGTTCGTTATTAGCAATCCTATGTCGTTCATCCAAGTTTGCACACATATCTAGCAAGTAGGAAAGACGATTCCTCTTATTAAACCCTATAGTCTCATGTATCAATGTGGCCACCGGGAAATAGTACTTTCTAGTTACATAAAGCACCTCAATACACTTATTCTCAATCTCTTGATTAATTACATTTGAACTAAAGCCAAATTCAGGAAAAGGGGTTTCGTAATGAGATTCATCCACTTGTAACGGACAACCGGTATTAAATGACTGCCTTACGTCCCAAAACACTAGCTGATACCAAATCTTTCTATTTAGATGAATGGTCTTTCTATCGGCATTCAGATAGGGGACAATTTTCCTATTCAAACCTAATGAGGTTGCCATATAAAAGAGGGCGGGAAGTGCCATAAGCGAGTTACAATCATCTGCACCAGCACCTGTCTCTGGTCCATTCCTTTGATACACTTTGAAGAGCATAGCAAGCTGCAAAACTTTTAGGTTTGATCTCTTGAATAATGAAAACTCATTTAAGCAGAATAAAGACATATCGACCACAGCTATATTAATAGGATTACTTAGCAAATATTCAATTTCATTATTTTCAAGACAGGTATTCGAGAAGTTTAAATCCTTGTTGTTCGCCTTGCTCGATATGAAGCAATAAGTTAAGCGAAGTACCAAGAATAGTGCACCCAAAGTTGCTAAATCGACTTGTTTTTCTATTGATAAAGTCAGTATACCATGTTCTCCATATTCTTCTTTTCCTATTACTGCAAATAGATCGTTTTTGAAGTCTTCTTCGTCCAAGATCGGAATAAACAAGTAAACTTCTCTAAAAAAAATATGAACTAAGTTCCAAATAACTTTTTGTTTAGGTAGAATACATATTACATTTTCCTCAAAGTTCTTCAAAAAGTTTGATGAGTTGTCATTTTGGATTCTCATTAGAGAATCTTTTGAATTTAAGGAAGACAGGCCAATCTTTTCTTCATATCCTTCGCTTTTTAAAATGTTACGCTTGAAGTCTTTTTCGGTGTGAAAAGTTCTATTATTATTTCGCGGCTTAGCGGCATTACTCAAATCCTTGGAGGTAAATTTGATTCCAGAAAGAACTATATCTTTTTCAGTATTGGTAATAAAAGTTCTCAATCTATTTAGGCAACAATCATAGTCAATTAGACTTTGCCAAGCATACGGGCCATAGTTAAATGTCTGATCATTTCGCCTACGTGTTGAAGAGAACTCCAGATATATACTAAAATCCCACTCTTTTTTTATGCAAATGTCTACTTTGAGTTCTTGAAAAGTGTCTTTATCGTTATTTTCCTGCTTGCAAATTTTGGTTCCGTCAGAATTTCTATTGGGATCATTCTCGTTTTGTCTGGGATAAGTAGTCTGTGGTGACTGATGCTTGCAACGTTCTATATTTGTGTTGCTTGACTCAACTGTGACTAACTGTTCATTTTGGTTTTTAGATTTTGTCTCATTGTGAATTAATGTATCAAGTTGTGCCTTATCAGAGATAGAATGGACTAGTTGAGGCTCAAAATCACTCATGGAAAGAGAAGACGCAAGCCAGTCATTATAATTGCACTTCTTCGAGTTTGATTTCAAGCATTGGGAACATGGTCTTCCTCTATTGCATCTGATTTTTCTTCTTCGGCAATTGTCACAAGACTTACTAAGGCGCGTGGTAGAATTAAGCTTCATGAAATGTAAAAGCACAGCTTCGTTCTAGCTCTTTTTATCATGTTTTTATTCAAAAACTGCCAGTTGCATTAGTTTCCATGAAGTAGATTCCTGATTATTAATAGCTGTGAAATAAAACGTTTTCACGGGCTCACAACCATGAAGTGATACAAGTCATAAGCTCTATGAATACGAAACATGCTTTCAAGCATATATAATTCAAGCTTTTCATGCTTTTGATGTCGCATTAGTTTTTAGTTATTTTGTTGTTAATTAGAGCAGATTAAGGGTTTGATCAGTCACTTACTCCTTCATAGTATTCCATTTTGATTTTGCATTATCAAATACAATGCATCTCCAATCAAATATTATCTACTTTGCAAGTTCATCCTTTCTTTTTTACTTTTTTCCTTTTTCAAAGACAAGGTGCTTTATTTCTAGTTGCTCATTAACACTTTATATTTCTCTGCCGCAGAAAAAATGATTACGTATTACTGTCTTTTACCTCAATTTAGTATTGTCTCAAGTCCTCTCCTGTGCTTAAAAAAAACTTGAATCAAAAGCTGACTTACGGGGTAACGTAAAAGACATTTTGCCGTATCAATTTTATTTTCTTCGATAGAAAATAGTTACAAGGTTTGATGACCAAAGAATGGTCTCCATTAAAGGGTATAAAAATAACTCATTGGTGTTTTAAGAAGCTGTTTGAGTTCTAGGATGTCATATTAATGGTTTCCATTTTGAGAGTACGGAATTCTCTGGCTTATCCTCAATAAATTCAGCAAAAAAGCATCGATGGTCAAAGCGTGGACGAATGTTCTTTTTTTTTTTGACTACTCATAATGCTCAATTTTAATATTTTGCCTGATCGCACTCTCAAGTATTAGACATTTGGATTGTGTTCCACTCATATGCACACCAGATATTGATGTTTACAATTAAAAATTGTAAACAACATGAAAAACTGAATCAAGTAGATACGTCAAAGATGAGTGATAGTACAGAGAATATTTTACACCCTATGGACAAACGTGAGATCGGAAGACAGCCATCAAAGAGCATTCTAAAGGATAATACTCTTCCGCTTTTGACTAGCAAAAGACGAGTATCGTTTGCACCTGAAGTTACCTTGCATAAGTTTGATTTTATCCCTTCTTCAGGAAAAAGAAGAAAGACAATAGGTTTTGCGTCTGAATCAGATGCCTATGAAGATCTCGAAACTTCTGACTCTGCAGAAAGAGGAATTGAAGTTCTAGAAGACAGCTCTGAAGATGACGATAATGATGACATGTACGCTGATGTTGAAGAGATAATATCTGGAATGAGTGTTTTAAAAGGAAATCAAAACCAAGACCATAAAGCTGGTACTGACGAAGAGCAAACAATGGAGCTAACTGATCAGTTGCCAAATCTAAGACCTTATTCTCAAAGTGGTTTGGATGACGAAGTTGACATGGAAATAACAGCCGCTCAAAAACCCCTACCTTTGAATGACGTCAACGAAGCAAATTTTGAGGTTGAAATGGATCTAACAAATCCTCAAAACGCTTCTAGCAAGACAATTGTATATCCATCTCATCCAAAGTTTGAGGACGTCGGTTCCATACAAAAATTTATTAAAAGCGTAGAGGCAGAGGATGGCGTGATCGACCTGGAACCAGGGTTGATATCGCCGGATAAGAATGACTTGATGGAACCAATTGAAGAAAAGGAAATCACAATGGACTTGACGCAAGTGAAAGGTACTATAATAGATACAGGTCTATGCAACGATATCAAAGTATCTGAAGAGATAGGAAATAAAGAGAACATAAGAACTGAGTCTAGCGATGATTATAGTGCTTTGCAAAAGCTGGAGATCAAATCGGTGAGCTCTAATACTAACTATTGTAGGGAGCAAATCAGAGATCAAGATTCGCTTTTTGAAGCGCCAGAGGTAGTACATTCGGAAGTATCACTCCCATTGATGGATGTAACGAACAGGACCCAAACTAAACCTTTGAATTTGAATTTAAAGCTAAGCGCCAGGACATCAACTGAGCATAAAAAGAGTGATAAAATAGAGACGGAAAACATAGACAATAAGGAAGATATAGTAGATGAGGACAGCAACTACGAACCTGTCAAGTTGAATGATTTTATGAGTGATATTGGCATTAAATTCTATGATGATTTGGATATCGATATCGGAACCATGAGTAGACTTAGCATTTCAGCTGATCAAAAAACTTCTTTCGAATTGAGTGATTATACTGTTGCATTACCACGTCTTCATCTCTTGTCACTATACGAATTTAGCTGTGAAGAGCTAAGCAAGAATGTTGATGAAGGTAAAAAAGTATTTTCCGAATTCAATAAAACTATTGAAGTTAATAACCCACAATTATTCAAAGAATACTATTCGTCCGACGAAAGTGGTAGGTTTTCTATAAATATGAAGCTACATCTTCTCAAAGATTACACCAGACTTCAATCGAAAAAGACATGGTATTATTGGAGGACACAATTGACGAAAAATTTGATTTCAGATTTAAATATTAAACAGAATGATCTCTTGAATGATCGGAATATGTTGTTGAGCAATCTCTCCTCAATTGATCAAATGTATGATAGAACGTGTTCGTTAACCGAGTCGCTTTCGCTAAAGTTAAAACATTTATTACACCTTGGAGATCAGTTATCAATTCTCTCTGTTCAGGAAATCGTGAATCTTAAAAATCAATTAGTTATTAACAAAAGGAACCTTCATGAAATAGAGCACGAGCTCACATCTAAAGTAGATGAACTTGGAGCAATATCTGATAGAATTGAGGAAGTGAATAAAGAAAAATTGAAATTAAATGAAGAACTAATAAATCATGAGGAGACATTGCGCCATAATCGAAAATATGAGACAGAAGAAATAGAACTATTACAAATGAAGTTCAAGCTTTTGCAAAAGCTTACAAATATGCAATATAACCTGCAAGAGGGCTCCACTTTGTACTTACTGTTTGATTCAGTAGTGGATATTCAACTCTCTTTCGATAAGGAGGAGGGTAAGACGCTGTTCAAATATAAGTTAAACAATCAAACTCTCTCTAGGTCCAACATATTTTATAAAAGTTTGATTGGTACTTGTTTCGAGCAATTAAATAACCAAGATTATACTCAGTTTAAGAGCCTTTTCGTCATGAAGGAGTTATGGTCCAAACTTAAACAGTTCGATGAAGATCTACATAAGATATCTTTCTGCTGTCCAATAAGCTTTTCTGAAGTCAAAGATGGTAGGGTAACATTCAGTATCAAATATGTGAACATTTCAGAAGATTTGAAAGCTATCTTAGACGGAGAACTAGACTTGGCTAAACTACACACGTATCCGTCTAATCTCTCCTTAAAGGCGAAGATAAAGAGAACCAAAGAACCGATGGAAGATCACCACATAGTCTCTTCCATCGTGAAAGATTTCGTCTCTAATAATCTAGTAACTTTTCAAAACGTATCTAATCTTTCTTATAGCGTTGAATAGACTTACCTAATTGACAATTTTAAATATTGGCATTTAGGCTCTATAGGATACCGGCGTGGTCGGATTTACACAAACCTCAATAATTGCTAATTCCGGAATGACCGGGAATATTTACAATTTTCTCAATTGCTTCGTGGAAAGTTCTAGCAAATTCTATTGAAATCCACTATAAAGTGAGATTTAGCTAGAAGTTCTGAAACGCAGCACCATTGTGGATAGTGGAAACTGCAAAATTGTGAGGTCAAATTCTATCAAGGTTAACAATGTCAAGAACATACACTGAAAAGAATGATGATTCAATGTCAGAAATGCTAAATGGAGGGCGGCCCGAAGATAATGACATCCAGATTATCAATAGAGACGACCATGACCCTTTTGAAGGAAACTTTGATCCTGCGAATATAGAGACACCACCAGCGTTGCGAGATGTCATGTACAACGACTATCAGGATAGTAACGGAGTCATACATCAACATCCTAGTGGTAATGTATCTGGAAATGGTGGTCAGGCGCAATATGCGGATGAGATGCATTCGATTTATGGAAGCCGTGATGCTAATAAACAACTAGCAACCATTACACAGAACAAATATGTGAATTCTATCCCTCCTTTGACATCACTCTCGGAATCTGTGTTGCCAAGTGGATTAAACATACAGCCTTTAACCTTACAAGGTAATCTTGGAAGCAGAAATGAACAAAAGTCGGACAAAAAAATACACATTCCGAAGCCAAAGAAAGAAACTTCCAGTTTAAAACGAACTGCCTTTGTGCCGAAGATGTGGTCTATGGTTAATGATCCAGCCAATAAGGAATATATACGCTGGAACGATGATGGAAAGACTTTTCAAGTTTTCCATCGAGAGGAGTTTATGAAGAATATATTACCAAAATACTTCAAGCACAATAATTTCGCTTCATTTGTGAGGCAGTTAAATATGTATGGATGGCACAAAGTTCAAGATATTAGTAATGGAACGTTGAATCAGAGTAAGGATGAAAAACAATCTGATGAAGTTTGGCAATTCGAAAATCCGTATTTCATTAGAGGTCGTAAAGATTTGCTAGACAAAATAGTGAGAAATAAAAGTGTTAATCAGGAAAATGAGCAAAGCGACCACAATCAGGTTAACTTTCAATTAGTTTTGAATGAACTAGACCAAATTAAAATGAATCAGTTGGCAATATGTGAGGATATTCGGAGGGTTAGAAAAGATAATAAAACTTTGTGGCAGGAAAACTATTTAACCCGGGAAAGGCATCAGCAACAAGCACAAACTTTGGATAAAATATTAAAGTTTCTAGCTGCTGTTTACGGCAATAATGCCAATAAAGTTTTGGATAGTGGGTTTTTTGACGATGCAAATCAGGTCACGTATAATCCATATGCTAATCAAACCCAACAATTTAATCCCTACGCAACGCAGGCTCCGAATCCGTATCAGAAGCCTAGATTAATGCTTACCAATCAAGCACACAAGAGAAGCTCTTCTGGTGGTGGATCAGAAATATCAGGAACTGAGGGTCACAACCAGAGACACAGCAATGGATCAATCGAAGAAATAATTAGGAACTATGAAAATAACTCGAACGCGGGCGAGTCACCTGTCAATAATGTAAACAAAATTTACCACCAAATAATAAACCAAGATCAAGCTCAATCTCAAGCTCAAGTTCCGTCTCCAAGACAATACTTTCCAGAATTGTCTAGGAATCCTAATAGTCCTTACAATACACCAGGAACTCCAGGATCTCAGTTTTTAAGCCTAGGACTGCAATATGATCCGAATCAACTTTCGAATTCAAACGAACTTATGAATGGTTTGGAACAGAATATTCATAGGCAAGGTCAATCAATCCAACAGGTGCAAGACTGGATCCAGAAATTGGCCAGTCAACAGCAACAACAGCAGGCCTCAATAAACGAGATAAATGATAACTTGAAGCCTGATCTTGAGGATTTTGATGTGAGCGAGTTCTTGAATAACTCAAACACATCAAATAACACTTCCGATCCCGTCGTAGTAACCCCGGGAGATACTCCTCCTGTCTCGTCTAAGAATCGGACTCCAAATAATACTGACAGAAACTCTGGTAAAGAAAACAACAGTGTCAAGAAAACAGAGGGAAATGGTAGTTTCGCTGGAACTTACAATTCTACATATAATCATGGATCTGATAAAGGAAATAGTGTGCCGAAAAGGTCAGTCGAAGAACTATATGATGAAGATGACGATGATAATAGCACTAATAATCCCAATAGTACACGTTCGAAATCAAAGGCTAAGAGAACGGCGTAATACTCTACATAATCGCTCTCTTGAAAATTTTGAGGCTTTAATTTCTTCTCTGTATTAATAATATATGCATACCCTATTCGACAGAGTGTAATAAATCTGTAAGAGCAATATTGGCTTGAATAAATTGGACTTTAATGTTCGAAGTTACACGCTGCTCCCATCTATTTTCCGGTGGCATATGGCTCACCCCCTGTAATTTATCGAATTACTTGCATTAAACATGCATTTTGACAACTTCGATAAGAAAAAATTTCAAAATACCCGAAAGTTTGCATTTTAATCGGCGCACGGAGTTCGCAACTGAGGAGCGTCTAATTCGCGAAATGTCAAGTCCTCACAATCTAATCAGTAGCTTAGTATCAGAATAACATATCAAAGATTGTAAACGGATTAACGCATAGGCAAGCGAAAACCGTCTGATGAAATCGGGGGAACTTTATTTGAAGCGAGAGGAGCCATCTAAGCCTCGAAACAAAAGGGAGTATAGCAAAGGTGGTTGTCGTGAATGTAAACGAAGGAAGATAAAATGCTCGGAGGAAAAACCTCAGTGCTGGCAATGTAAGAGATTAGACAAGGAATGCTCATACCCAGAAGTTGGTGAACGAGTTCCTCGTGTATCAAAGAAGCTACTAGAAATTCAACCCATCGTTACTGAGATCAAGGAACAAAAGCCGTTCACTATTCAGCAATACTCACCTAAAAGTAATGGGAAGAAGATAAAAAAGCACCGAAATTCATCTTCGAGCAGTAAGCATAGTTCCACATCTTCATCTCCTGTGTTAAATGAAAATAAGTCTGATTCATCTGCTGCATCTACACATGTGTCTGAACTGAGTCACCCGTCAACGTTAAAAAACAAGAATTCTATAAGCTTCCCACCAAGGTATACCCCCTCGTCAATTGTAAACTTGCTCAACGACTCAAATGTTCCCATTGCGCCGGATAATGGATCATTAGCGAAGCAGAGAATTTCCACCGCACCATCACCCATAAATCCACATCGCCCTGTTATTCCACCGATATCTGCACAGGGTTTCCAATCACCACAGGTACCCATATACCAATCACAGAATTCACCCGACTTGAGTCAAGTTCCCAGGCCACTAGGGACCAATGGACTTTTGATGAATAGTGATTATCAGTTTTATAATAGGGATGACTTGAACGTTTTAGCTTCAGACTTGAACAATCTCGTTAATAACATAATGTTCGAGTCAACTGACAGTAAGCTGCATGAAATGTACAATTTTGATCCAAGTTTCAGCAGTGCTATAGATAGGAATGAGCCGACTTTCAATGGCTCGCATCTGCCTGAAAAGGTACCTCCTAGAGAGATAGTACTTCGAGATATTCCATTTGACTTTATTCCTGTTTCAAACGAACGTGAGAAATTGTATCTCAAGGAATTCTATGACGATTTTTCAAATATAATACTTCCATTTGCCTCATATGATGAAAATTTGAAAACGTATTTCAATCCGGCAAGAGATATTTTATTGCAATGCGCTTCAAATGAATCATTTTTATTAGCAGCAATTTTGGCTCAAGGTGCTAAAATTGTATCGCATAAAAGGAACTTGCCGCAAGACGAAGAGGCTTATGTTACATATTTATCAAAATGTTTAAAACTCTTGGGTCCTGCAATCAGTACTGATTTTGGGAAGATGGAAAAGGCAAAGTTGACGTCTAATATAGAGGCCGTTCTACTTACCGTGTTATTGCTAACCACAGCTAATGCGGCAAATATAAAGCAAGACTGGAGACCTCACTTGAGAGGTGCAAAAGATCTATTATTGAGAAATACCTCTTCCAAAAAGCAGAATTCTAAGATTCTAATTTTTTGTAAATTTTGGTTTGTTACGTTTGAGGTTTTGGCAAGTATAAGTTCGAAATTGGGCGGGACGTTAAAGTCGGAGGCTGAGATAGACTTATTGGTAAATCCCGGTACAGAGTATGAAGTTGAGGTATTGAAAGAATTAGGAATTGTAAAGAGTAATGGCTTCAATATTTTAGGTGGATACCATCACTCAAGTATTGCTGCAATAAGAGATTTAATTAAGATATTGAATAAGTTGAATTCAAATGACATGATTTATGAACCGGAGAATTGTTTCGAATGTCTAAGCACTCTTTCAGAATTTTACAAACAATCTCAAATTGAATTTATAAATCGAAAATGCTTATTGACTCCTCAAGATTTTCCTGATAATAAGGTTCCAAGTGGCTCATTACTTGACAGGGTTAAAATAAAAGATGAAAATTATATAATAAGTTGGATGGACTGCTCCCACCAAGCTTATACAATAGCATCGATTTTGACAATTCTTGTAAAATGCCTTCAGGTACCATATACCTCTTCGCAAGTACAATGTTTGACTAAAACTTTGACACATTTGATTTCCTTTTTAAAGGATTCCACTGAAGCTCCACAGCAAATATTCAACTGCTCAATGATGATGTTGCAATGGCCCATGTTTATCGCAGCGTTAAACTGTATCCAGGAAGAGGATAAGCTGTTATTTTTAACATTTTTTAAAATTTCTTCCCAAATTGGATCAGCTAGTGCTTCTTTTTCGTTGAAGAGAGTAATAAAAGTTTGGGAACACCATAAAAATGGGGATACCATTCCAGATGACGATGATAATATCGATATTGTTGCCTACTAGTCTTTAAAGCTTGCATTTATTGATTGCCTTTTTATTTAAAAAATAGAAATGTACTATAGTTTAAATTTCGATTGGTCAAATAACTAATTTAAAGAATTAATAAAACCTTCGAAAATCGCCAACAAACCATATGCTCCCGGATCAGGAATACCTCCTTCCTCATTTTTAAATTCATCTTCGTTCACATAGCTTGCTCTTCCAAACTTAGCCTGCAATTTCTTAGTTTCTTCACATCCCTTTTTGGCACTTTCTAATGCTTTCCTATAATCTTTGGATTTCAGGAATGTATCAACAAAAGGTTGTAGAGTGTCCACAAGTGTACGACCTCCAGTTCTTGCTTTAGTATATTTGAACAAACCATCATACAAGGCTTCATGAAAAGCCGTACCCAAAGTGGTAACGTTTATTTCCTTGCTTTTTTGCAAACTTTTACCCAAAGAAGTCAAAAATATAGAGTAAATACCCCCAGAAGTACCTCCCATGTTATCTTCAACAATCTCGGTTATCTTTGATACAGCACAGACAGGATCATTCAAGTGTTCTTTAAATGATTTATCATTTTTCAAGGCCGATAATACAGCATTTGCACCTGCAGCCAATGTTTCACCACAGTCACCGTCTCCGACAATCGTGTCATAATGAGTTATTTCAGGTTCTTTCTTTAAAAGATATTCTAAACCGCCTTTCAAAGCACTCTCGAACTTTTTAGCGTCAACCCTGAGTGAAGATGTGACTGTCTTAGCATCTTTCATTGGTGATTCCACGTATTCACTCTTTTTATCCCAAAGTTCAGAAGAATAAGACTTCGGTTTCCAGCCTGGTGCGTTGGTGGGAGTATCTAAGAACGATAAGATATCGTCAATAGAGAATCCCGATTTACCCTTAGCTGCAACTGATAAATTTAAGAGTGTCACAGAAAAGCCAGGAGAATTAAGAGATGTTACGAAATCACTAATCAAAACTCTCTTTGGCCTCTTAGACAATGGAAGATTATCAACAACGTGAGAAGCAATTGTATAAAGCTCCAAAGAAGATGTTCCACCTATGTTATTAATCAACAAAACATATTCATCATTCTTCAAATCGAAATCAACGTAATGACGCTCAGTATCTTTTGGAGAAACCAACATATCGAACATCTGATTAACTAAGTCATCAATGTTTGGAATTGGGATTTTATGACCGGGTTCATTATGAATACCCAAGCCTATTTCAGCCTCATTCTCGCCGGTAAACTCAATTTCGTGTGTCTTTCCAGGAACAGAAGTGCGGTCCAAAGATGCACCCACAGTGACAAAACTACTGTTGATTGATTTTCCTAATTCAAAAATAGTGTTCAAGTCAGCACCTGTTGATGCAGCAGCACTACCTAATATCTTATGAATAAGCGCAGTTCCTGCTAATCCTCTTCTTCCAACCATTTCATTTTGCTTTCTCCCAACTGCTACATCGTCAGCAACTGGTAACATTTCAACATTGTAGCCTTCCGTCTTGGCCCTTTCTACGACCAACCCAAAATGTAATATATCTCCAGTATAGTTCTTAACAATGATCAAGGTTCCTTTCTCTTTGTCAGATTTAGTCTTAACAGCAGCCATTATCTGTTTAGTTGAAGGAGAGGCAAAAATTGAACCACTTACAGCAGCATCTAATAAGTTGTCTCCTACAAAACCAGCATGCATTGGTTCATGTCCAGCGCCTCCGCCACTTACCAATGTTATCTTCTTTTTCGTATCCGATGAGTTATTGAACACAACTTTCTCAGAAGGAATAAGCTTTAGTGCAGGGTCTGAACTTACTAGACCCTTGAGGTTGCTTAAAACAATATCCTCGTTATCGTTGTATTTCCAATGCTTAGCCAAAGTCATATTATGATAGATTATACTCTATTAAAAGAAAGAAAGCCGAAATAAAGAATATAAAATCTCCTATTCTTTGAGCAACATTGCTATCTGGTCGGACCACTATTTCGCCGACGACTGTATACATGATATGACGTAGGATGTAGGAAAAGATCTTGAAGAAAGAAATAGGGTAAATCACTATTCTATATACAGGTATGAAAGATCTCTTTCCTATGCGATAGTCATTTCGATGTAAATTTTCAACTGGACCGTATGCTTTTTTAAGGAGAGCTTATGGAAACCCACGTATTACTTACATCTTCAAGGTCATTTCAACTACTGAATTAGAGAGAGAGCTACAGCCAAGGTCTTATTTTGTCCAATATTTACAGTTTACGATTAAGAGTGAGATACTGAAAATGTCAGTTTAGCTAATCGGACGTAGATTATATAATCGTAGATCATCACACAATTTGTTCATTAGATAATAATCAAATTTTAGACACTCTAGAAAATAATTTCGGGAAGCTATAGTGTCTATAAAGCTTAATACTTTGCAGATCAGACTCGACGAGGGACTGCTATCATAATACCTGCTGGACGGGAAATGAGCATGTCGGGTGACATTACTAAAGAGAAGGCTGTCTCTCTGCGCTCTGAGAGTGTTGAAAGCTCAGATGTTTTAGACCAGGAGAAGACCTCTGGTGAGAATGCAGTCAAAAGTAAGCGATCTAAGACATTCACTGGCTGTTTTACCTGTCGCTCTCGAAAAATTAGATGTGATTTGAAGAAGCCGTATTGCAAGAACTGCCGCAAAGCAGGTTTGATGTGTGCTGGATACGATATTAAGCTTAGATGGTCACAGCCTTTACAATTCGATTCAGTAACAGGGAAGATATCTTATCAAGTTAAATTCAAGCAGGGAAATACCTCGATAGCACATACATCAGAAGATGACATTAAGGTGAATTCTGAATTTTTTCAAAGGAGGCATGTGGGTTTTGTGAAGTGGGATTCTGGACTGAAATTCGGTCCTTATGAGACATATGAAGATATTGATAGAGATTTAGGCGTCCTTAATAATCCTCAGGATAAGGAAATAGAGCAGGAAACTAAAGTTCTTGGGCCATTCGGAGTTTTTAAGAGGACAATCAAAAGAAAACGTGAAATCGGTGATGAAGGTGGACCGAATAAGATAAGTAAACATAATGGTTCGAAACGAATTTCGAAGGAGAATGCTTATATTTCTGAGCCAATGGAAATTGATGAAGCCATGTCTCATGATCAACTTTGGCTTTCCAACGAATTAAGAGATGATGCCTTACTTACGGCTGCCGCATTAAATGGTGATACTCAATTTTTGGACTTTATGTCTAACTTATCTTCTGGTTCAGTCTTGGAGCAAAATGATGCTGGAAAAAACACTCTTTCACTAGGATCCTTAAATGTCACTGCAAATCAAAATGATTTTCTTAATCTAGTTTTTCATGGAAACTCGTCTCAAGCACATAATTTTGGAAATTTAACAAATGGTAATTCGGTTAGCCTAGGATCATCCCTGCTGAATGCAACTGGAATTCCTATGTCCACCATTCTCAACTCAAATGAGCCTTCAACTTTATTAGTAGACACTTCAAGGTCACGCATCTATGATCATGGTTATCATGATCTTCATAATCAGCATTACGAATCAAACGAAGATCTTGAAATCAATTTACATGCTTCAAAGAAAAGTGATAGACCCATGCAGGTATTGGAAGAAGATCAAAATGGGCAGGTTAGAATGCCACCTTCCATTATGTGCATCGTGCAAAGCACATTACTGACGGAACCTCATATTGATTTAGCAATTCCCAATAAATCTAAATCTGCGAATTCGCCAAGTTCACTTAAGGGGCTACCGAGTACTGCATTGCAAGTACAACCCCTCACAAGATATTTACTTAATTACTATGTGACCCAAGTGGCAGACTTGATGACAGTGATACCATTGACTGAGAACCCATGGAAAACAATCTATTTTCCTAGAGCTCTCATGGCAATTGGAGAATTACTGGCACTCGGAAAGACTTCAAATGCCAAAAATGCATTACTCAATGCTCTTCTCGCAGTCTCGGCTTTCAATTTGCAGTCTAAATTTCCAAAGAATTCTGGATCTATGAAGTACTACTTAAACCTAGGAATCGGATTAAGGAATCAGGCTAGTTTATTTATTAAGAGGTTATTGGGTTCTAAGACCGATACACAGTCAGGAATAGAGCATTGTATTGCAAATGAAAAATATAAAGATGTGCTTTGTGCAGTTATGTCTATGATCAGTGTGGATTTAGTGTGGGGTACAATGCAAGACACAAACTTTTATATAAAGTGGTGTGAAAGAGTAATTGCAACTAAAATGAAGAAGAAGAAAAAGCTCTCGTCCAAGGCGAGAATATTACATCGAATATTTCTGTCTTTGAAATTAATACAGGACTCAACGTGTTTAGACCTCGATAACATTAGAGACGACTTTTATTTGACATCAGGTTATGGCTACGATGTCAATGGTGACAAATATAAGCTGAAGGATGAAGCTGGAATAGATGGACGCGGAAGAATTGATTATATTGTTCATAATATTACGGCCAAGGAAAATAGAGGGGGTAAAGATGCTTCGCCTTTATTCGTAGACAAGAAATTAATCAATACTAAGAAAAACGATGAAAATTTCGCTACTGATGCCTTATATGGACTTCCTAACTCATTGATTATCTTATTCAGTGAGACAGTCAAGTTATTGAGAACAAAGAGATATTACGAAGGTATTCAAAAGACTATTCCACGTAACTTTGAGCAGAAAGTTAAAGCTCTAGACTCTGATCTACTGAAATGGAAGTTAGATTGGAAACTCTACAATAATTCAGTCAAGAAGAGTATTAAGAAAGATAATGATTGCGAACTAGATTTTCTTTCACCGATGCATGAAGCGACTTATCATCACATCCTTTCATTTTATCATGCGCTTTCCATATATCATAAAAGATTTCTAAAAGGTGAATCACCCATAGAGGTTCAAGATAAAGTGGAATTAACGTTGCATCACTTAAATTCCATTCAGGCTCTTATAGCTCGGGATGAAGCTGCGATTATACCTCTTTTTTGGCAGGGCTTTATTGCAGGTTGTGAAGCCGTCTCTTCAGATTTGCAGCTAGGTTTTAAGAAGTGGGGTGCTGATATTGCTCAATACTTGGGAAGCTACTGGGGTGCAAGGCAGATCATGCTAGAAGTTTGGCGTAGGAAAAGATTAAATGAGCCACGAGACAACTGGATATATGTTATTCAAGATTGGGAAATGAATCTTATGTTGGATTGAAGTAAATTTTACGATTCGTTACTCTTAACAGTGTGTATATGTGTTCAAATCGTTTAATAATATCGTGAGAGTCGTAGTAAGCTTCTTCGTTAGATCTCATTCATACTATCAATTGTATTACGCGTGAACCTCGCTCTATCAAGATACACGATTTGACAACGATGAGCTAATAATTATTTCGCGTTGTTTATGTTTTCGCGTCTTTATTTTGTAAATACGCCACGAAAGACGTTTTATCGTGTTAAGAAAAACTCGAAATATTACGTGAAAAACTATTGACATGAAGGAGCCGACAGATTAAGGAGTAAATCTGGCGCCTTGTTCATTATCATCACACTTAGGCTCATTATCATTTCATGAATAAATACACGATTTTACGCGTTCTTTAGTGGGCTAAGAACTATGAAGCGTTTAGCGTGTATCAACTTTTCTGAAATAAATTGCTGATACTAAAGGTATAAATACGCCTCAATGTGGTTAAAATTAAGGTCTCATATTGCAACAGTAAGTCATTCGTTACAGTGAAAAGATTAGCATCTCTTGGTCAACCTAAAATAACACACAAATATAATATGAAGTTCTTAACAGTCGCTACCTTGTTAGCTGTCGCAGCAGCTCAAACTACTGTTTATGACATTGATACCGTTACCAATGAATCAACAACTGAGGTCACGATCACATCATGCTCAGATAATGTTTGTCAAACAACAGTTGAAGCTACTAGTCAAACAGTTGTCACTACTACTGTTGATGGTGTGTTGACCGTTTACACAACCGTTTGTCCAGAATCAGCAGTCGAAAAGGCACCAGTATCTGAAGAAGCGGAGGCAGCCACAGCTTCTGAGTCTAATGAGTACGTTGATGTGACCACGACACCAACTGTCACTGTCTCAACCGGTGTCGAAGCTACTGAAACTTCACAACTCACATTCACTTCTGTCTTTAATAGTGCTTCATCCAACAGCACTGCTGCCGCTGTTTCAACCTACGAAGGTGTCGCAGGTCAACAAAAAATTGCAGCTGGCGCAGCTGGACTTGCTGCTTTGGCTGTCGCTCTCTTGTAAGCTGACAATTTAAGAGTCAGTAAGAGCATCACACAGGCATATATGTATAAATATGTATATTCCTGATATAACTTCTGAATTTGATATAGACATCTATTAATTCTACGACACATTTCCGTTTTCAAGCAGTTCAATAGCATTATATTATACAATCTATGCAATCTATAAACTTAAGACTCTGGGACCCTAAATCTAAGTTGCTGACCTTCAAAATAAATATTATTTAGCGTAGCCTCAAACTCTCCTATTGCTTTCAATTCGACGTATTTTTTGTATAAAAGAAGTGCAGAATTTGCATCTTCGATGGAGTCATGATTTCCTGTTTGCACTTTTTCTTTGAGAAGTATATACACCAAAAACTTAAGACTTAGTTTTCTTTTAAAATCACTTTTGTAAAAGAATTCAGCTGTATCTCTTATCTGAGAAGGAGGAACTTGTAAATTGATACATCTAAAGTCATTTTTTAAACCGTGACCTACGAAAATGACTCCTAAATTCAAAAGTAACCACAATCTTCTATATGCTGTTTGTAATGTTACCAAGTTCTTATCAGACTTAATCGGATCTAAATCACCAGGCTCGATACCAGAAAAATTAGTCAAATAGTCTGATATTTCACTGGTATGAACGATATAATCATCGATGAAAGGAACGCCTTCCTTAGTGCCGTTGTCTCCTCTTAAAGCAGATACCCTTGCCAATGACAATTTCTTAGGTTTTATAATGTTCTTACGGCCATCAGAATATATTTCTAGGATTTCTGGCCTTAAAGTAACAAATTCAGCATCAATGGCAACCAATGTTCCAGCAGATGGTGCCTCCTCTTTGCTTAAAAGTTCATACTCTTTTCTGTATGAATCTCTAATTGAACCTGCAAAATGATCTTTATATAAGATCTGATCATCGATTCCGACGCTCTTAAAGCGATTATTGGTGAAGTAGTCAAAGCATTGATTCAGTGGATGATCAATATCACTATAAAGTATTATGATTGGCTTCTTCCATGGATACAATAAATTAAAAACCTCAGAGTCCAGTATAGGCATTACCAAGAAATCATTGAATAAAAACCATTGTCCATTAATTTTCACAAAAGATACTAAATTATGTGAATCAATTGAGTCTTCGGCGGAGTGATTTATTTCGCACACAAATCCCTGAAGCTCGTATTTAATCGAATTTGAACTATTCTGGGGGCCGCTCTGTTTAAAAGATAAGTTTCCATTGTCTCTTGTAGCATAGAAAGAGGGTACCAACCAGTTTTCGTAGCTGCTGACCATATCAAACTCTTCTTTAGTAAAATTAACATTAACAGATAACAACGGAGGAAGGCTATTAATCTTACTTTCGACACTCAAAGGGTGAGCGAAATTATGAGCTTTGCATGGTACAGCTTTAACTTGATTCAACGAATAGTCCAAATAGTCCACGATTGAATAGGCCCTCCTCCGATTAAAAATTCGGTCTCTAGAATAACGACCAGTATTCGATTCAACAATTTGAGTTTCGGGAGGTGTAATTAAGTCTATGACAAATTGTTTGCCAACCTGCTTTTCATTAATATGGCAATATGAACTTTTAACCTCAAGTTCATATTGCAAGCCCATTACATTATCTAACGATGAATCATTGAATTGACCCAATAAATCAGAATTCAACTGAAACATCAAAAAAGCATTGAATTTACATATCAATAGTCGCAACTGCTGAGCGTTGAATTTCCTCCCTTCTTCGGTATCAATGAGTCCTTCTTGTACTGCACTGACATTTGTATTTAATGTCTCCGAAAAGTTCGAAATCGTAACGTTTTTTCCTTGTGCTTTGAACATCATATCAAACAAGTATCCCAATTCATTCAAAATGGAAGAGCCGTTAGGATTTCTCATGATTGTTGAGCCGTCACACGGAAGCCATTCGTTTTTCAATTTTAGGATCACTAAATTGTAAAACATAGGATTATACCGGTAAAGTTGTATTAAGGGATTGATATAAGAATTATCGAGATGATTCTCTAATCCACAATACATACCATTAGATTTATTATAATAGTCAAAGTCGAAATCCTCGACACCGAATCTTGAATAGTGAATGGATAATTTCGAATAACAATTAGGTGTTCTTCTTAAATCACCCCCCTTGCTAAGATAATCAGCAGGTGGTGCAACCTTAAATTGAAAAATACTATCATTTTCGTGTCCATCAAATCCAGAATCAGTTGAGTTGTTACTTTTAATACTTGGAGTCGATTTCAGGTCGTTTGTCCTTTCGCTAATAAATTTCGGTATATTAACCGATCTAGCATTACCTTCCTTCAAAGAGGCATACCTATTATAGAAGTACATGGGTCCATATTTCAGTTCATCATATGGAAATACCCTCTCTTGAGAGTCCATGGTCAAAGGAGTAATAATCTTTTTTGGGAGCTTAGCTAACTCCTTTGTGAACCTCAAGTCGGAGGCAAAATTTGATAGCAAAAGATCCTTATAATAAGGCATTCCAACTGAAGATAAGGGAACATTATCATCAATACTTAAAAATTCTGTCGACAGTGGAAGAATGATGTCAGGCTGTTCCAATGGAGATGGGAAACTAACAAAATCTTTGCCAGTAGGGTTGTAAGACCACAAGTGAAGATTCGAGCAACTGTCATTGAAACTTATAAACTCACCATTACCACTTATTTCCAAATTTGACAAGTATGAGTTGTTAACATGTAAAGGCGTATTAGATACTGCCAAATTCGCTTGATATAAATATCCAAGCAGTTGGTCGAACATATCCACCAACTGTATTTGACCTGACCGTGATGCAATCACAAGAATATTAGGAAGTTTTGGGTGAAATCTTACACATGATGCACCAGCAGGAAATGGTATTGGCGCCAAAGCTTTCAACATTCGTAAGTCATAGATATTTACCAACAGATCAGCCATGAAATCCTTCGAAGGATGAAAACTTCTTGCTCTAGATGAGTACCCACAAGTTGCTATATAGTTCCCTTGTATGTCTAGGTCTGATAATGAGCTGCTATGACCAGGGAATGTCTTAACTGTCGTTTGGCTCAGTGGATCAAATATATCTACTGTACCTTCGGTTTTACCCAACACTAAGAATTTGGCAGCAGTCTTAACAAAAGAAACACTCCCGGTGTAATCATAATTTATTAAATTATTAGGCTTATTAACATCAATTTTCATGAAGGAATCATCACTTCCCACTATGATATCATTGTTTGCATTCGAGTTGATAGCCATACATGACAAATTTCTAAATTGCTCACTACCATTTTTAAATAATTCCCATGAAAACTCCTGCTTCACTATTCCTCTCCTATTGTTGAATATCAATGAGCTTTGCAGCAAGGAAAACAATCCCTCTCTATGACTTAAATGCTGTCTCACCGGTTTATTCTCTGACACTGGAAATTTCGAATACGGACATAGTTGAAATGGTTGAAATCCCAAAGTATCATTTTGAGTTGTAAAAGATCTTGTTAATCCCAATGAGTCTCCACACCAAAGTAAGTTCTGGGTGCCATCGAATTCTAAAGCCGTGGTTCTGCCATGTTCTCCTCCATTAGCACCAAGAGGCGGAATTCGACAAACCTGTACTGTTAGTTAAAATCTGGCATACCATTTTCATCAAAAGTAGACTTACCTCTAGCCAACCTTCCATAATAGACTACCGCTATTTAAGGAACATAGGCGTTATAATAGAGGTTTATGAAGGGAGAATCGTGATGTCCGAGATATCATTCTTGGAATTTTCTGTTTCGCACGTGACAGAAGTAGCAGCTATACAATTTATTCTTACACTTGTCGTTACTTGTTGAGTTACCACTTTCCCCTTGGGAACACTAAGTATTCCTTTTGTTCTTGTATTCTTTTTCAGGGGTAGTGGTAGTATATTAAATTATGGTTTATTATTTCGTCTTGATTAAGTTCTGTGCTTTACCAAAAGCCCACCTATGTCTCCAGGCTCTTTCCTCCAGATGTCGCGAAGTTCCTGGACCTGTACGTTGTAAAAGTAAACACGATAACAGCCCTTCGAAGTTTCATATTCCCGATGAAGCCCGCTAGCCACGGTTATTCCTCGTTTCCCACGCGTGTCCTAATTGCTACCAGCGGCCCTCTAAGTTTACGCAGGTATTGCACACATGCGTCGGAATCGGGTCATGCCAGGTGGCTGCGGGATGTCGCGGTATTCCCTCCAAGAGACACAAAAGCCCTCGAGGTCTCGATAAGGGGAGTCACCCATGATAACCTTTCGTGATCTTATCTTGCGATTCTTGTTTGTTTACGTCGTAGCACTTAAGTTTATAAAACTATTTAATTAACAGAACTGAAAACTATTCAATTGTCTTATTCGACAAGAATTTATAACTTAGCTTGGAGATCGTCATCGTTTCGACTTAGTTGTTTTTAATTCAAAAGAGTTTGTTGACACAATTAACCGAGCTTGAGACAACTGTAAAATAGAGAACCCGTGCAGGTGAAACTAATTTAATTAATAAAAAAGAGAGTTCCGATTTGCAAATTATTATCCGTTGGCTTCCTTAAGATAACTTCATTCATATTTACCTGGTAATTCGGATTTACTATCGCTTAATTGAAGAATAACTTCATTTCTTTCTTCCTTTGCCTCCCGAATAGTCCTATTTTAATCGAGTTGAATTTAAATGTTGAAAGCTGGTTTCACTTCATATTTACTTCCTTCCTTCTTGAAGAGAGAACGCAATGAGCTGAACCAATATAAGAGTACAGAACCTATTCCAAGCAGTTTCATCATTCCATCAGTTGAGAACAGTCAAAACTTGGTTAATATTTCTATGAATGAGCAAGAGGATTCATTTGTAGATATACAATGCAAAAAGTTGACTTATGCAGAAGTTGCTGCCTTATCGAAGCACAGGCCACAACAATCATCTGCGAGAGCAATGAGCCTTCCAAGCAAGACAAGAACTAATATCAATCAATATGAATACTTGAAGGCTCAAAATGAAGACGACACAGAAGCTTCTGATGTTATCGAGCCTCAAAAATCTGATGTCAATTACAGGAAAAGTCAACTGTTTAAGAGCAAGCAATTCGAAGCTTTGCAAAAGAAGAAAATGAAGAAATCTGCTTTGAAGCAAAAAGCTGATAATGTTTAGATACAATATGAAATGGATGGTTCTGATCCGACTGAAGAATACTTTTTAAGTCATCAATTTATCGGCTGACTGCCTGACGTGTTAAGATGAATTTGTTCGGCTATTTGTTCTGACTATCCTATTAAACTTATCATTTTGTTTTGGCCGTTTGACTATTGCTATTTATTAAACGTCGATATTCCTTAAATTTGAAGAAGAGGAATACAGCTATCTATTTAATTTTATCTTTCCTATGTTTTACGTATATCTATTATTGCAACCGGTTATAAGAGTTTGTATTTAAACGTCTTTCCTTACGGCACCCAGAAATGTAGATGTATCGCAAAAGCATTGCTACATAGTCTCTCCCTATAATATACGTATATCATATATTAGGGATCGTTCTGTCATTGGTGTAGTAATCTTGCAATCTTGCAATCTTGCAATCTACCTATCTGGAAATGCACTTTGTTGTGTTTATCTCCAGGTTTGTAGATTTAGCAGGCTCATTGTGCGGCTCATGTGAAGAGTAGATGAGAAAGAAAAAAAAAATTTAAATTGTTAACTCTTGACAGTCCTATATTCACCATGAGTAAAAGTAAAGGTGAAAAGAGGAAATATGATGAGGGCTCACTTTCACAACTGAATAATTTTTCAGAAGTTGAGAAAGTGAACTCAAATGGTAATAACGAAGTCAAAAATAAGAAAGAGAAGCAAGAGAAAAATGAAAGTGAGGAAAGAAAGATCAAGAAGGTAAAGAAAGAGAAGAAAGAAAAGAAGGAGAAGAAAGAAAAGAAGGAGAAGAAAGAAAAGAAGGAGAAGAAAGAGAAGAAGGAGAAGAAAGAAAAGAAGGAGAAGAAAGAGAAGAAGGAGAAGGAGAGTCTAGACATAAATATCACAGCTAAGCAAAATGGTCATGAATTAAGCACTAATAAGTCAAGTCAATTGGTTTACATACAATCAAGTGAATTAACGGGGACTCCTCAGTCTGTAATTGATAGCTTTCTTTCAGAGAATGAGGTTACTGTTGAAGATGACCGAAAAATGAACTTACGGCCTATCTTATCTTTTGACCACTTGAGCTTGGATTCAGAAGTAACTAATGTTGTCGCAAAGTTTCCGAAGCCGACTCCAATTCAGTCAGTATCTTGGCCATATCTTTTGTGTGGAAGGGATGTGATTGGTGTTGCAGAAACCGGATCAGGAAAGACTTTTGCATTTGGTGTTCCTGCAATCAACAATCTATTAAGCTTGGAAAAGACAGGATTAAAGGTTTTATGTGTTTCTCCTACAAGGGAATTGGCTTTGCAAATTTACGACAACCTAGTCGATCTCACTTCTAAAACTTCACTTAAGTGTGTTGCAGTTTACGGTGGCGTTTCCAAAGACGAGCAAAAGCATCAATTGAAGACAGCGAATGTTGTTGTGGCCACTCCAGGAAGATTGGTTGACTTACTAAATGACCGCGCCCTAAGCTTAGAAGGGATTGAGTATCTCGTGTTGGATGAAGCTGATAGAATGCTAGAGAAAGGATTCGAAGAAGACATTAGAAGAATTATTGGTGACACCAACACTGATAGGCAAACGTTAATGTTTACGGCAACTTGGCCCAAAGAAGTGAGAGAATTGGCTGCGACATTCATGAATGAGCCTGTTAAGGTAAGCATAGGAGATCGAAATGAACTTTCAGCAAACAAGCGAATTACTCAAGTTGTGGAAGTTGTTGAACCTTACGATAAGGAGAAAAAACTCTTGCAATTAATTAGAAAGTATCAATCCGGACCAAACAGAGACGACAAAATACTTATATTTGCATTATATAAGAAAGAGGCAGCAAGGATCGAATTACTTCTCAAAAGAAATCTGTTAAACGTAGTAGCTATTCATGGTGATTTGTCGCAACAACAGAGATCTTCTGCTTTGAACCTGTTTAAGCAAGGGAAATCAAATATCCTCTTAGCTACTGATGTTGCTGCGAGAGGTCTAGATATCCCAAACGTGAAGGTCGTCATAAATTTAACTTTCCCGTTAACGGCAGAGGACTACGTTCACAGAATTGGAAGAACTGGTAGGGCAGGGCAAACGGGAACATCGCATACCTTATTTACAGAGCATGAGAAACATTTGAGTGGAGCACTTATCAATATTTTGAGAGGCGCTAACCAACCTGTTCCTGATGAATTACTTAAATTCGGCGGCCATACCAAGAAGAAAGCTCACTCAGCTTACGGTGCTTTCTACAAAGATGTGGATATGTCAAAAACAGCAAAGAAGATAAAATTTGATTAAAATAAATTGACTTATTCATAGGGTCGATAACTTCATTGAATACTATTGGCACATCTTTGCTCCTTTTCTTTAATTCAATTTTTTTACACTATATATATATATTCTTACAATAAATCATCTGTAGAAGACTTTAGATTCGCACTATTTGACTACGTGTTCAAAATCCTGCATGTTACTCATTTTAATAAGATGTAGCTTATCTGCTGGCAAATTCATCTACGGTACTATTTATTCTAGAGCTATAGTAGCAGCATTTTATATTAAGCGATAGCAATTACAGGATCTTGAATTTGGAGTTACGCTTAACCGTCTCTCGTCCATCTCATACTTTAGAAATAAGTCATTCTGTTTGGTGTGAAAATTTTTCCATCATCATCGCTTTGAAGATTGGTAATCACTTTGATTATTAAATATCTTTAATTAATATGAATAAATTTGGAATATGGTTGACCTTATTTATGAGCCTTATTCTTGTGAGTGCTGATATTGCTTCACCGCTGCAATTTTCCCCGTTTGACTCTCCAGACTTCTGTTCCCAAAATATTACCTCGACGTGTAATACTACATTTTCATACATTGATGATCTTAACCGTGTGCTTAGACCGTTAGTCACGAAGTTGATTACCACACCCTACTTCAAGTATTTCAAGTTGGATTTCGATAAACAGTGCAAGTTTTGGAACGCTCAACATTTCTGTGCCACTTCTAATTGTGCCGTTGAAATTTTGCCACCTTCCCAATATAACTGGAGTGATATTGACAATGATAGCTTAAAGCCTTCTAAGTTAGGCGAAATAAATCGTCCTGAATCTACTGAGTCCGCTTCAGAAACGGAGACATGTGAAGATCTCGATTATACCTACATTGATGATGACCACCATTGTGTCTATGTAAACTTACTTGATAATCCTGAACGGTTTACAGGTTATGGTGGAAATCAGTCTTTAGATGTTTGGAGGGCTATATATTCAGAGAACTGTTTTCCCAACACTAATCCAATGTCTATGGTCCCCAATAACGAGCCCGAACAGTGCGTCGAGAAAAATCTATTTTATAGATTGGTATCTGGGATGCACGCATCGATATCTGTTCACTTGGCAAATGAGTATATGGCACCAAATGGGGATTTCTTCCCTAACTTAAAAGTTTTCATGGAGAGGGTAGGTCTCTTTAATGATAGGTTGTCTAACATATATTTCAATTATGCTTTGGTAAGTCAGGCAATCATTAAATTATCCGAGTTTTTGAATATTGAAGAATTCGTTCAATCTGGATCTACTGAGTCCAGTTATAAACAGCAGTCTTTTGGATTGGATGGTCCAGTGGAGTACGGTCCAATTTTGGACAGCATTATTCTTCCCTTAAAATCGAACACTCTTTTTGATACCCACAGTTTGTTTAATCCTGCAACCACCTCCCCTGAATTGAAAGAGGAGTTTAGATCTAGATTCAAAAATGTGTCTGCAATTATGGATTGTGTTGGATGTGACAGATGCAGAATGTGGGGCAAGCTACAAACAATCGGATATGGTACTTCATTGAAAATCTTATTTGAAAGTGAGGATCCTAATAATGCTTCGAGGTTGTCTTTTAGAAGGATAGAATTGGTCGCTTTATTTAATACCTTTGACAGATTGTCAAAGTCTTTAGAAGCCATTAACAACTTCAAAATCATGTATATAAACCAATCAAGTGATAGTCAAGATGGTCAATTTGATTCCGAAGGACATAATCAAGGACTTGAATTCCCCTTTTTCGATTCTTCAGTGGGTTCACAAGTCCCGATTAAAAGAAAAGCTCCTCCAAAAAAAAATCCTGATGCAAAACTTCCTGAGAAATTACTCGTGGAGCAGAAAGCAAAAGAAGATTTGACATTTGCAGAAGAATTCAAAGTTGCATTAGATGAAGTGTATCAAGCTCTTTTGTTTGTGTTGAGGAGTTATCGAGACTTTCCCGTCAATGTGTATAAGATTGCGATTGTGTATTTAAATTCATGGTGGAATACATTTGTCGGAAAACCTACACAATATTTGTATCTGGAAGAATTTCAGCTACATGAACCTAAATTGTGATCATCGTATAATCATGATATCATGAATAGTATGATATCTGATGATATCTGATGATATATAATCTTAACAGCTTCATGCATTTACGTCAATAGAATTAGAATATTACAGAAAGAACAATTGTCATTTTAAAGTATTTTATATCAAATTTTTTTAATATAAGTTTTAGGCAGATTGATAACATAATGTGAAATTTTAGCACTAGAGTATCAGCTTACGCCAAGGTACCAGTGCCCACCCAATGCTAGATTTATACGTGTTTGAATTCTGGATTAGTGTCCAAATTTACGGGCGCGCGTAGATTTCAGTCTTTCTCTGACCACGTACTGTTTTTTTCTTTGAAGATCTCGAATCTAAACGTAGTGAATAAATCAACAACTCGATCGAAGATCTTAGCATAAAGAAGTGCCAGATCAAACAGGTTACGAGATATAATGTCAAGCAGAAAAAGAGCATATCCAAAGCCTCAGTATGCGATAAACACTCCACAAGCGGTAGAAACTCAGTACCAACAACCACCGCCTGGTGTCGCGCAACAAGCATATGGTGTTGACCAGATGAATGGTCAATTCCAAAACCTAAATGTCGGAGGAACTGCTACCACGCAAGATCAGTATCAGTATAACCAGTTTCAAGCACCTCCTGTCCAACAAAGCTATGATTCGTATTACCAGCAACAGGCTCCCCAACAGCCAACTTTTCAATCTCAGGGCAGCTATTATGGGTCTCAACAATCATCACAAGCATTGCCATTAAATCAGTTGTACTCGACAGATTTATTGAGAGAACTTCCTCCTTCGATAAGTGACTTATCATTGCCTCCACCCCCCATTGTCTTGCCAAGTGATACGGCTTTAATTCCAGGTTCGGAGACAGCAAATGCTCCTCCAGACTATTTCAGATCAACATTAAATGTTATTCCGACTAGTCATTCGCTTTTAAAGAAATCGAAGTTACCATTTGCCCTAGTCGTGAGACCGTACACTACTCTTCACATTGAAGATGACGATGTTCCTGCTACGAGTGATACAATAATTAGTAGATGTCGTCGTTGTCGGTCATACATAAACCCTTTCATTACGTTGACTGAGCAGGGGAGACGTTGGAGATGCAACATTTGTGGTCTTCAAAATGACATCCCTTCCGCATTTGAATATAATGAGATTACAAGAACAGCTAAAAATAAGTTCGATAGAACAGAACTCAATCATTCAGTTGTGGAATTTGTTGCTCCAAAGGAATACATGGCTAGGTCTCCTCAGCCAATTGTCTTTACTTTTATCATTGATGTCTCAATTGAGGCTGTTAACTCTGGTTTAACTGGAACCATTACTAGGACAATATTGGAGAGCTTAGACCGTATTCCGAATCAAAATAAGACCGCAAGGGTTTCATTCATTGGTGTTGATTCCAATTTATACTATTTTAAGTTCAATGAAGGACTAGAGGGAACTGAAATTTTGGTAGTTTCTGATATAGACGAACCATTCTTACCTTCGCCTGATGGTTTACTAGTTAACCTTAATGAAAACAGAGATGCAATTGAGAGATTATTGATTGATTTCCCCACTTATTTCGAAGACACAGCAAATTCAAGCTTTGCTCTAGGTCCAGCACTCAGAGCGGGTCACAAGATGATCAGCAATATCGGTGGTAAATTGATTTGTTTTACATCTTCGTTACCCAATTTAGGTGAAGGTAAATTGAACGTAAGAGACGAGGCTGCATTTTCCGGTAAACCTAAAGAAACGCAGATGCTTCTAACGCCAGCTGACAAATTTTACAAAAGTTTTGCCGTTGATTGTAATGGCGCTCAAATATCAGTAGATTTATTTTTAACTTCTGCCAAATATCAAGATGTCGCCACATTAGCTAATTTAGCTCGGTATACTGCGGGTCAAACCCACTTTTATCCAGCTTGGTCTAGTGCTAAATCAGAAGACGTGACGAAATTGTCTAGGGAAGTGAGTGAGCATTTATCACAGGATATTGCTCTTGAAGCAGTCTTGCGAGTAAGAGGTTCGACAGGATTAAGGATGACCTCGTTTTATGGTAATTTCTTCAATAGATCGTCAGACTTGTGCTCTTTTCCAACATTTCCAAGGGATCAAAGCTATTGTATTGAAGTTTCTATCGAAGAAAATATCTCAAAACCTGTTGTTTATTTCCAAGCTGCTGTCTTACATACAACTTCATTCTGTGAAAGAAGGATAAGGGTAATGACATTGGCAATTCCTACGTCTTCGAAGTTGGACGATATTTATGCCTCCGCTGACCAATTAGCAATTACTACTTACTTTACGCAGCGAGCTGTTGAAAAGGCTCTTTCAAGCTCCTTGATAGATGCAAGAGATTACTTGACTAGGTCCATCGTTGATATACTAAATGTTTACAAAAAAGAATTGGTCGCTGGAAATATCTCAGGTGCTTCTCCATTACAATTGTCGACAAATTTGAGAATGTTGCCTCTCCTATTATTTTCCTTGACGAAGCACTTAGGCTTAAGACCCGAAAGAGTACCTTCGGATCATAGGGCGTCCGCCTTAAATATGTTGGGATCATTGCCGATCCCCCATTTGATCAAGTATATTTATCCAACAGTCTTTTCATTACACAATATGGCTGATGAGTGTGGCTTGCCGGAAACAGTTGTTACTATTAATGAAGAAACCGGGGAAGAGGATGTAATTACAACAGCCAATATTTTGTTACCTGAACCTATTAATGATTCGAAAGCGCATTGGGAAAATTATGGTTTGTACCTCATTGATAATTCTAGTGAGTTGTTCTTGTGGGTTTCGGGTGATGTTGTACCAGATTTGGTTGCAGATTTGTTTGGAACAGACAATTTGTACGAAATTCCCACTGGAAAAACTGAACTTCCTGAATTTTCTATAGAGGAATCAGAATTTAATTATAGAATTCGTCAAATCATTGGTAAAATAAGAACTCTGAAAGATTCGATAATCAGAAAGAATTTGTATGTCGTTATCGGAGGATCCTCAAATGAACCTATTGAGATTTCTCAACAGCGTGACTTGATGGCATTAAGGATGTGGGCTTATAGTTGCTTGGTCGAAGATAAAACTGGAAGCGAGCCAGCTTACAGAGAATTCTTAACCTCTTTAAAGAGCAAGGTGACCCAATAAGAGTATTAGCAATAAGTAGAATCATATAGCTTTATCTCAAAATATTCACTGATATTTACCTAAAAGCAAATTTATTATACAAATTTTATCCAAGTATTTTCATATCGATTGCAGGATTACACTAATTGCATCAAGAAACGAATCGCTCTGACTTCCAAATGTTTCAATAATAGATGATTTCATTGAATCAGAATGTGACTTTAAATTCAGGGCAATAGGTCCTCCTCTCGCCATAGTAGCAGCAATACTTTTTTTAAGTCTAAATGCTAAGTTCTCCCAGTATAATAGAGAAATGCTTGGGGTTTTCAAATGGGATATCGCGTTCTCTAACAAATTCTTTGAATCAACGTTTGTGCCAGAGATATTAGAAATATCACAATTTAGAAGAATCCCTTCTAGCGTATTTAAAAATGAATCAGATGTGCTTTTCACTTCTGTCAAAACTATCAGAAAGTTTCTGGGTGACTGTAGAGATCTAGATAACTGAGACGATGACAACTGAACTTGCTTGTTAATGGTCGATTTTTCTAAAATGGTAAAGAGCTGCTCTTTATCTAAAATAAAAAGCGCAATTAAATTGCACTGCAAAGGCACATTTTTAACATTAAAAGAGCTTGAATGACTTAGTTCATTGATAATGAATTTATTGCACCGATTCGTTAAACTTACCTTCTTAGACTCTTGGACAGATCGGTACTCACGAATTAGCTTGATCGACAATAAACTTGGATCACCCATATGGCCATGCTTATTTAAGTCACTTTTCCTCATGGACTTGTCTTCACTCTTGTATAGTAATGATATTTGTAAATGCAATTTTGCCAACCTAATAAGATCTTTATGACTGTTGAAATTCTCTGGATCATCTACTGACTTTTCCAAGTCTTCTAACAGTTGAATCAAAAATATGAAAGAGGTGGCCCCTCTTAGCAATGAAACTGTTGAGTGTATCCTTTTGAGAGCATCATTGATTTTGATTGCATTCTCGTATGGCTTGATAATTTCAGTTTTTATTCTCTGGAACGAAACATTTACCCTTTCTATCGAAGGATGGATATTGTTATTCATCAATGATTTGCAAGCTTGCACTTGTGAGAAGTTAGAAACTAATTTAATGCGATTTCTCGAAGCAATTGCTTTCATTCGTTTGTCACATTCATCAATATCAAATTTTAGTTTTTTGACTGACGTAGCGATATCTAATTCAGTGTCAGCATTATCATTCGTCGCCAATAACAAGTCATTAGCAAACTCTAACTTTTCAAAGTCCGGCTCCAAAAAGGCTTCGAAATCCTCGAGATCATTAATATTTTTGTTCGTTGTTGTCATTACTTGGCCGAAAACTTTCTCATAGTTCTTTTCTACATATACATTTTTTTTTTCTACAAATTATTATCGCGATTTCTTCTTAGTTTTATTATAGACAAAACTACAAGGCACACTTGCATTGCCCAAATTACGTAAATACTTATTCTGTTCTGTACTTCAGCACCTTTATGTTACTAGAAAGAGGCGCTATGTTGACTTTTTTATGCTTTTTACCACCTCTCTTATGAAACATTTTTTTCTTTAATTTAGCTTGTCTCTCTTTTTCACGCTTCTTTTCACTCTTTTCCCTTTCTTCTCTTCTTTTACGACATAGCACTTTGTTAGCTCTTTTCTTTTTGCCGGGCCTACGGTTTCTTCTGAATCTTTGATCTTTTTGTGACTGTAGGTCAATTTTGGCATTGTGTTCCTCTAACTTTATGCATTTCCAAGGAGTAGGGTCATGAAGTGCGCCAGTTATAAAAGTCTGCTTGATCACTTCTTCACCCGATATTGCGGCTTTCATGAACTTTTCCCTATCTTTATCATTATACTCTACGTAATAGTATGCTAGTGGTCTTATATTATCAACAGTTTCTAATGATTCTTCTCTCATTGAAACTTTCATGATCCTTGTTGCTGATCTCCCTCTCTTCAGCTGCAGCTGCTTTCTTTCATCATCTTTTGTATTGGCTTTTTCGGTATCTTCAGCTTGGGAAATACCTATTAAAGGCGACGCAAATAATGGGAAATCAAATTCTTCATTTTGAGTGTCTTCTTCTTTAGTTTCTCTATTCTTCTCATTAGTCCGTATAGTTAGATCTTGACTTATATCTTTTTCTATATCCACGATATCAAGTTGAATTTGGGACATATAGCTCAAGTCATCTTCTTCTTTTTGATATGTATCCTGACTATCTTCATCATACAAAGCTGAGCGAGAAATTCTAAATATATTAGTACTTATATTTAATAACCATGAAGTTCATTAGAGGCTATTGTTTTGACTTACTTTTGATACTCTGACATTTATATCTTCATTATATTTAAAATGACTATGAATTAATATTTTCGATTATAAAATTTTATCTGATGTTTAATTTTTCGATTATCGTTTTTTTCGTCCTGAATCACTTGGTTATCGGCCAACAATTTTTAGTTCAATCTACAAATATGATCCTATCAGCGTTCCCGATTACCACTTCACTTTAGCAGACTAACATTAATCGTTAAGTTGTTATATAGCAATGCCTTCAGAGATGAGGAATTGCGATAAACAACTTTTGCAATTGACGTTTTTGAAAAATATGCTACTTCCTTATGTTTAAAATTTAAGGCCAATACTACATCATATCCTACTAAACTGTACAGATTTTTATATAACCACAGCTTTTATTTATCTTTTAAATTAGTTCATAAGAAATCTCTCGAGTTTAACATCATAATTACTTGAAGCTATTTAATTTATAATGGTTAATTATTATACTACCAAATTCATATAGCTTTAAAGCATATTCCTAAAAGGTAGAAATGCTGCTTACTTAAGATATCCAACATTTATATCTTTATTGTATTAAAAGGCATATGAGTTCAAAACTAAATCTGTTCGATGAGCACTGTGATAGAGCTCATCGAGTCATAAAGTATATTATAATAAAGATATTATGTAGATAGCATGTAGCATTCCGGTGCCACTGCTATTTGAAAGAATGTTTGAACTTTCTTAAAAGTTGGTTCTTATTGGATTCTCTAGTACTCTTATGTGACTCAGGTTTGTGGCTCCTCTTAACTCTTGTTGAAAATATGGAGCTTACGTCAGAAATGGTTTCAGCATAGATCAGTTGTGTGTCACCGTGTTCATCATCTTCAAAATTGCTTTGTTGCGGTTTCATTAAATAATCTAATTGTTCATCCATCACTGGTATACCTGTTATTGAAGACTTTCTTGATCTCATGTCTATCACGCTATTAGAGGAATATCCCTTATGGTGGCTGGACTGTTGACGTTGATGGTGGCGGTGGTTCAGTTTTTTTTGAAGCTTATTGAATGTTGCTATTTCGTTCATGTCGGAATAAGATGAGTAATTAAACGTAGATATTTTAGTTTCTTTATGAGTATCACAATCAGTGGTTTCTTTTTTCTCTTCGGGGTCTGGTCCTTCACTGAGTAAAGAGTTAGTTTGGCTATGACTAGTCAAAGAAGCTGTCTCCTCCAACAATGGTAAGTTTTCATTAGAACTAAAAACTGTGTTCCTTCTATTCAGTTGAGAAACAACTGAGCTGCGTCTTGAGTTATTTTCATTCTCTAGCGTCGAGCCAGTCGAGCTAAAAGAGTAAGCAGCTGAAGAACCCTTTGATTCTGATGAATTGAATTGCCTGTTGTGATTCAGGGATTGTTTCTTCTTCATTCGCAGCTTGAGCTTTTGCTGCTGCTGATAAGATACTGGTGGTAGTAGAAATGAGCTCATGGTTATATTCGACAAAGTTATTTGTTAACTGCCATAATTGACGTGAAACTCCTTATGTATTAAAACTAGGGATTATAAAATGTGATTAGGTTCATATCTTTAAGTCTCAGGTGGTGCTCCTCCAAATCTCAGTATCCAGATTGTATCAGCTTAAGCTTCTTAGCAGCTATTGTATTATTCTATTGTTTTTATTGTTAGACCACACATGCCTCCCTTCGCACCCCAATTGCGCTCCCTAAGCAATATTAGCACTAAACTATGAAATTCCATGGCACTTATTTACTTGTGGCTACTGTAGCGGACAATACCCAAGCGCATTCGCGGTGTCTTTGTTAAGTTCGTTGTGACAAATCTGTAACTAAATCATTTTGCAATACTTCCAAGATCTCCGAATATTGCTATTTTAGGAAACTATTGAGTATGTCAGCTCACGTCAACTTTGAACAGGAAGGAATTCAGAAGTGTTCCACCCGTATCACGCAGCCATGTGGTATTCGAATCGCCTATTGCTCTACTTCAATGCTAAACATCCTTTGATTCTATTCATCTCGAAGGCAATGTTTCCATAGTGAATCAAGGCATTTCAGTGATTTACATGGATAAAACTTTGACAGTACATACCTGCATGCTGTTCGCTGATAACATAACCACAACTTTAGGTGAAATCTATAGAACAGGGTGAATTCATACTTTACTATTGTCTGTCTGATTAGTGTGCAGAATGATCACGTTACTATTGTATGCATAGATAAGAAACATGTCCTTTGATCTAATTTGCTTATGGTGCATATCCTACATCAAATTCCCCAAGCACGCCAAGATTACATGTCCCTTTACAGAAATAAGTAACAACATTTTGTCCATATTACACAAAGATATTACACATAACATTAAATATGACAGAACTGAAACACTACACTAAAAACTTTTTAATTATTTTTAGGCTCAGACTTGACGCTAACAGTTCCATTATCGGCGGTTGATCCTTCAGCATCTGGATCGATATTGGCTTCGTTCTTTGACGTAGAGGCTTTTAATTTGGCCAATCTTGCATCAGTAGATCTAACTGGTTCAAGCACATATGGTGCTTCATCAGGGTTGTTTGAATCTTCGTAATAAGCGAATTCACCAATTTGAGCTAAATCAGTACCTAAAAGCTCTTCGTCTTCATGCAATCTTAATCTCAACCAAGGAATTCTATCCATAGCCAATAATAAAATTGAAGTTACGACAAAACTCCAACTGCACACCGCACAAACGGCAGCAAGTTGGTACCCTAATTGAATATAATGGTGATTCATCCAACCACCTGGAATTACAGTAGCACCATCCGTGGCTGCAACATAATCAGCAGCAAAAAATGCAGTTAATATAGCACCACAAATTCCACCGACTCCATGTAATGCAAAAACATCCATACCATCATCGATTCTTAATACATTTTTCAAGTCAACAGCAAAGTTACAAACGATACCAGGAACTACACCAAAGATAATTGAAGTATAGACTGGAACGAAACCAGCTGCTGGAGTGATACCAACTAATCCGGCAATGGCACCGGTACACATTCCAACGGTAGACCATTTTCCGCCAGTTCTAAACCAATCAAGGAACATCCAAGTTAATCCACCAGTTGCAGCTGCGATATTAGTGTTCACACAAGCGTACCACGACCTAACAGTAGAGTTACCGGTGGAACCACCATTGAAACCAAACCATCCAAACCACAAGAATACAGTACCCAATACAATATTCGATACTGAGTGTGGCTTATACTTTGGAACCTTACCAGTTGTCAAAGGGTCATGTCTTTTACCTAAAATCAATGAGTAAGACAAAGCAGCGACACCAGAGTTTTGATGGACTGGCCCACCACCAGCGAAATCTAAAGCTCCGAGGTTAGCTAACCAGCCATTTCCACCCCAAGTCCAGTAAGCAATGGGACAGTAGACCACAGTGAGCCAGCAGAACAAGAAAACCATCATTGGTGCCAACCTGGCTCTCTCGCATCCAGCTCCGACCATCAAAATACCGGTTACAGCAGCGAACATACCTTGATAAAAGCAAAATAATATATCAGGAACCGTATCTACTACTGATGGTGCACCCAACACTTTCATAAGTGAAAAGTTTTCTAAGGTACCCAAGAAAACAGACCCATTATGAGCGAAAACCAAGGAGTAACCCCAGAAAAACCATTGGAATGTTGTCAAACAGGCTGTCATAATAGAAGCCCACAACAAACTTAATGCATGTTTCTTTCTTGATAAACCAGAATAAAGTAAACCAATACCTGGAATCATAATCCACACTAAAACTGCTGCCGTTCCAATCCAGGCCATGTCGGCTTTATCAAACTGTTGGTTCAAATCTACCTTCAAGGAATTTCCTCCAGTTCCTGTGTCTGTCAACCCGTCAGCCATCTTATTTATATGTTAATGTAATGATCAGACCCAATTGGAATATTAATTATCCTTCTTTAAATTGCCACCTATCTTATATAATAGAGTAGAGCTTTTTGCGTCGTTTTCCCTTACAAACCACTAGTTAGAACGTTTAAGCTCAAGCAACATCTATGATTACTCTCTGTTTATATATATGAGTAACTTGTGCTCGATTTGGCTCTTCGAGATATCAACAACCAATCATATGCTGCGATGCAGGCTGCTATTTAGATAAGAGATTTGGCCGTATAAAGAAAAATATTTCTTCGACTACACACAATCGAGATGTACAGTGATAACCCCAGACTTTTTTTCTTTAATCAGAAGATCATTGCTTGGCACAACATAGTCTTCTCTATGGAAATTTCGTATCTATAGCAACTGGACATAATTTCGAGGTACTTCTGAGGACTATCAAATCTGAGGTGGCTAGTACTCGCAATTAGACACCTACGCAGGGATGCAACGGTGCAGTTCTGGGCCCGTCTAACCGTAAACGAATATTACGAGCAAGTTTTGAGTAACGCTCCGCAATGCAAATCTTGGCAGTAGGGAAACACATGACGATGTAACTTAAAGGGCAAAATTTCTTATCAAGAAAACTTTCGGATTGCACGACAGCCCGGTGTCGGCGAAAACTGTACAAAGTTACATGAAACTTGCATGGAGCGTTATCGACGTAGAAACTTTTATTTTCACAATAATCTGTGCAGTTTTCCGTTAAACGTCTATACCGGTGTCCGTTTATGCCGTCCAGTGTCTTATTGGTTTAGACGAAATAATATTGAGCAGCTTATCTAGATGCCGCCGCTGCAGGCGTCTCATGATAATGCTCGACTTTCATTACATACAGTTTTGTGTCACTAACCTAACAGAAAAAGACATTCCCTACAGGAGGCGGGTTTACTTGTGGGTTCAAATCTGAGATGAGAAGAAAAGTAATTTTAAGCTTATGTCATCCTACGACAAACTTCTTAATGTCGTCATATGTCGTGCTAACCGCGCACGGTAAAGACGGTTCATGAAATACAGGGCTGGATTATAGATGAAGAATCTCGTGGAGAATTAGTAGGCAGACTTGGTGGATATGACAGATTCTGAGTATTCCTTTGCCACTTCTATTCTTACGAATAAGAATCCTGAGCAAGCTGCCTTGATAATCCCTAATTGCTTGACATCGTCAACTAACTTAATCGAGAAGAGCTTGTTAGTATGGTTCAACGAATATACCAATCGTTTGCAAAAGCATACACGGGAGCTTCAGACTTTGTTAGATCAAGGTTCGGGCTTTTTTAAGTCAGACCAACTTCACGAGGAGTTCGGTAGCTTCAGTAAAACTTTCAATTGCTTGCTTACCTCTCTTGAAACTGAAATTCATGCGAACGAACAGGCATTCAAAAGCATAAAGTTGGATATTATAGGCCCATTGAAGAACTTGACAGAAAAAGATGTTAGATACTCTGAGTTGATAATGAACTCACATGAGTTGCAAGAAATAGAAAGAAATATAACGTCGGGCCATAATAATGCTGAATATCAATGGAATCTTCGGGCACCCCAGACATTTGAAAATTTTGAAAATTTCAAAAAGTTTGAAAAGCAGCTATTATTCGATGTAATTTTGAATTTTTTCAATAACCAGAGCCAGAATCTTAGTAAGCAATTGCAAAATAATGAAAATTCTGTGAATTATTTACTTGGATGCTTCAAGATAGATGATGAAATGAAAGATTACTTGAACTTCCTCCTTAAAAGCGAGTTTAAGCCTGTTCACAATAATTTTGGGTTACCAACATCGTCACATGCTTCCGCGGGTACCTTTAATCATAAGAAGACTTCCGCACCTCATGATTCGACATCGTTAGCTTCCAGTTCTCATTCTGGTCATTCAAAGCATAAGATGCCTTCCAAATTAAGATCTAAAGTTGGTTCAATTTTCGGCCGGAAGTCTAAAAAATCTTCTAAAGCTAAAGGCTTAGCTGGAATATCTGAGACTGATTCTTTGACATCATCTACACAGAGATCGACAGAGAATTTATCTAAATCGAGAACCAGAGATTCTTTATTATCTCGAGGAACAAGAACTTCCACAGATATGGTTTCCAAACAAGATCTTTCTTCGAGACAGGCTAAGCCAAATCTGATGCTGAAGCCTCCTCAAACACCACGCTCTCAGCATCCAGCTCAGCAATATTCTAAACTGAATGTTGCACCATCACTGGCTTTGCCACCTAGCCAAGGTGTAGAAAGTGAAGATGTCAATCAGTCCAATTTTCGACAACTGGTGTCGCAAAACGAGCTTCCGAGTTTGTCAAGTGCACCTTTGACACCACGTCAACCTGAATTGGGAGCCAACGGCTCCCCAAACGTAGTTAAGTATAAGGATCTGTCTTCGTCTTCCTCGTCGTCAGTTTCAAGTGCTTCTTCCCGTTCGGGTCAAGGCAACACTAATCGAATGTCGATGTTGCAGAAGCACGATCTTGCTCCTGGCAATCCTTCAGATCCTCAATTATTGAATTCGAGGCATAGCAGTGCAGGAAAGTATAGTTTTGAAACTGGTGATGATGAGGCGCCAATCTCTACCAATACTCCTGATACATTTGCACGCAGCGGTTATGCTTCATCAACGCCTGCCGTCAAAGATTTGACTGCAGAACTGCCACAGACGGTACTGAAGTCCGCTATTGATGGTTCTGCCTCAGGGCTTGGAACTACGACTACTTCTGCTGCTACTGCTGCTACTGCTTCTGCATTTGGACCCTCATCTAAAGGACGGAATGATTCTTTCTCTAGAGATTTAAATGGGCATAATATTGGATCAGATGTGACACCATACCTGCAATCACAATCAACTTTTTCAGATCAGAACAGATATGCGACAAAAACGGAAGCCCCTCCTCCTCCTCCTCCCCCATCAAGAAGAGTTATACATAGAGAATCGCAATTGAGTAATGATGAATCTAAGTCTACTGCTGGCAGAAATAGAAAAGATATTAATTCACGGATATTTCATGATCTTCCGGCTGCTAGAGATTCCATCGTAGCCCCAGCTAATGAATTGGTGAGCCAGGATACAGGCAATTCACTTGCGAGAAAGGGTGACGGTTTTAAACATTTTGATACGACTCATTATGTCGAGCAGAATGGCTTGAATGCTTCAATCGCTGAAGTAATTAACGTAAGCTTCAAGGATGGGAAGTTGGTAAAATCCCAAGTTGTTGGTGAGATTGCATTCAACTACAAATCATCTGAAGAAGGTTTAGGTTCACTTAAACCTGTGGTTTTGAAAGTCCCAAATAAATTTGAAAAGGTTATTTTAAACCATTCGTTCGTAGAGCAGGTAAATGATACCGAGACTTATACGATTGATCCAGTTGCTATCATTTCCAAAACTCTCGGAGGAATTAGATACTTGGAAACTTTAAACGATTCCCAAGTTCCCTTGCTAGTCCAACAGATCTGGAAATATGAAGATCACCAATCTAGTCTAATGATTAGCCTAAGATTAAACCCTTTATTCGGTACTTCATTACAATTAAATGATTTTGTTGTATCTGTTGCCTTAGATGCGTCAGCTGAGGCCACTTCAGCATCTTCCAAGCCCCAAGGTTCATTTAGCAAGGAAAAGAATAGAATAACTTGGAGATATGAGAACCCTTTGATCTTGTCCTCTTCAAATCCCGAAGAAAAGTTGATTGCTAGATTCATGACTGAGGGAAGAGGTAGAGAACACTCAAACGGAGTCCAACTAAGGTTTCACGTGGCTAATCCTCCTAATTCGCTTAAGATCCTTGACTTAGATGATAATCTGGAGGTTCCAGCTGATAGAAGTTTAGTGAGTGGAAACTATTCTAGTCATTCTTAATTGTCTTCTCTCTAGGCTAGTCTTCATTTGTAAAAGTATTTTTGAGAATTCTTGTGACTGTTTTAATTAACGAGTAAATTTAGTGTATTGTAAAATTGTGCCTTTGCACGTTATCCTTTAATGTCAGAAATCTTGAACTGTTGCATATTTGCAACCAAACTGTCATTCAAGGACATTAGATCGGTAAATTCCACAAGAAATAAAAGTCTAGGTCTTTTTATGGCTTTTCGCATCCTCTAAGCGCTTCTCTTTTATCTTCTCCGTTCGATATATTTTAAAAATGTAATTTGTGGTTTTTATTATCTTACGTTTACAAATAGAACTGAGGTAGTATTTCTAAATCTTAACAATGTTTCTGAAAACTGTCAATCGAGACACTCTAAAACTGTTGCTATTATTTGCTTAAACTATAATCAGTGTGTTATGCTTGACTCGTTCCGTGAAGCATTTGTACGCTATTTCTGCGGTCAAATATGTAACCTCGTATCGAACCTTTCAGTTATTATTTTGGGAAGCCTTGTTACTTGGATCTTAGCAGATATGGGTGGATTGGGGAATCCTCACAAAATAAAGGGTATGGTTCTGATACCAGGATTACCAATCGTTGGTAACACTTTTCAGCTTATCAATAACCCTGCAAAGAAATGTATTGAATGGTCAAAAAAATACGAAGCCAGCATCTTCCAAATCAGATTAGGTATTAAAAGGATTGTTGTAGTTAATTCGTTTGAAGATGTACAAAATATCTGGTTAAAAAATTCTCGTGCTACTAATTCTAGGCCAGTTCTGTATACTTTTCATCATATTGTCTCCAGTACTCAAGGTTTTACAATAGGGTCGACTCCAGAGGGTCCGTCTTTTCAAAGAAAGAAAAAAGCAATTTCTATGCTATTAAATTATAGAAGTGTAATGGATTTATCCGATGTTATCGATAATGAAACACGCTATACAATAAGAAAACTTATCACCAAAAATTCGGAGTTATCTGGTCCACCTTCATGCAACATGTTTAGGTACGTCAGAACTGAGCTAGCAGATATCAATTTGATGCCCTATGGTCAGTTGTTTGCCTTGCGAAGTTCAATTTTTATTACATACGGTTTCTACCTCGACTGCTACAATAAAGATGCAAAACTTGCACAGGAAATTATCAATGTTGAGAATAAAATCATTAGATTTAGATCTCCAATATCAAACTTAAGAGATTTTCTTCCTTTTTTGAGATATATTCCAGGAATGGAGTCGAAAGCTGATCTATTCGGGAAAAAAAGAAATGAATATATGAATCACCTCTTTCGTATCTTGAAGAAGAAGCTTGCATTGGGAGAGAGCCTAGCAATGAACAGCCTAGTAGGTCAACTTCTTGCGAGTGAAAAAAACAAATTAACCACTTCTGAAATCCAAAGTGTTTGCTTAACAATGGTGAGCGCAGGGTTAGATAACACTCCTTTAAACTTTAATCACGTAATGGGACACTTATCTCAACCTTATGGTGAAAGTATTCAAGAAAAAGTGTTCGCAGAGATTTTGTCTAAAAGCAACAATGATATATGTATTGCTTGGGACAATTTGGCTCATTCCATGGATTGTGAATATCTAAAAGCGGTCATAAAAGAAACATTGAGGTACTTTACTGTACTCCCTCTTAGCTTACCGCGAACTACTACAAAAGATATTTCTTATAAAGGTGCAAAAATTCCAAAAAACACGACATTATTTATGAATGCTTATGCTGCAAATCATGATTCAAAAGTTTTTCCTTACCCTGATGTATTCATACCAGATCGGTGGATAGATCCCATATCCAAGACAGTCATATCAAAAGGTGAATTGTTTCATTTTTCTTTCGGCGCTGGTTCCAGAATGTGTTCAGGTAATCATTTAGCATTCAAAGAACTCTATACATTAACAGGTCGTATGATACTTTTCTTCAAAATTAAGCCCCCAGTTGGAGATACAAAAATGTTACTTGACCCTTTTGAAAACAATGAACACCCTCGCGCAACATCTTTTGAACCCAAGTTGTTTAAAGTTAGGCTAGAACCAAGGTTCCATGATGGCAGCAACGACTTATATAACAAAATCTTAAAGACGTAAATCGTAGACTTAATATGGCAAAAATATATCAAATTTAGTTAGGTACATTAGAGTATGACAAATATAAACTTAAGATTATATTATGTAATTCAGTCACTATATATTGTATCAGGACTACTAGGATTAATGTATCCCACTTTGTTAACGACAACGGACTTGGCATTCTTCGAAAGTGGCAAATTATACTTTAAAATACCTCTTACAATTAAGTCAAAAGGATTTTTCGATATGATCTCCCACTTTTTGGAATTGTCAGGCTCAGTGGAATTTCCATCGTTGGCGTCCATAAAATTAGTTAAGTTCCTCCCTGGGCTCAACAATCTTATTTCTCCTACCTGTGAAATAGGATCTCTATTGAAAAATCCACCTTCAAAGTCCATCGAAGTTTCTAACTTTAGTACAGTACCTAATAAAACCGTTTCCACAGTATTAGCCTCTGACCAAGCTTCAGGAGAATCAGGTAAATAACCGCTTTTAGCAAATATGTCTAGCTCAACTTGTTCAATAGTAACAGCGAACCAGCCTGGATTGTATGCTTCAACCACAATATCAAAAATAAGCTCGTCTTGACTGACAATTGATTTTTCTATATCAACAATTGAAACATTTGCCAAATCCTTAGTCGATGCTAAGATGAATCCCATAACGAAACCTATTGATAAAATCAACATTATACTGATTAAGGTATAAATGAATGACTTAATACAATTGATGCGGTTTGGTAAGTCATTGGAAGATTTTCTAGGAAGGCGGAAATGATTTGTATTGGGAGATAATCTTGGAGTCTTATTGTATTGGCCACTCAATCTAGAATTATTGGGTTCCAACTTATTCTCATTTGACAAACGGTCTTGATTTTCATCATATTCATCAATATCATAATAATATTTCTGATGAGCATCAGGATGTGGGAATGGAAAGATGTCATGATTATTGCTTTCAGTTCCGCTTTTACTACCTAACAAAGCTTGGCCCGTGGATAAGTATCTCTTTGATTTCAAGTTTGAAGGTAGCCTGTGATGCCCTTGAAGATTTAATGACCTATAATGTGGAAGCTTATGCCCTTGATTAATTAAAGGCGATGACTCATTAAAGCTGCTATTACTATTGTACGGAAATCTAATATTTTTATCATAATAAATTAAATCATCGTCAAAATCCTCAATATCAATATCGTCAGGAATGATGCTGTATCTTCTTGGCTGCGACCCTTTCCGGTCAAATAATTTTGATGTAGTAGATCTTAACTTCGAAGAAGCGTTTGACGATTTATAGTGTTTTTTGGATGTACCTTTACTCGTTACCGAGCCATTTTGGGTAACCAGCGAAGGTATATTTGAGCTCACTCGTTGCTCAATGCTAGGGATGTGATGTAATTTGTTTGAGGCATTAATTTCATGAAGTGGAACAGTTGTATTAGAAGAACCTATGTTTCTTTGCGTTGAGTAAAAATCACCGTCAGTTGAAATATCATCGTCAACCATCTCGTCATCCACTTCATCATAAGAATAATGGTCATCATTGTAACCTCCACTTACGCTATTTGTGGCATGAAATAAGTTGTTTGTATGACCATAAGACCTATTGTCTAATAAACCTAGTCCTTGACTACTAGAATTTCTAGAGTGTACTCCAGATTCACTAAATGGACCACTTGGTGACGGAGGATTTACTTTTTCCAAAGCTTGGGTCGTGACTCTACTGTTTGAATCATTTTTGGAAAAGTAAGGTGCAGAAGAAGATGAAGCGGACCTTTGGTTTTGTGGACGCTTACTTGCTTCAAGTAAATTTGTACTGACTAGGGAATTATTAATCGATGAGTTTGAAGGTTTCACCGTTAACTGAGGCGTCACTGTCCCTGAAGGTTTTAGGGTCGGTATTTTTGTGGAGTGAATTGAATGTAACGAGTCAGGCTGATTATATGCTTGCTGGCCCGATGGAGCTTCATCCACTTTTCCAGAAACATCGTTAACTTCCGTGGCTGGTGAGTTCAAGGAAGAAATGCCATTTATATTGACACTTCCGTTCAAGCTCACACTATCGGCTCTCGATGCCAAATTTGCGGGCTCACCAGAGTTTATGTTGTCAAAATCATTTAAGTTATTTTCATAAACAAAAGTTTCATCACTATCACTACTTTCAACATCATCGACTGCACTAGCCAATTTTGCAGCAAAGAAGTCTGTTCTAGTTGAGTTTTGTTTAGCAATCTTTTTAGACTTTCCTTTGCTTGGTTTGATTGACGATTCTTGACTCAAACCTGGAGCGTTCTGTTGGGAAGAGGCAGGATTATTAATATTAGACGGAGATTTATTCTCTAATTCCGCATCAACGTTAGTTGATAAGTTATTGGGAAAAGCAGAAGACTGCGGAGAAGTATTCATAATCTCAGATATCAAGGTTGGGTTTTTGGGATGAGGCTCCTTTGTATTGATAATTCTCTGTTTTGCCTTCAATGACTTATTCAAATTCGATATTATACTTTTATTCAACATGGGTGTTGCAGTGTTATTGTTATTATTGGTATTATTGGTATTATCGGCATTATTACCGTTACTAGCATTATCAGCATTATTAACATTATCGGCATTATTGGTATTATTATGATTATTCATAACTGATGTTGGGCCAGTACCAATCGGACCACTACTTGCTGATTTCTGCTCAGCTTTATTATTGCTAAACGCAGCTGGACTTAATCTCGGATCATTACCTTCAGTGACTGGAACCTTTTTCGGAACTTTAAACAATGAAGACGAGCTTATATTATTACCTTTCAAATCTTCGCTAGTCTTAGCTCCATCGGAAACCCCCCCGTAGTAATTATCACTTTCATTATGGTTGTCATTTGTTAGATTAGTAACATTGTCTGTTGTAGACGAACTGCTGACAGGATTCTTTTCTGAGTCGACATTAATGGACAAATTCTTAATATTCTTGGACGGAGATGCCTCCAAAGAAGCCTCTCCTTCGCTTGACATTACTTCTAACGATTAATTTTTTTTTTCACTTTGCTCGATAGCTAAATTGCCAACAAGATTTACTTGCAGTCAATGAGAAAGAAACTTTGTAAAGAAATTTTTCAAGCCTTATTCGAAAGCACCAGTCTAAAGCTCTTTTATTGATGATTCATAGGTTTCTTTAAACCCAGTTCTGATTTAGTAAGCACTTATACGTTAAATACTGAATTCCGTTTATTGTGGGATATGTATTTTTTATGAACCACCTCTATATACACGAATGGCCACAAATAATAAAAAAATATATATGTAGACGCTCTGCAATTTTAAATTATATAAGTTAACTCGAATATTGTAAATTGAACGCTTATTTATATGAAATGCAAATAAAAAGCAAATCAAGGCTTTCTAAGTTTGTTCAAGTCAGAAACCTTCATAGAGTTTAGTCTGTTAACGGCACCGCTTACATCATCATCTTGACTAGGGACCATATTACCACTTGTACTTCTAGAACTGCTCTTATTCGAATCAGATTTCGTCTTGTCCCCAGTGAAGAATACTGAAGTCCTGTGGCCGGTATTATCTTCCTGGCCGTTGGAGGTCACACCAGAATTAGAGTGCTTAGTTCCAGAGCTCAAGCTTCTCCGGACACTGAAATTGCCAGAGGAGCTCGGATTACTGCTGTAAGTTCTAGTTCTGTTTTCTTTTTTAGCGGAGGGCGGTGCAGTTGGTATAACACTGTATTTCCTTTCTTTAAATACAACACCAACTTCCTTAACATTTTTGCGATGTTCTGGTTCTACCTTGACAAACCAATCCAAACCCTCATCATATTCATACATCCTATAATCTGTACCGTAGGGTTTCAGTTCTAGGCAATACAAGGTGTGTAGCGGTACATCTAGCTCCCCAATAGCAGATCTATCGAGATTAAGAAAGTAGGCCAATAGAATTCTAAGAACAACTCTATGCGAAATTATGAGTAAATGATCAGTTGTTCGCTCGATTTCAGTAATGAGTGGCCTCAACCTGGTTAAAACATCAAGGTAAGACTCTCCACCCACACCAGGGTATCTGTATGTAATCTTATTTCTAAGCCTAGCATCAAATTCTTTCGGATATTTACGTTGAATTTCGTCATATGTCATTCCTTCAAATTTGCCTCCGCCTAATTCATTTAACATTCGCATTTCCTTAATGGAGTACAAGTGCTCATCGAAATACTCTGCGGTTTCGACAGCGCGACACAACATAGATGTCCATACGTAAAAGTTAGGCTCAGTGGGAATATTGTCCAAGTTTGCAACTTCATTTTCATTGAAGATTGAGTTGTAGCGAACTTCAAGTCGAGACGAAAACCTTTCAAGCTGTTGCTTACGGAACTCTTTCCTCTGGTGATTCATAAATGCTGCAAGAGTTTTAGAGAATCTCCTTCCTCTTTCTGTTAGATGAGCGTCTCCTCCAATACGACCACTCAAATTGTCTACACTTTCACCATGTCTTGTTATCCATATCTGTCTTTCACACAAATTGAAATTTAATAGGAAATATATTGTCTGGGAGGCCAAAAAACCCTGAACATTATAGCTTACTACTTTCTTTCCAACATCAATCATTTTTACGTATTGAAATTGTGGAATGGCCTCTTCTGATTCATCTATAGTTTCATAAGCTTTTTCATAGTTATGTAGTCTTCCAACAAAGTCTTGGAGTGCAACCTCAGGATCCATATCTCTATAATCTGGACCTGAAAGCTTTAATCTGATATTTGCTTCAATGATTGCAGGGTCCGAACAAATGCTCTCTAAGAAAAGTACTTTGAGCTCTCCATTTGATCTTTGCTGAATTCTCTTCAAAACTTTCAACCTTCTTTGTTTCGTTGAGTTAGTCGCATCAAAAATCCCCACAGAGCCGGATCCATCTATCACGTAATTCAACAACTGATCTAGAGTATCCATTGCCCATTTCTCTCTTAATGTTGTAGATGACTTGTTATCAGGGGCAAAAAAGTCTGCATTGTGCTCTGGAGATTTCACTTCTTCTGAAGTTTCGCGTTCATTATTCGGAGTATGTGTATCGGGTAATGGTTTGTTCTCCGGCCCAGCGTTATTAAGTTTATCTTTTCTTCTTGTGTTTCCTACGTTGAACACTCTGCAATCATGCTGCAACCAGTTCAAATATCGGGTGAGTTTATTCGTAATATAACTCTTGCCCCTTGCTGGTAAACCAACCATCACTATGACTAACTTTGACCCCACATCAATCGAAGCTATTCTGCCATCAGGAGAAATTTTCGATGATGTTTGGCCAGGTATGTTTAGAGTATAAGCTTTCCTTGCGCTGGGAGGCGGTTTCGTCAAAAGTAAGTTTTTAAGTTTTTCAATGGAGGGTGTTTTCTCAAATTGCTCTTTCACGTCATTTGGAACATCTTTTAAGAGATTCTCCTTTGCTTCTTTATTAATCTGGAGCCTCCTCACGTCTTCAATGTTACGCTGTTCATGTGTGTTAGTCGGACTAATGGAGCTCGATTTTGAATCTGTGGCCAAGTCAGATAAATTTAAATGAGATATGTTATTGGACTTCAAAAGCGGCCTATTACCACTAGCGTCATTATCGTATTCGTCTTCATAGTCGCTCGACTGTACCCTGGTTACAGGAGAGCATATACTAGATACAATTGGAGTATCCGTCAATGGTCTTTTGTTAAACACTGGAAGCTCCTCTTCATCCTCTTCTACTTCCTTTTGGTGATTTTGGTCGTCATTTTTCAGCCTTCGTAGCCCAAAATCGTAATTATGTACTGAGTCTTCTTTCGATTCTTTGTTCTGTTCTTCCGGCAGAAGCTTTGGGGACGGTCTACTCTGTTGCGAAGTCTTCGCTGAAGGATTACTTTGGTGGTGGAGCTCGTCCTCCTTCATTAATGTGCCATTATTGGAATTGTTCCTTAGCAGTTGGTCACGCAGTTTCATATCGTCATCGCTTGAAGACTCCGATGTAGTCTCAAATACTTGATTTTCATTATTCAGCCCAAAGTTTGAAAACGTTACTTTCTTATTGCTATCCTGTTCGTCTATCGAAGATTTCATGTTCTACCTCTTCGATTCTAATAAAAACTTGGATGCTTAGTCTTAGAATCTAGATGTAACGTATCTACTCGAAAGGATGACTTTGATACCAATCTTAATGGAAAGAACTGTCCTTTTGCTATAATGCTTGGATCTATGTAATTTTAAAAATACTGCACATCAAATTGCAAGCAAAAAAGTGTTACGTAAGAGCTACATGCAAACATCAGAAAGCAAGTACGTCGACAATATTGAAGAGAACAGTTTATTTTTTCTTCACCTTATCGCTCCCTACAAAAGAATGCTTGCTCATGAATCTTTCTAGCCCTTCGTGGCTCTGATAGCTTCTTGTCTGTATCTGTCGTCCAGAGTATATACTATTAACTCAGGGCTTTGAGGGCTTCGGAGAGCAGAGATAAGTTAACTAATCACCAAGAGTGTATCCCTTGAGCTATGGGGTGACTATCCCTCCGTGGTTAAAGAAGGGACCTGGTCCGAGCACTCGTTGGGGACAGAATGATCGCAAATTTACAACTTAAAATAAAATAAGAAGATCAAAACAAATAGGTAAAAATAGTGTATTTCGATTCCTATATTGTAATATCTTGTAATGGCTTACTAAAAATCCCTTTGACCAGAATCAGAGGGATTTAGGTCTCTTGAAACGCAAAATATGGGGATTTCTCTGAGACACCATCCTCATCATGTTTTCATCATCATGTTTTCATTTGAAGTTCTTAAAAATGTAGAGAGCTATAACCTTAAGTCACGAATCAGATATTCTTTGTGATAAATAAATTCTTCTATTGATAAGCTGTAAGGATTTTTACCATCTATAGTAGCGACTTTTGATGCTTGATTATAGCTTGCATGTCATGCTTAAGGAATCTCGTTAATGCGAATTTGAGATGAGTTCTATCTTTTCATCTCATTATTCCAGTATCCTGATTTCTCAGAATATGGCATTCTCCTTTGGTTTCACTACTGAGGCTCTATCAGATGACGAGCTAAACGAGTACCAAGAGGTAGAACAATCCAACACAAGAGAAAAAAGAAGTGCTTTAGAAGCTTTTTCAGAAAATATTCCAGTGGATTATTTACCTAAGCTCCAGCCCCTTGGAGAGATCTTGAAATCACTTGAAGGTGTCCGACTCAGCTATGACAGGTATGATACTCCAGCCGGACATAATTCAATATTTAAAAGAGACTTATTTGACGTTAAACATCAGGTAATGTGCGAAGAAGAAAGAACTAGATCTGTGAGCAGTGACGTTCTTTTGCAAGAAAGCAGAGAATCAGACTTAAAAAAAAACTATTATGAAGGAGGATTTAAAATATGGGAATGCTCCTATGATATGATTGACAGGTTGGAGGACTTCTATGAATCTGGAAAATTGTCGCAGTATTCTACATATTTGGAACTCGGATGTGGCACAGCGCTACCCACTTGTTTTCTACTCAAAAAGAAGCTTGAATCCAACAGTAAGGTCCCAACAAAGTTTATCTTATCGGATTTCAACTATGAGGTCTTAAGATTAGTAACTTTGCCTAATTTGATTCTTCAGTGGATGTCAAGTATACCTAGAGAGAAGCTTATTACACTTTCTTCTAGTGAAGATGGCCCTTCATTAGAATCTGGTGAGGTCCTTTTGAGTAAAAGAGTACTCCAAGAGTTCCAACGGACCTTGGAATTTAACTGCATATCTTTAACTTTTGTCTCCGGTTCTTGGGGAACTCAATTTAACAAGTTAGTTGAGAATTTTGGAGTAGACTTCATAGTAACTTCAGAAACAATTTATTCCATGGAATCACTACCAGTTGTAGCAGAGTCTATCGTCCATATTTTGGATCAATCTAACAGTGAGCATTCTTGCTGTCTAGTTGCATCCAAGAATATATACTTTGGAGTGGGAGGTTCAGTCATGGATTTTATTTCCTATATAAAAGAGAGGATTTCGCCTGGCTATGAACTCAGTGTAGAAGAAGTTCCCAGCTCCCAGGTTAAAAGATCTATCATAAAGCTTGAACGTGTTTAACAGTTTGGCAAATAATCAACTCATGATTTATCTAAATTAGGCTTGTATAATAAACTTTATAATAATTGAACTCGCATCCCGTCAGATGATTTATTCGTACCAGAAGTGCAATATCCCAATAGTTTGGGCCTTGCACTACCATTTTTGCTGAATCTCTTGCGCCGTAATTGGTTCTTTCAATACACTGAAGTAGAGCTCAACTTACATTTAGTAAATTAAAGATTTTGTTAGACTTACGTTGAATATTAGGTATGTATACGTCAATGAAGAACCTAAGATATTGTGTGTTCTTGCTCTTTCCACTATTTGACTAAAGTATATTGGTTTACTGAATTTTGGTTCTCACATTTGGCTGGCAGCCGTATCTTTCAAGAATTTAAAGAGGCCAAAGTTACATTATTTGTTTAGTCGCCAAGATGATATTCATTATATCAAGAATTCATTGTGACGGTATTTAATATTGATCTGGTTTTATTACATTGCTGGATTAGTATTAATTTGAAAGTAGTTTTACGAAGAGCAGCAATGTCACTCTGACTGAAGCTTTATTCTAATTAAGTATTCCTTGCTATGATCCAGAGGAACAAGCAACTTCAATCCTTTGGAGCTAGTTTTTGCTTTGTTTGATATAGGATTAGAGTTCATCATTAATGTCGTCCCATTACCAAGATTTTGTCCAATCAAAACAGAAAGAACAGAACATCACAAAAATTGTAAGGATAATCCAAATAACATATACTAACTTTAATTGTAGTTAACGATGTTCCGTCAATCAGCTCAGAGGTTAGTTGTTCGTTACCAATCATCAGTTGCTAAAACTGCACCAAAGCCATTATCGGTCGCCTACGTAGGTAAATTAGAAACTAGATGGGAAGGCTTACCGAAGGAAGATCAAACTCAGTTGATAGATGAGTTGAAGGCTAGAATGGAATTACCTTGGCAAGAATTGACACCATCTGAAAAAAGATCCGCTTATTATATTTCGTTTGGTGAATGGGGACCAAGAAAGCCATTATATGGACCTGGTGACAGAGCCAAAGTTGTTTATGGTGTACTTGGTGGAATTGGATTGGCTGTTTTATTGTTTGCAGGACTTAGATCTCTTGCAGCTCCAGATCCAACTACTTTGAATAAACAATGGCAAGAGAAATCTGATGAATACTTGAAGTCCAAAAATGCCAATCCTTTCACAGGTTATTCTCAAGTTCAATAAATGCCTTAACTCTATATGTTGGTATCTCAATTTGAACGGTAGTATTTCACATCAATTTCTATTTCAAAAGGCATGAAATGCGTGATTTATATAAACCTTTTCATTCCGTTCAAGTTGATATTCCTCTCAGATTGACATGAAGTATGCATTCTTTACCTAATAATCGCTTGTTTACCATTTGTTGTAGCTTACTGGTGAGACCATTGAGAAGAAGAGAGCAGGGGTAAAGTATTTTCATACGAAAATTATTTTGACAATATATGATCATAGTAAACTGATAATTGTAGCGTCTCTTTCATTTATTTTCATGAATTCAGTATCATATACTCGTTATGGAATAAATCTGATAACGTACATATATCACTAATCTAATTTACATGTATAAGTGGTGCTTATGGATCATCCTCTTCTTGCGGGCCAAATTCACCTTCAAAGATGATTGCCCCTGCTTTTCGTCTATTCTCAATCGTGATGCATTCATTTGTTTCCAATATCATTTTAGCTGTTGGTCTATCAAAAGGATTTGGCTTTAGCATTTTATTGACAAGTTTATCCAACTTTAATGAATCTCCATTTACCAAGAAGTCAGGTGCTCCAAGTGGTATTATTTCATCTATATTTCTTTGCTCATGGTTATTTGAAACGGCAGTAGTACTGGGCTGCCCATTGTGATTCAATGACTTGTTAGAGCAAGAAATGGAATTATACGAAGTAACGGAGGAAAAGTTTTGATGCTGCAAAAAATCGCTCAAGTTGTCACTAGATAACTTCCCGGCATCGCTCAAATCTCCACTCCTCAACTTCCTCCAAGGTGTACCATTCTCTGGGAGCACAATATTGGCAGCTGCTTCTAGAATTATTAGACCGACGCTGAAAATGTCTGCAAACGGAGTGTAAATTTTATCATTGATAAGCTCAGGTGCAATGTAATTTCTGTCACCTTCCAAATCGAAATCCTTTTCTAAAATTGGAAGCCTTGTTGCCAAACCAAAGTCCCCAATTTTCAAAGAACCCTCAAACGTTATGAATATATTTGCAGGCTTTAGATCTAAATGCAAATAATTTTTCAGGTGAATAAATTTCAAACCATTTAAAATTTCAATTAATATCTTCCATATCCTAAATTCATCGATTTTGTAGCTTTTATTCTCTTCTAAAAATTCGAATAAAGAGCCGTTATCACAGAATTCAGTCATTATATAGTAATAATGACTGAAACTCCATGCTTCAATAAAATACACAAGATATTCTTTTCCTTCTTCTTGCTCCTGCAAATCAAGTGTTTCGTTATCTTTAACGCTCGATAAAGCTCTCAAAGCCTCTACTTCTCGTAATATATTCTTCTTTTCAAGCTTTCCAATGATAGGCTTCTTAGATCTCTTGATTGCGAATTTTTGATTTTGAAACAGACACTCGTAAGCAATAGAGAATTCTCCAGATCCAATATATTTGATATTGTCCATACCAAATTTGTTAATCAAATGATCATCAATTTTGGATGATTTTTTTGAAGTGATATCCTGCTGATTAAAGAAAAAACTGTTAGGTGTTGAAGGTTCTTTGTGATGAGCTTCTGTCTCCACATCTCGAGCCTTAGAAAACTGAACTGGACTGAAATTTGCAGGTATCGATTGAGACTTCGAAACAGTTTTTGTTGGAGTTTCGGGCATCATAAAATCAAACTCTGATCCTAAATCTAGATCCAATTCAGTACCTAAGAAAGTCTTATTCTCTTGCTCTTTAGTGACTGTAATCTTAAAGACACTGGAATTCGAATCGTTAAACTCATCATTTGAGTAAGGAAGTGGAGCGTTTCTACCATATTCAAGAGACTGCTCAAGAGTACTTTCACCGTCTTCCACTTGTTCGTCTACTGAACTTATAACATTGATTAAGTTCGATTTATTAGAATTTATTGCCATTAATGGATTCCTTTTCATTGGCGTTTCAGGAGGTAACTTCCTTGTTTCCTTTACTGTATCTTTTTTCAATAATCCTGAAGACCTAAAAGCAGCCTGCAAGGGTTTCACAAATTGATATGACTTATTTTCTTTTTCGTCATCATCATTTAATGTATGCTTAATTTTCCTATAATTTACTTTATTATGGTCAACACTCCCTTCTTGATATATGACAATCGAGTTATTCGAAGAGTTTGATGACTTTCGATTTTTTGAAGGACTGTCAAAATCCGGGCCATCAAAGGTGTAAGGTCCAAGGGATTGCATATCCGGTGATGAATTAGGCTTCTTGAACGGACTGACTAGTTGCGTCCTCCTTATTTTGCTTGCAGAAAAGTTAACGCAGTTACCGTTAGTACTGAATATGTTTCCTGACGATGATTTTGGTCTTTCGGGGGTGTAACGATTAGGAGAAATAATTGCATCTTTATCAGCATTCTTGAACATTTTGAAGCCTTTTATACCCAATCTGGAAGGTGAATACTGTTTCGGTGATTGTTTGTATAGAGAAGACTTTGCAGTCGCTGAAATAAAGCCCTTTGACTTATTTGATGGGGAAGGAGATTGGCTCACTAGCTGATGTGGCCGTTTGAATTTGTTATGCAAAGGCGTTGATTTGTTGGGACTTGAGCTATGCAAGGACACAGATTCGTCCTCATTAAACGATGCTGATGATAGATTTGAGTCGATAGATAGGTTGAGAAACTTAGAAGACCTTTTTATTGATGATTGAGATGATGATCTCTCGAATTCCTGGCTCTGGCTGTTGAATAGCTTCTTGGGACCAATAAGAGTTAATGAAGGACTCCGATATTCCGTAACGCCATCTTCGTTCCCATCTTCTATGTCTTCCTTAGTGGTCTCTCTATTTAGAAATTCATCGATCTGCTCTCCATAATAATCTTCCTTGACATTGAATGGTGGGCTCTTATTTATTGTTCTCCTTCTTTGTTTAATTTCATCATTGAGATCATCTAATATAAGACTATTAAAAGATCTCGAAATGTGGTGATTTGCAAAGTAATCTATTTGGCTTTCTTCAACGCCATGTTTTTTATTATTTTCCACGTCAGACGGCTTCTTCATATCTATATTGGACTGATTTTTAGGATTTGAAGAGGGAGATACATTTTCTCCTGATTTAGAAGAATTCTGATTTTGCAGGGTTCGATAAAACTTCATGTCTTTGCTCTATCTCTATTTTCTTTAATTATTTTAAAGACACTTTGTTTTTAACGTTCTCGTTTCTTGGTCGTTAGAGTAGATCTATTTCCTACTTTAATGTCCTCGCTCACGACTGGACGCCTTTAAATCACCACTTAATTCAATATCTAGCAAATTTCCAGGTTTTGTTTAGTTGTGAAAGGTGCCGTGGTCCCCCTTTTTGTTGGTATATTTAGTTGGCCCTCTCAACTTATCTTGCTTTCGCTAAGTTCTTTGAACCTCGCTTTCCTGGCTTAGCAGTTTCTGACCTTCTCCTGATCTTTAATGGCCCACTAACAGTGTTAGCTTTCTACCGCTGTTTTGGACCTCTACCTCTTCAATAACTTAATCCACGTCTCGTCAAAGTGTATTTAGTCGATCATAATTGTTTGTTTTGCTGTAAATAAGAAACGCGATTCTTGAGAGTCCGAATAGGGAATGGTGTCGCAGAAATGCTGATTATGTCAGCGAAACTTTCATGAAATAAAGTTTAGGTCCCTTCACCCCTAGTCGCGGGGGTCTCGCAGGAGGCCAACATTGTCTGTAATGAAGAACGCGCGATTTATGTGTCAAAATATAGGCTTGATTTAAACGTTTGCCCAATTACGAGAATAGTTGGCTAAATTGAAGCTACAGCCTCATATAATTTAATACCTTCTTTTAAGACTCATTGTTTTACGTTTACTTAGATTGTAAAAAACCAATCAATCCGACTCTTAGAGCTAAAATCTGCGTTTTTGGTGGTACATTGATAGCATAACCATCAACGTTACTGAAGAATGAAAACTACTCCAAGCATAGTTAACGGATCCAAAAGAAAATAAATATGATTTCAAAGATTGAAAATTATGTAGCCAGACCATTTAGTTAGTTTAGCGCGAATTACCAGACTCGATTGACAGTATTAATAATAAGAGTGCTCTGATTGGTCGATGACATGTTAGTATCTATTTATGTTTAATAATCGTACTTGATGAGCATCTTGTCGAAGGCAAGAAGGCGAAGCCATTTAAAGAATACTAGTCGAAGTATCTTATGTCCTACCTCGAAGTGGTCCAATTAATATATTAATGGTTAGCAAGAGAGCTAGCTTCAAAGACAAGAAATCAGAGGAAAATTTTCATACCCTTTAAATTTTACTCTGCTTTACCTGAAAATTCATCACATAAAAAAGGAACAAACAAGCATTGGAGTGACAGACGTGTAGACAGAAGAAGTATCCCCCACGACAATAAAGTTCATGAACCCCTGAAGATTAAAATAGCATATGATACCAAGAAAACCATGTCAGATCTACGAAATAATACGACTGTGTCAGAACAAAAATCAGATAATAACCAAATTATAAGTGGTAACCGGTCGAGAAAGAAGACTAAAACCAAGGTTTTGGATAAGGATACTAATCAAATTAAAAGCTCCGATAGAGGCCAAAAAGCTGCTGTTAAATTAAAGCGGGAAGGCAGTGATGTGTCAATTGACGACAATCAGAATGTAGATGGCCAGCAATGCAGTAATTGTGGAACTACGAAGACTCCATTGTGGAGAAGAGCATCTGATGGAACATTAATATGCAATGCTTGTGGATTATACTTGAAATCAAATAATACACACAGACCTGTAAATCTCAAGAGACCACCTAATACAATTCCTGTAGGGGAGTCGCAAGCAGGATCGTGTAAGGGTGACGGCCGTTGTAATGGCACAGGTGGCTCTTCGGCGTGTAAGGGATGTCCTGTATTCAATAATAGAGTTGTTATAAAGAAAGATAACTCACCTCCACCTAAGTTAACAAATTTACCAAATCAGCCCGGTGATGGTAGTAATAGTGATGAAGGTACAGATCTGATGGCCATAGCGTGCTTTAATTGTGGAACAACCATTACTCCCCTTTGGAGAAGAGATGATGCTGGGAACACAATCTGCAATGCTTGTGGATTGTACTATCGACTCCATGGTTCGCACAGGCCAATCAGGATGAAACGAAATACTATAAAGAGAAGGAAGCGAAATTTGTCTCAACTGAAAAGAGATGAATCGGATACTAGTGTAGAAGAATTGAGGCACTCGGAAGCTTCTGCAGACAAACCCAATGGTTCTTCCCTGCAAAGGTATGTCAGCTCTCCTAATGCACTTCTTCCACCACCTTCACTCGTTCGATCTTTTATTCTGCCGCCATCATTACCTGCTCCTCAAATTTCTTATTATACAGCATATAGCGGTTCTAGATTACCTGCTATGCCAGTGAGAGCTCAACCCCCATTGCCTAGTATGCAAGTGCCATCAGGAATGCTTCATCATGAAGTGACTCATAGTTACTATCAATCCCCACTTGATCATGTTCGGTCATCATCTCCTAACTATATGGTTCATCCACAAGAAAATTCTTTAAGTCATGAAATCAAATTACCTAAAATATCTACCAATTATAATGTTACTCAAAAGAGCCTGAATCAGTTGCAAGATCATAGATTAAAGACAGCTTCTCCGCAGCCATCACTGCCTGAAGCGACCCATAATGATGAAGGGACATCTAAAAAGTCGGCATCCGTTCCTTTAGCAATTGATTTCACAACGTCGCAAAGAGACATCAAAATAGACGACAAATCAGAAAAAATATCAAGTGGCCGTCAAAACCGTCAGAACCGTCAAAACGTGTCGATTGGTGGTTTGCTAAATGATAAATAAACTCTGTATATATTTTGAATAGACTAATAATCTTATTAAAACAATTTCATTTCTTAACTTAGGTTTGCTTCTTTTTCAAATAATTTGCAGTAATTCGAATTAATCGTATTTGTCGCCAGAATAAGACATTTTTGATGCTATCTTAATTTGAATAGATGGCATAAATTCTGGTCCTGATCTCTCCAGGTATCTTACCCTTTATCCTAATATGCAAGTATGTCTTAGCTAAATACTATTGAATCGTTTATCTCTAAGTTTTTACATAACATCCAAATTTTCAAATTGATCACATGATTTTGTGCAATAATCAACTACTAGGTGAGTAAGTTACGATATCATCGCTCAGGAACAGCATAATATCATGGATTAAGTTAAAACATCTAAAGGGTCGTAAGCTATAATGGATGACTTGGAGAACAATGTGTTAGACAATTCCTTATCAAGGAAATTCAAAGATATTGCTGCTGGATTTATTGGAGGTGCAACCCAAGTTTTGATAGGCCAACCTGCCGATTTAGTTAAAATTAGGTTACAAACATCTTCAAATCATACTACTTCGGCACATATAATAAGAGACGTCTTGAAAAATGAAGGAGTTTTAGCATTTTACAAAGGGACAATTCCTCCTTTGATTGGAGTTGGGGCTTGTGTCTCGCTACAGTTCTATGGTTTTCATGAAACTAAAAGGTATTTGCTTCTGAAATCCAACGCAAAGGAGCTTTCATTATGGCCACAAACGTACATCGCGGGTGCAGCTGCTGGTATCATCAATACTCCTGTGACTTCCCCGGTTGAGCAATTGAGGATTCTAAGTCAATCAAACACATCCTCACAATCTAACCAGTTGCTTTCCAAAATAAAGCAAATTTATTATCAGGAAGGACTCACAAATGGGATTTATAGAGGATTTAATATAACATTGCTACGTGAAACGCAGGCTTATGGTGTATGGTTTTTGACCTATGAGTTTTTGATAAAGACAATTATCGACTGGAGAAAATATGGATCCAGAGAAGAGGTGTCCACACCAGAACTTCTAGTGAGTGGTGCATTAGCAGGAAACGCCCTCTGGTTGTCGTCTTACCCTCTTGATGTAATTAAGTCAAATATTCAAAGCGATAAATTCGGATCTGAAAGTGTTTACAACGCTAGTATATCCAAAACAACTAATATCATATGGAAGAACCAAGGATTTAGAGGTTTTTGGAAAGGATTGGGACCATGTCTTCTCAGGGCAATTCCCTGCAGCGCTGGAACGTTTGCCAGTGTAGAATTAGCCCTAAGATTAATGGGCTAAACACAGCATCAAGTCACCGCATCTGTATTCGCAAATACATATTAGTTTTGTCTTTCCTTAAAATAAGCGACTCTGTATCGTAGCATTCAACCCTCCAATAAAATGTACACGCTCAAGATTATAAATACTGCATATAATATGACCAATAGAGTGCCGTGATTTTTTTGAAGTAATCAAAAAAAAGAGTCGCTCTTCAGTGGTATAGATTTTAAATTCAAAAGTTGTGATATAGTAGAAGACCATGTTGTCCAAACAGCTTTTAATGAATAAATCACTTACTCGTCAGGCTAGGCTCTTGTGCTTAAGCTCAAGATTGATGAAGCCGGCAGCAGCTACGGAGTACTTGGCTACCGCTGGTTCCACACAATCAGCATGGCCAAAAGGTTTTAGGGAAGCAAGGCCAAAGACATGGGAAGAGAGCCATGAAAGCGCATTGAGTAAAGCAACAAAGTTTTTTTTCTTAAATGAGATTGCAAGAGGAATGTACGTTTGTTTGGAAATGTTTTTCAGATCACCTTACACTATCTATTACCCGTTTGAAAAGGGACCTATATCTCCGAGATTTAGAGGTGAGCATGCTTTAAGGAGGTACCCCAGTGGAGAGGAAAGATGCATTGCTTGTAAATTATGTGAGGCCATTTGCCCGGCTCAAGCTATCACAATCGAAGCTGAGGAGAGAGTAGATGGCTCGAGAAGAACTGTAAAGTATGATATAGATATGACCAAATGCATCTATTGTGGCTATTGTCAAGACTCTTGTCCGGTTGATGCTATTGTTGAGCTGCCAAACGTCGAGTATGCCACTCAAACAAGAGAAGAATTATTATATAATAAGGAAAAACTATTGGCAAATGGCGACAAGTGGGAGCAGGAACTTCAATTTTGTATTGATGCCGATGCTCCATACCGTTAATATGTAGCTTTCCTTAGCGAATTAATCGGCATCCATAGGAGCAGAAGCTTTACGACTTGCATTGCATAATTTGAAAAAAGTGCAGCTCAAAGACATCTTCGTCTTAAACTTCTGAAGATTTTGTACTAGTTTTGTGCACTACTTTAAACATCAGCTAGTTTGCCAGTGGCTAGTTTGCTGTTTCAATCACTGAACACAGATGTATAGTTAAACATGACTTTCAGGTATATAGCATTTTATAATGATGAAGCTAGGTGCTTTTTATAAAAATATATACTTTGTTTTAGGCACTACGTAGGTTTAGAGTTCGATGAGTATGAATTAGCACCAAGTACCATAAGTAACAGCTTAGAATTAAAAAAAAAAAAAAAAAAGAAAAAAAAATTATCATTTGTGTAATGTTCCCTAGT